CTCTACACCATATTTTTTGCAAACATTTTAAATGAGGAGGATAGAATACATCTCATTCTTAACCAGCTCGAAACATGAATCATTATTCAAAATTAATCCCACAGTTTCTAAATTATTAATGAAGACAAAATATAAACAGTACACCATAACATACAATTTTTTTTTCTTTTTTTTTTTAAAAAACGTTGCCCCACACTAGGATTTTCTCCTGTGTCGTGGGTGCGTTTACAAACATACAATATCACATACACATGACACCCAGACCCGGAACAACAATCTGTTGTTCCAGTTGTTCCGTGCGGGAATCGAACCCGCGACACGTTCAATTGAAAATATACTTTACCAATTGAACCTTAAAATCCGTTTCAGAGTGTCATTCCCATTCCCTCTGAAGTTCCCATTTCAATTCACCATTGTTAGAGTTAGAAACGTAACGTACGTAAACCGGTACTTGGATGACATTTATCATTCTCATCTCGTGTCATATTGAGGCGCGGTTTACCGACACTGGCGACCTTTACAGCGTATATGCTCTAGGTAGGCTAATACAGCTGAGGATAATCCTTTGGAGATTACAGCCAACCCAGTTATGTATGCACAATCTGTAGGGGTGTGTGATGTAGGAATATGTAATGGGTATTTTGTGAAGACATTGACGTCATTTCAGGCCATGTACACACTATACAATATCATACTAAAATAGAAATAAATGCGAAGGTTTGTGAGGATGTATGTGAGTGTGTGTATTTGTTACTCATAAGGGCTGAGGGGATCGAAATGGCATTTGAAACAGGGGTAGATTATGGTATAGAGTACCACATGGACCACTTTATCCTACGGGAACGCGAACGAAGCCGCTGGCAGAAGCTATAGTTAATTATACATGTGTTACCACCCCTATTCTTTCCAGTGGTGGTTTCGTGCCCACCCATATTATGTAGTCGGCCAAGAAACAGAGGCTAGGGAACAGAACTCTCTGATAAACCTGAACGTTTTTTATGCCCTAAGCCGGTAAACGAGCAGACGGATCCCCTGATACACCAAAGGCATTACAAGTGCGTTACTGGCCTTTTGGGGATTAGGAATTTGAGGATCGTTGGGGATTCAGGAATTGGGGAGATTGGGGAAGGGGAGGGTAATTGGACTTCCGGTAACCTCACTCACACGACGAAACGCAACGCAAGCGTTGCTTCACGTCAGTTTTCTGTGAGGCCGTGGTATCACTCCGTTCGAGCCAGCCCATTCGTGCCGAAGCATGGCTCTCCCACACTTTTTATACAGTGTGGAGATTATGGCAACTTCTTTTAAGTAGCGGAGACTAAAAGTACAACAGTGAAACTGTCATTGGCTATGGATTTTGAATGTAATTAAAAAAGTTTCTTCTTACTTTGTTAAGAACTGTTCACCAAACTAATGTTAAACTAAATACTTCGCTCGAAACCCTTACTAAAATATATATTAAAAGTAAATATATACAATACATATTTTAAACCAACATTGAAAAACTAACGTATGGTCGATATGGAAATGTGGCAATTACTGAACAATAACGTGAATATATTTTGATACAGCTGCATTTTAATTTATGAACAATTGACCCGTAGTAAAATAAATATTCCGTGCTTTCGTATGATATTATTTATATTATATCATACGGGAACAAAGCTTTGGGTTTAAGTATGTCATGTCCTGGGTGAACTATTGAATTAAATGTTCAAAATTAGTATATATATATATGGTACATGGCAATAGGCTCACTCCCTATTACATAGGACTCATAAATACAAGCATAAGACAGCATAAATATTGAAAAGTGGGTGTTACATTATACAGTGGCATAATGTGCACCTCTGCATACCCCTTCGGGGATAAAAGGCGTGATGTTATGTTATGTGTAATTAGTTTCTATATGTAGTAACGGAAAAATGTGGGATAATTCAGTCGCAGTCTTGATTATATACCATTTACTCGCGGCTTCGCTCGCGTCACAAAAGGATAAAAAACACACAGCGCCATCTATACCAATAATTTCGTTTTCCCTCGAGAATATATGGAATAAAAAGTATAAATAATAAAATAATATTATTTTCTGGGATAAAAAGATTTAATCCAGACTTCTAACTTCGGTCGGTTTAGTAGTTACGGCGTGAAAGCGGAACAAACAAACAAACTCACTTTCCGATTTATAATATTAGTAAAGATGTTAGAAGTATTCTAGGATGTCTGCGTACTATTATCGCTGATATCAGATATAGATTTATATAGGTTATCTCCATGTCATACCGTAGTATACTTGGTATATATAGGAAATAAAGTTCCGAAACACAAAAAGTACCGGTTCTAGAACATATATGTGTAAAAAACTCATTGTTGCCTGCGGCTTTCGTCGGCGTGGGCTTTGGTTATAACGAGTTATCAATATCCCTAAGGAATTACTTCGATTTTCGAGATAAAAGGCAACCCATTTCCGTCCTCATGACTCAAGCTCCTTGACTTTTACTAGAATAGGTTACTGAACCTATATGAAATATGAACATATTGAAAACTATTCACTTTTGATCTTATAAACGCAATAAGTAGACAGATTAAGATACCAAATAATTACAACGAGCTTCGTAGAATACATATTTAACTAGTCGTTCGCCGCGGCTTCGTCCGCGTATAATAATGACTTCTCCAAGTTTTTATATTAACTATCGTGAGACATACTAAATTAAGTAAATTCGCGGGTAACTCACGTGAATATACTGAGAAAAGCTGAAAAGGTAGAACCCCTCTGTGGTTCGAAACTAGTAGAGCTTTTCTCAGTATATTCTCGTGAGTAACCCGCGATTTTACTTAATTGACTTCTCCAAGGTTTGCAATGCTGTGTAACAAATCTCATCAGAATCAATTTAGTTATATTTCTTGATAATGGTGTTTATTTTCGTGATTTTAAAAAGTAAACAATCCCATACGAAATTATCCCGTATACTATCCATTCCCGTGAGGTTTCATTCACCCCAGAATTCAATTCTAATTAAATAGATACAGCGGTTGAAAACTACCAGGCGTCATTTTCCGAGTCTCAAACTATCGAACCGAATTGCACTCAAATAGGTTCAGTGGTTTAAGCAATAGAGAGTTCCATATATTTAATTGAACTGAAAACAATTACAAAAATCTATGTTAATACTGAAATTTTGTCGATGTAGTCATTATATGCATGTATCCAAGATCGCGTGAATTAAATTTCTTGTGTCTCGAATACGAACAGTGCAAGTAACCTCTCTCTCTATCGAACGTACATCGAAGCAGATTAGTATTCCTCCTTCGTCCCACAAGGACACAATGAATGAGCCTATAACATTTTTAAATATTTTATTACATTATTTTATGTCACATTTGAAATGGACATTTACAGAGTTTACGATCCTACATATACTTGTAGTGTGCGCAAAGTATGGACTTCTTAGCGAGCAAAGTTGTCAGTGTTTCTCGTTGGGGAAATATTTCAGAAACGTTGTCTTGAAAGTCTTCCAAAATGCAAATAGTTTCAGTCTCGTGTATGTTAAAGTTATAAAACATGGATCCAAGTCTAGAAACTAACACTGCATTTACAATAGTGTTAATGGTCTAAAAATGATAAATGGAAATCATCTTTAGTGATACACTTTTGTACGTAGAGTTATATTTAAATAGATTGTGGGTTTACTAGCAAGTGTTTGTCAGTCGTATCCTCGTAATGCATCAGTCGGGCGGTACTCGTAACTAATGCAATTTAATGCGAATGTGTTGATGTGGCGATAACAAGCCCCACGAGTGCATAAGGCAGCCGTCCGACGGATTCCTCGCCGCTGTAAAGCCGCGGCCGCGCCGCAGTCGTACTGCTGCCGACTCGCAACTTGCCCGATGACTTAATGTGTGCGGAAATGTCGCGGATTACACGCCTGCCGCCCGCCGCACGCCGACCGCTGCATACTAGCTCAAGTTCCGTCACGAAATAAACTACTTCTATTGTTTTGTTTGTAGCTGTTCCGTTATGCAGTACGCTCACATATTTAGCTTTAACTTACGATCACTAAAACCAACCAACCATCTCACTATAATAGCCAACATTCAAATAGCATTTAACTTGGTTTGTTTGAAATTCCCACAAGTATTTCATGATATTTACGTTAATGGTAGAAATTATATATTTTAAAATATAAGAGCAAAAGCTAATTTTCCGAAAAATACTATGTAAAGTTCTAAAATTATACAGATAAATATACGATATTTTTTCATACCATACCTAATTCAATAATTTATTAACCACGAAAAATAAAAGATTTTTAATATTACTTTCAAAAACATTATTTCACCAAACTAGCCACACAATGATTAACAAAATATTCTCATATGAGCCGGGAAAACTGTAAAGAAGAAAAACTAATATCGAGAGAAGCGTGCAGTGCGTAGCAACTAGCTACGCGACAAGGACGCGTCTACGGATGGCTACGCCGTAGCACTTCAGTTTGTAGATAGAGCCTACGCAAAGATACACACTTCAATGTGTAACAATATAAGTTTAAATTAAATTTACGTTCAATTACTTATCCTTGTGAATCAGGTCAGTCAGAATATTAGATTTTTCAGAATGTGATGTACTTTATTATATTTTAGTTCGTAGCTAAACAGGCGAGACAAACATTGAGATAGTTTTTTAAATGTTTATTTATGAAAATAATATTATTATCTTTGTAATATGTACATAAATATACATAATAATATTATCATTTATCGTCACGCCTGTCTACCATTGTGGTAGGCAGAGACAATGACACGATTTAGGCAAACCTCTTGTGCTTTTGACTGATTTTGCATAAACAGATTTTTTTATTAGGTTTGGGCAAAGTGCTATCGGCCTTTTCAATTTTGAAATTCTACAAAAACGAAGTCTAGAATTGGTCCTGTTGGATGATACAGGATTACTAAAAGTTATATCTTATCTATCATCTAATATCGAAATTTGTCCCCAGATAGGGTGTGCTGTAACGCGAAGTGGGCAGCAGGGTGTGGTGATGGAGGTGGTAATACTGAGAGCGAGAGCCCAACTGAATCGTCTAGTGTCGTCGGGTGAGAGGCGCGCAGGGGGCGGCGAGCGCTCGCCCCGAGCGGAGGGCGGTGGCGGGGCGGCGCGGGGGGGCGCGGGGCGCGAGCGCAACGCCAGCATGGCGCCGGCCGCGCCCGCGCCGGCGTCCACCGCGCCCTGGCTCAACGCCACGCTCGTCTACAACGCCACCCGGCTCAACGCCACTTTTGACACCGACTACGAGTTGCTCAGCTCCAACTCCACCGACGAACACCACCACTGGTTTTGCGCAAAATGGACCAACGCACAGCAAGATCTCTTCCAGGTATGTAATTTCACCTTCGTTAATACCAGCTACTTATTTAAAATCTTCTCAAAATAAATGGTTCTGAAATTATTCATAGGCTGCAAACTTGTGCTTCGCGATCGCATTCCTAGCACCGAAGAGCTTTAAGCAGAGCATCCTAGTGCTGCGTGCGCTGGCAGCGGCGGGCGCCGTGCTCATGGGGCTGTGGGCGGGCGCCGAGGTATGCGCGCCAGACGTGCTCGCCTGGAGCCTGGCGCTCGTGCTCGTCAACTCTATACATACTGTATTTCTTATAATAAGGTAAACCACGAACAAAGTTAAATTTGAACTGTAATCATGTATAGAGGTAAAAAACGTCTTATAATCGTAAAAACCACAGAACATATCTTCACAAAACACAATCATATTATACTAACTGAGAGTTACGTTTGCAAGACTACCAAAAAGTACTGGACAAACTCGGTAAAGGTTGATTTGTGGACTTTGACCACTTAAATAAAAGCACGTTAACATTACTAAATCTTGATGGACAAACTTTTAGTTCGGGTCGTGCACGCAAACTGACGATAGTGGTAACTTTATAAATCAAGTTTACTCCGCCGTTATTTCTATCTGTAGGTAAATTATTCAAGATATTTTGACTTTGTACGTGTGGAAATCGCATTCATTTACTTAGGAACCGTTGTCTGTCGCAGGTTTCTTCCTCCAGCACTATCTCTCGAGCTAACAGATCTATACTTGAAGCTGTTCAAGCCTCTAAAAGTGAACAAGAAGCACTTTACGGAACTGACACGAGAAGCTAGGATAGTGCGGCTCGAGCCCGGTGAGGCGTACGCGGTTGAAGAAGTCACGCCGGCAGACGAGAGGTTGTCTATACTTCTAAAGGGAAAGTAAGTAATGTTGCCAATAACGCTTCAACATCACAATAATGAAGAACGGCCCCACCTTATTAATTAACTTCTCTACCAATGAGCGAGCGACATCTGTTACTGAATAAATTGAATATCAAATAAGTGTCCTCAAAAAATCTTATGAAGATAAAATATCGAGGGTACAGAGCTACAAAATAAACAATTCAAAGACGAGCGACGACCCTCACGATGTAAAATAAGATACCTATACGTATACACATGCTCCTTTTGTTTCACTCGTAGAATTATTTTTCTTTACCACTGTATGAACTTGTATTGTATGCCATGAACTCTGAAAGAAGAAATAACAATAACATCATTCTATATTCTGTGACTAATTGACTGGTTCGGCGATGTTGTGCAGAATATTTTATTTATTCTTTATGAAAGTAAATATTGTATAAAATGAGACTAGATGTGTTGACAATGTTGTACATACATATTAACGTAAACGAAACTGGCCTAATCACTGGGTTCGTAAACACACTCTATATGTAGAATAGACTTGTATGTGTTTGTTAAAACATTTTGTTTGGGTTGGGCTACGCGGGGTAATGCACGGCAGCCCATAAGCTAATGGTTCCAATTCCCCCGTAAGCCATTTTATAGCAGCTATAACGATATTAAGTACCTACCTAGTCTAGCTCGCCTTGTAAATGAGTCTTATTAGTGCATGGTATTTTTACCATTAACTACGTACGCTTGCAAATTGTACTAATTAATTTATCACTAAATACTGCTGCAAGCACAGCAATTACCCAGGCACATGCAAATTTATGGTGAAAGTTCGGGTGTTGTGTAATTATAATAATTATCAATTTTAATTATATACCAAACGCTGCATGATTGTACGGTTAAATGGCGTAGTAGGTCACTTCAGATCGGCGTATTTATCGCTACGATTATACCTCGCTTCCATTGATAACTCCGGTGGGAAACTCTTGGTGATCTAATAGGCTCTATTATCCAACAATCTAAGTTATTAGGGCCACAATATGGAATCTAATCTACAACATATCAAAGATTTATGAACAGTAATTAATATGAGTAAGAAAGATTTCGTTAGTAGATAGCTAAAGTCGATTATATTTGAACAGAATGCGAGTTAGCTGTGACGAGACACATCTGCATTACATACAGCCCTACCAGTTCGTCGATTCTCCAGAATGGGAAGCTAACCGCGAACAATCAGACGACGTCTTCCAGGTAATAAAACAAATAGCTACATCTTTGACTTGTAATACTTAGTATTAAAATTATTTCTAGCACAAGGCTCTTCGCGCATGAAGGTTTCCTCATGAAGTATTTCTATTTAGAAGGCATCCGATGTTTTAGTCGATTTCTCCATAAAAATTCACAGATGCTCAGAAACTTCATTCATGAAACATGAGACTGGATTCGTTAATCTTTGCTCGTATCACTCGACTTCGGACGAGACACTACACTCATTGTAATTCCACGCACACTTACGCTAAATAATTCAGGAGCGCTTCGGAATAACGCATTATCTTAATGACTGAGGATTTATTAAACTGCCAGACATGAGAGAACTAACACAAATTGTCGTTTTTCCAATATATTTTTGTATTTTACGATTGCTACACAATGATCATAAAGATTGGTGGAATCTTGATACAAGCTCGAACTTATTTTTATTATAAACATAAATTGCTTGGCAATTGTGTAGAAATCTTTTTAGTTTCGGTGCGAGATATTGAGATTAATTATGATGAGGTAGACGCACAAGTCAGTTACAAAGTAAGGGCGTCGGCGTCCTACTCGATCTCGCTTGACGGAGCACTGTGACACGATCAGATGCTCGATAATCAAAGTCTCATCTACTTATTCCTTTATGTGTTAGAGGCGGTTCCCAAGATAATTACGTCTTCAGTAAATTATTATCGATAATTTTAAGATTATTATTAGAGAGCTTATTTTATCGACTTGTATCTACAAGAATATCTGAATATGGAACAAAATTATTTTAATTACTTTTCGCTATATCACATAAAAGTCTTCTGGAATTATAATTTTACACACAATACACATCGTATGTTATACAATTAAAGCAAGCTTTGTTGCTATTTCATAAACAATAATTTAATTACACAATAGTCTAGTTATTCGTGCAGCATTTGACTTGTGTGGATTTCATTTCTTGGCTATTATAGTTGTTAGTTTGTTTAGGGCGAACTTTGACTACAAAGGTACCCGTGCCAGTGACGGGTGTGTTTGACGTATCCCTTTTGTAAATCAAGCTCTCGATGTTACGACACAAAAAGGAAATGAAAAAGTATTTTTCATTTTTCCGCAAAGCCCTGACAGGTCAAAGAGTTTTCGGAAAATCATGAACTCTGGAAATAATGGACATATTTTTAGTCGAAGAATAGTTCTATTTGAACTTCATTTCATTCCGTACAGATGTTATGATAAGATATGTATATTTGAATCCTCGTTTCCGAGAGCTGCATACAAGTAATCGAAACTACAACGGATCAACCGGAAAAGTGAGTGGGTTTATTGGAAAACTCGAGGCAACTCTATTCAAAGCTATACGAATACTTGTTGGGCAAAAGATCTTATCTCCGGGTACAGTGCACGTGCTCGCGCCAAACTGAACTATATAAGTGATGTAACCCCATTTTCTTTGAAACGTACGTCTGTTGCGAGTATCTGTATTTCTCACTTTGAAAATGGAAATTCTATTGCTTATCTTATAATTGTAAACCTAAACGATAATACCAACACTTTCGATGATTCGTTTCACATAAATAGTATGAAATGAATTTGATTTATGTTATCGTGTAGGTACCTAAATATTTCATACCTACTTACGTTAACTATGTCCGAACCAATGCTATCTGCCCTAAAGAACTCACTAGGGGTGATGGAACATTCTAGGTTAGATCCCAGACCGTGATGGATATTCATATGACAACCGGGACCGACAGTTTTACGTGCTCTCCGAGCCGCGGAGGAGTCCCGACATGTTAAAGTCTGCCGACTGACAAGTACACATTGCTTTAAAGCTTAAGAGCATTGGTCGGTAGGAATGTAACTTATACACGAGTTCCTTCTTCATTTTTACGATAGTATGTGTATCGGTTTTGTAGAATTTTGAAATAGAGTAGGTAAGATGGATGAATAACAAATAGTCTACCTGTTATGGCGGCAATTCTGTTGCCGTTTTCTAGTGAAGATAAGCAAGCTTTAGTTGGGAATTGGGAAGTATCTTACTGTCAGTTAGTTCTGTAACTTTGGTTGAATAATTGTTTTAAGGTAAGTTTCACACAACTTTTTTAATATATTCAAGTGAAGTGACAGACACAATGTTTCTCAGGTGAGCGTGATTGCGGAGGAGGTGTCCACGTGCGTATGCTGGCCGCGCATGCGCCTGGAGCGTGTATTGCGTCACCGCCCGGCACTCAAGGTCGTGCTCGACTGCCTTATAGGTCAGTCCTCCTTAAGCATTATCGTTGCAACTTCAAAAAATCGTTTTCCTTAAAACGTGTGGTTGATCGTAAGGGCCTTGACGATGAAAGTGAAGCATTTGAGATAAGAGTATATTACGACTCTTACGTTCTTACTGAATATTTGTATGAAAATGTTGTTGAGGCTTTAATTCGTGAGAGTTGGGAGCGCGATTTTTCTTTCTGTACAAAGTTTGAGGGGCCACAATGGGACGTCGGAAGCAATAGTTTAGTTCTGTCTGCATCTCTTTGTGGACTTTTCCTTTAGTGTGTTGTTCGTTCAATTTTGTCTGTTAACATTCAATTCTTTTGTATTACTTATATCGCTTATAAAGAATTGTTGTCGGTGCCAGGGCCCATTGTTTATCTAAACTGAATTAAGGAGTGAATGCGCGCAATTCACTTCACGAATACTTCCAATTTGGGCTCCCTCGACCAAGTTCCCCCCAATATGAAACATGCGGTGACTCGACAGAATAAATTATTCATCCAATCTAACTTTCTATTAACTGTATCGATATGGTTTTTTGTTTATACAACAGAGTATCCATTCAACTGGATACTTTATCAAAACGTAAATGTTATTATTGAAGACAATTTTTCAATCTGACAAGGATTGAATAAGACCTTTACTTACTTAATTAAGTTGTGAGCTTTGCTTTACTTGGTTTATTGTTTTGTTTAAAAATGATAATTTTAGCAAAAAACTTGTTTAATTATTGGTTATCGGTGAACCTTAATGTATTGAAACTTAACATAATCTGAAAAGGTTTCTTAAAGATTTTGTTTGAAATGTTTCCAGGCAAAGATATAACGCACAAACTGTATTCAGTGAGCGAAGGTTTGGGCGCCGGTGTGGGGGCCGACAATGACGGGCCGCCCTCCCACTTGACGCGCTCCGCAAGCGTGGATGCTGTGCACGAGGGCACGCGTGGCCGACTGCGCAGTAATGCGTGGCGCGCGCGCACCACTGTTACAAAAGGTATAGTGCTTAGTGCTACCATCCGTGCGTCATTGCAAGAGTACACTACAATCAATCGGATTGCTGATTTTTCTTTTTTTAATTTTTTTTTCACTGTTTACTTTCACTGCCTCACCATCTTTTGTTGTTATTTTTTATATTTTATTTATATTACATCGTGACTGGTGCTGAATATTTTTTTCTTTCTTGCCTTAAATTAATAAATAACTCTGAAATCTGTTCAAAACAGTTTAAAGTCCTGTGGGCTACCGACGCTGCTGGTGAATAGCAGTACTCATACATAGCTGCATTAATTTCAATGATATATGTTTTTTGTAAACTTGTTTGAATTGAACCTAATGTTGAGTAAAGTCATTAAAGATTGGTAAGTAACTGAAATGAGGTTGATGATAATGATGAAGTAAATTGTTTGATTTCCCCAGGAACATCATACTGGCAGCCGATGGTGGCCCGACAGTTTCTCCAAAAGTCACCATTTGGGCGAGTGGCCCAGCCGCCACGGTTACTGGCACAGGCATCGTCGGCGAGCCTGCAGCCAGCAGCACCACCCCGGCGGCGGAGTCCACCACGACGGACGACGTCGTTCCGCCGCGGCAGAGAGGTCAAGTTTGCGGAGATGACGATAGCTTCGGAGCCGGCCGTGTGACGCGGGCCGCGGCTCCAGCCCGAGCTGGTGCCGCTCGTCTCCCCACAAACCTTCTCCCCCACTCACATGTCGCCATCGCTCAAGACTCCCTGACCGTTAACCGAGCGAACGGACTCGCCTCGTACCACAGACTTCTAGCGAGCCTTCGTTCTATTGTGAACTTAACTACATGGTGCCCTTACAAGACAGTGCCGTATTTTATATCGGAAATTAAACGTTTGAATAGAAGTGAAATACGGAAACATGTTTATGTTAGTGGTTTGAGTTCATTCTCTTAAAATCGCTGTTAAACAACTCGGCATGCACTGCGACGTTTTCTCGTTTGCTCGAACTAAGACTTATACGGTGGAACTATGTAAAGTCCTGCAGTGGCACTGATGCAGCAAGTGAACACCTAGTGTATATTGAGTATGATAATTTTAATGAGTGCCGGTGTAATATTGTAATTATTGTGTGAGTAGTCTAGTGTCGACTGTATGCATTGCAGTGTACCTAACGCTCAAGTAACTATCCAAATGAACACTATGCTAAAGTGACAATTTTTATAATTACAAGTAATGCGAACAGAGCGATGAATAGTTCCATATACTGATAGAATAAAGGAATTGTAATTATACCTAATTTTTTAGCGATCGATAAATTCAAATGTGGAATTCTAAAAGTATTTTAATGTTAAAGTAATTAATTGTTTATTAGTGGTAAGATGTGTTAAATTCGTGATAAAATATTAAAGTTACTGCGCGAGTTTATATTATGTAATATTCATCAAAGGTTTACTGCATACATATTTTCGAAATCCGTGTTCTACATTTAACATAACTGCGCATGAATCTTAAAACTATATTTCTTTCTTCTCGCAAAAGGAATTATTAGCTGATTAAATGCCTATCTTCGGTTTCAAACACAAACAAATAAGTCCCGTTGATAAGATCGGGAGTTTATAAAGGTGGCAATGATGCCTTAATATTCCTTAAAACCTTACATATACACTGATGGTTGCTGTATTTCTAGTCTACAATATATTTTAAGTCTAAGATAAACATAAAGACTTGATTCGATATGTTCCCCTTCAGCTTTTAACTCGTCGAGTACCGGTTTTATAGACACAATTAAAGAACAATAGGTCGCGGTCACCGGTGACCGCTTGGTGTTTGACAGTTTAAATTCTACTTTACAATTTCACGAACGCTTTTGTTCCGATAAAATTTCATTTCACCAAAAAACAGTCAATTTATATATCACTCGTGATAATTACAAAACTTGTGAAAATTACAACGAAAACAATGGTTTGTGTTAGTCTGTTAGTGTAGTCGATGTCAATGCTTATTGTACCCAAAACAGACAATTAGTAAATACTTCCAATCTTCCAATAATGGGCCGGACAACCATTATTTCATTCCAAAAATGTAGTAAGCTGATTTATCAGTCATATTCCTTTCTTGGTCGATACAAATTAATCTGCTATTATTAATAGTTTCTCATCCATTGACCACAATGATATAAAACAGCATTGGCTTATTTACTTGTTGTCGACATCGATCAAACTCCGGTAGGCAAGGTTAAAGTCATGGCAAGCCTTGCAGATTCGTGTGGTCAATATAAACGTACCCTTTTACCCAAATAAATCCAAGATTGTTATTGCAATATTTCATTTAAATGATGACATGAAAATTGATATTATAAACGACTCGTTTAAGTACACCAAAAAACGGAATTTATAGATAGTATAACTTTAAGAACTGTTCTAATGTTCAAATTGCACATTTGGAATATCTCACAAAGAAAAATATTCAAATTCATCTAAATGCTAAGAGCTGAGCTTTTAGTAAATGTATTTACTCATATTGTGTAAGCGTCAAGAGACTCATTATCTCTACTTAAATAAGTGTCATGACACATCTGAAAGGAGATTCAAACATCACAAACCGAACGCATAATTTGGCGATTGAGTGGGCAACAAAAGTACGCCACTGATAAAGGGAACTCTAAGTTTATATTTGTGATGTTTGGATCGCAATCATAGTACATAATTACTCACTTCGATGTTTAGTTGATGTTGTTGCTTCACTATACGTGTACGGTGTCAGACTAGATGGGCATGTAGTTACTTACTGTTCTAAAATTCGTCGGAATTGTACTGTCGACGATTAATGCGTAATATAAGAGACCGTACAACGAGGATCAAGTCATCACTCTTCACTATTAGATAGGTAATCTTAATTCAATGAGTGATACGTATTACGTACTCTAATTATGATAGTCTACGGCAACCAGAGAGAACTTCTAAATGATAAGATATAACAAAATAATTATACAACCCTAAATTTTCTGATATCAATATTGCAGAGTATTTTTACGTTTTGTAAGGTATTTAAATTTGACAAATAAGCAACAGTGTCGCATTAAGAAATTGATAGACAAGTTACTATTTTCAATGTATCTATTTTTAATACTAACCGAAGTATTTGAAATTACATCCCCACTAAGTATTACTTTCTATAATTTACTAAATAAATCCTTCCAAAGTTCTGTATTCTTCCATATTTCCTGAGATGAGTGAATGATTTGTTATCCCAAAGCGTTATTGGGAATGCTTCCCTTTGAGTCTTCCAATTTCACGGTATTCTATTGTTGGTCTGAATTTCTAGATGCAGGAACTCCTTGCCTAGAAAAGTATCGATGTTTCCAAACAACAGTCTTGTGATGAATGAATGATCTCGGCGTTACATCCTGATTGTACGGTGTCTGTCACGAATACATATCGTTCTTCGTCTTGTCTCGTCTTGTTAGTTCTTTCTCTAATGGTGTAGTAATGTTCTCGGTGGGCTAATTTTTTAATGCAGTAGTTAATACGAACAGACTATACATTAAATAGGTATTCACCACATTTTCACTGTCATCATAGCAGTAAAACGCTTTGTTAACGATTTAACTAGTAGCAGGAGACGGTCAGGGAAAGCTGCGATGTGGTTACTTGGTATTAAATGAGGAAAACTAAATTACCTGCTTGCAAGCGTCATGCGTCGCTTACCTACGCAACGTTAGTAACAACGTCGCATCTTTCCCTTCGTCCTCATGCAAATTACAAAAATGTTGGCCTTGCTCTTATGGTGTAATAAAATAACATTATAAAAGGCTAGTGAAATTTTGATAACTAAATACCAACTAGACTTGAAATTATAAATTGATAAGGTAAATCATTACGACGTTAATTATGTATTCACTAACATAATACTCACAGCGTGTCATGTTCAAATGCTTTTTGAGATTCTGTATCATTAGTTGACTGATAAGGTTTGGGTACCTCATGCTTAAGACGACTTCGGAACAAGAGACTCGATGTTATCACAGGAACTGGAGCAGTGACAATTATATTTGTTATCCTAATTTTTAAAATACCATTGTTAAGAATCTTCTGATGCATTCTGTTCTACTTCCTACTTACATCTACTGAAGTCAGGAATTGAAATAAGCAAGTTTAAATTTATTTCTAAGTTTAGTATGGTGTATTTAGCGGCTTACAATATAACGCGCCCAGTAAAACATTAAATTATGATAATGTAATCGCTTGACTGTATTCATTTGTTAGCGTCACTTAGCATTTGATAAAGTAATTTACTGTGAAAGCTATATTTAATTGTACAAAATCGGGAGCAAATGCAACATTATTTAACGCTTTATACTTTATATTATTATTTTAGTGACGTTGTAACGTCGACGGCTATTAAAGGATTATAATAATTTATCTACTAAATATGTACAAATGTCAATATTAATATGTTTTATGCGCTCTGTGTCATAAGAGAATGAAGTAATGTATGTCTAAATGTGATCAAGCACTCGTGTACAGTTACAATGCAATACCTAGCTCTTCCAGTGGTGCTCCGTGTCTAGATTCGACATTCTAAGACATGCGAGTTCCAATTTCTTCCAGTATCACAATAAAGTCTTTCCACACATTCATTTTAAATACTCCATCTAAATAATGTAATGTTGTATATTCTTCAGTATAATTAGATAATGTACATGTAGGCAGTTATGATGTGATAATTATTGACATATTCATAAACTTGTGAACGGCGCGAGTCGAAGTATGCACAGTCATTGTTTTAGAAGATTTTAATTCAATTACGTGCAGTGAATAAAAGCAATAGTTGATAGTGATAATGACAACTTAAATGCTATTTTATCTGTGTGTTGTTACATAGTATGTATATTGTATAATGTATTGTATTGTATTGTATCAGCTGCGGACTAAAACAATGATCGGTAGCGACACTTTGCAGAGCGCCTCTGTGATACACGTAAGCTATTTAGACTAGGAGTCGTCGGTTCGTATCCATGTACTCGCAATCTGATGTTATTCTCATATGGGTTGCCTCCTGCGTCTCGTCATACATGACATTACAGTTATTGATTATATTATTGTATTTATTCACTTTATTAACATGTTTATTATGTCTTTAATAAAACAATTGCTTATTACATCGTTTTATTTTAGTGACGAATATTACCATTATAATAGTTGCATTGTTGGGACTGTATTCCTACATATCTAGATAGGTATTATTAGTTTTATAGTCAAGTCGTGTTTAAAAATTACGTTTCCGATAAAAGTGGCCGTCTGCTGCAGTTGAATAATCCATAACATTTATCGTCATCATTTATTAGTTACACTGATTTTTAAACCGCTACTTCAATAGTTTGATAACTACATTGTTTTAATACCTAACTTGCAAACTAAAAAATCACAATACCCGCCACATTATAAACTTAAAACTTACCAACTTAGGTTGGATAACATCGCATGTGTTTAACCACATAAAACCGGTAAGGAAGAGTGGGGCAACACACTGCAATCACTATAAGGCGAGTGCAACTGCAATATAGATACGAAATAAGGTAAACTGTGCACGCTGCACAACTAGTTCCCTTTAAACCACGTTATAAGTTAAACAAGTTTTAATGAAAGTGATGTTAACAAGTTGACTCTAAGACGAGCGATGACCCCTACCTATTACGTCATACTGACAACATATTCAACTAAACGTGTATAATATTATTTAAAATGGTAATCAATGCCCCAGCCCACTGATAATGAGTTGATAACATTCAGTAGTGTTCGCGAAGGCGTGGAACTGAGCCGGCCCGCGACATGAATCTTTATTATTTATAACTAGAAAATTTGTTTTGCTTATAATTTTATACGAATATAGTCATAATGTCGTTCCTTATGAGAAAGTGTATTGTGAACTTAAAGAATGTCAACAGGTGTAGAACTGTGTGTGTGTTGTTGCAAACTGTGAGTATTTTAACCAGACAATGTTTTATTTTGTTGTTTATTTTGTTCCGTAAGAAGTATTGAAACCGGTTTTAAGCAAACCCGTCAGATTAAAGAGCAACAAACAAGTAATTTTAGGAAAATTGTAAGTCGTATCACGCCATTACCGTCGTGATTGATAATCGTGAATTAGAAAAAATAATGAAATCATGTCAATCCGCCATGTAACAATAGGCTAGTAAATCAACAAGGGATTTGCTTCGTTATACAACGCGCTGCGAAGGTCAAAGCTAAAGTAGAATTTCATATTACAAATCATGGTAATTTATGTCCAATCACTAGCGTAATCATTCTAATTACCTACATAAATATATTTTATCATTATTGGCACACAAAAATCAGAGTAGTTTCTTCATAGCAATAAGATAACAATATTATAAAAAGACGTAACGCTTATCAACTAATTGCCAAATAACGGAGGGAGGTGCTTCAAGAGATAAGCCTCAAGGTAACATTAGTTCGCGAAAGTAAACATAGATAAATGCAATGAGTTTAATGATTTACCGTCACTTCAAGCAGTTTATAAGAAATACAGTGTTTAAATGAATTTAGTTTTAGTTAATTCAATGCCTTATATTTATGGATTCTTACCTACATTCAAAATAATTTAATTAATTCCTAATCAAGTACTTTTGTTTGTTGTAGACCATGATAGTCCACGTCTTTTTCTTCAGTATATAAACCTTAACTTAAAAGAAATAAACAATGGAAATGATATATTTTTCTGTGTAAAATTAATTTAAAAATAGTCTCCTGAATACCAAATTATATCCTCTATCCAATGTTCCAACTCGTACCTATATTTGTGGGAACAGATGGTAATGAGGCAAGACGGAACTGCCACACATTTCCGTTCCGCCTCATTACCTTCTTTTCAACGAAGAATACATATCTAAGCAAGCTTCCGTAGATACTGATACATGTATAACTTGGCTTCATTTTGTTTTGAACCTAGACTAATCTCCATAATGTCGTATTCGCCGGGAAAATATATTTAGTAACTTAATTTATGCAAGGCACTGACTGACTTCTGGTATTTTGAACACAATTGTCTGGAAGAAATAACCGTACGTAGTAAGACTGTCCACAGATACAAACAATAAAATATGAAACTATATTATATGCATAAAAATATTGATATTTAATAATAACAATTACCTACTTTTTTTAAATTGTGTTCTGGCACCGCTTCATTTTCCCTATGGTTGACTGTCAGAGAATGCCTTAAGGCATTAAGTCCGTCATTCACTGTTATTTTTGTGAAGAAGAAATAAATAAATAAAGAAAAATAATTAAGCACCCAGTTAAATATAGGGTAATAATTACTCTAGGTATCTTTGGACCTATGTTAATGAAGCTATATATAGTTTCTCAAAGTTAAATCCGTTCGTAAAAGTATAAACACTTATTTTGCACACTGATATTCTAATTTCAGGAAAGACAACTATCAAGATGCTCAGCCAATATTTTAAAGCGCAGTATATTGCTATCAGAAGTCCACCTTCGACACAGGAAGTTTCATACGAGTCAAATTTTCAACAAAGTTGTCGCTTTCAAACTATCAGACATCGGTGAAGGCATACGAGAAGTTGTTATAAAAGAATGGTAAGAAAACCTTTTCAAAAATGGTTCCGGGCCTACATAGACTATTTTTCATTGTGGAATAAATAAATTCAAAACAACCACTGAAAAAAATAACTCAACTGCATCGTGGAGCGAAGATACGAAGGTCTTTAAAATACCTATTCAAGGTTCCGATAAATTAAATACTAATTTATTACTCTCCACTGAATGCCTCATTAATAAACGTTATCTTTTGAATTATCCTCAAGTCGTGTATGATGTAACAACTCTGTATTTATCGTATTTATACACTATAAACACTAGTTATTTACTTATTTAAGAACTTATTAAAATTCATGAGATACTGTCAACGTAATCTGTTGTTAGTAATAAATAACATCATGATAATATTATTATGTGAGACACTTTAACAAGCGTAAACATATGCTTTCAGCTCATAACTGACATCTAAGCAGCCTTCTAACTTTTAAAGTATTCGCCAACTCAAATAAATTTAGTTTTTCATTCTCAATGCGTACCTTTTATTCCCCAAGCCCACTATTCACTAATTATGGAACGAGGTCCATATAATAGAGGATAGTTAAGTCCATTATCAGTATCTATGAATCTTCATCCTACTATTAGTTCGATAACTTCGAAAGTCGAATTACTAATAAATCAATAAACAATCGCGTTTGCGACCTCTAGACATAAGCCTTCTAACTTAACAACTTCTAAACTAACGTAAGAATTACCTCTCCTCATTTTCCAGGTTTGTGAAAGTCGGTGATAAAGTACAGCAGTTCGACAATATCTGCGAGGTACAGAGTGACAAGGCTGCTGTGACCATCACCAGTCGATACGACGGCGTGGTCACCAAACTCTACCACGATGTGGACCAGACAGCGCTGGTGGGACAACCACTTGTTGACATCGAAGTACAGGGAGCTGCTGATGAAGGTTTGTTGTAGTTTGAACTTTGATTTGTCTGTGTTAAGGTTTTTATTAAGTTGGAAGCTAGACCCTAGAATGTGATAGGTAGATACTATAGCCATACTAGAATATTTCTACATGGCTTCTCAATATTTAAATACTTTATAGTAATACTGAGATGGGAATTGTCCTTGTATATAATATTATTGCTCTACTTATCTCTACAAGAAGTATTAAACGTCATATTAATTTCCTTCGTCGATTATCAATAAATAATGAGACCATAAAGTTAATCAATGCTTGTATATGAATTAAACATTGATTTAAATTTTTCAGGTTCTTCCGAGACAACTGAGAAACCAGTTGCCGTTAGTCAACAGGAACAAAAAGAAGAAAAGCCCCAAAGAGTAAAAGTACTAACAACGCCTTCCGTAAGAAGGATAGCTGCGCAGTTTAAAGTTAGTAAAAGAAGCCCAATACATACCACTAAATTAAAACTTGTTAATTCAGTAATGATTGGTGTATACATGGAACATATTAATGTTGAACCTATATAAATATGATTACTTTTGTAGGCACAAAACGAATTCAGTTTATGATATTTTTAACTTAAAATAACCCACAAAAGATATAGAGACAGATTATTTACTACATACTTAACATTTTGTCATTAATAAAACTTAATTTTCTTCAAGGTAGACTTAAGCACCGTCAAAGCTACCGGCAGAAATGGAAGGGTACTCAAAGAAGATATGCTTGCCCACTTGAATATAGACTCGGACGGTTCTAACAGAGTATCTGACCCAACCAATGTGGAAGCTGTGCAAATACCCATGACTCCAGCTCAAGCCAAGGTCGAAGTTCTATTGGAAGACCGAGTTGTTCCTGTTAGTGGTTTCACTAAAGCCATGGTGAAGTCGATGACTGAAGCAATGGTAAGAAAAAGTTATTAAAGGACATTGCTCTGCGTCCATACATTGTTGGCCCTGGAGCCAAGAGTATCAGATAAATATGTATTGTATTCTCTATCATTTGTAGACTCCTAGAAGATTTTGTTTTATAGCTGACTAGCTCCAGATAATATATATTTCAATAAAAGTATCAGATTTGGAGATTAGGCGAAGATTGCGATCTAATGTTATTCATCGCGTTAAATTCTATTAAAAGAACGTCTTGGAATAAAGCTAGTCCGTGATACAGAAGTATTTGCAACTTGTATAATAAAATAGGGGATTAATTATCGTATATTCTGATACTCTTTATTGCACAGGGTCATTTTGGACATTGTCCAATTGTTCTTTCCGAAGACCATTACGCCTTTATTAGAGCGGGCACTATGCGCGGGCCACAAAAAGATTGTATATGCAAATTGATTCATGGCCAGCATTTACTTAGACTGGCTGCGAGCATAAGGTTTTTCACTTGCCAGTCTGGTGTCCTACCGAAAAATTTAATACTTTTAACACCCTTGAACAAACTTGACGTAGAACTACCCTGTATGTATGTTATTAATAGCAATGATAGTAAACGAGTTTACTTTTTCCAGAAAATCCCACACTTCGGTTACAGCGATGAATACGATGTTTCCAAATTAGTTGAATCCCGCGAAGCGTTGAAGAACATTGCTTTATCTCGGGGAGTCAAATTGACGTATATGCCAATTATTATCAAAGCCACTTCTTTGGGCTTGGAAAACATTCCTGTATTGAACAGCAGTCTTGACAGCACTTGTGAACATCTCACTTACAAAGCTAGTCACAACATTGGCGTAGCAATGGACACACCTAACGGTTTAGTAGTACCTGTTATTAAGGTAAAATATTGACCTACTCATCCGATTTTGTGTACATTTTGACGTCATCTTAATTTTCATCTTTGTTTCCAGAATGTGCAAAATAAAACTATACTAGACATAGCTCGTGAACTCAATACTCTTCAAGAAAAAGGTTCTAAAGGACAACTAGGTCTTAGTGAATTGTCTGGGGGAACATTTACTCTATCGAACATTGGCATTGTAAGTAGATTGATATTTGCAGGTAACCAAAATAAACAGTTAAATAAATAGTAAATGATTTTAACATTATTTTAAAAAATTTTAGGTCGGCGGGACCTACACCAAGCCGGTTATATTACCACCACAAGTAGCCATTGGTGCACTTGGGAAAATACAGGTACGTAAAATTTCACAGATTGTGTAGGTACACAATATAGGTATCGTTGGTACATCCTTCGTTTCATTCGTTTCATTCATTTCATTCACGGATTTAAGTATGTTAGCATGTTTATTTTTATTAAATCCAGAATAAATTATTATTTATCCAAAATACATTTGTTGCAGGTTCTACCAAGGTTCGATGCTGAAGGCAATATAAGAAAGGCTCACATACTGACAGTGAGTTTCTCAGCAGATCACAGAGTCATAGATGGCGTTACCATGGCACGTTTCTCAAATCACCTAAAGAACTACCTCGAAAATCCATACACGCTATTATTGGACTTATAGTTTTAAATATTTTTATAATATAGAAATGTAAAAAATCATAGTCAATTCCCTACAACCTATTTTAGTCTTGTTACATACTTTTTAAAATGCCCTACATTATGTTTTCAAAATATTTGTTATATTTTTTTAAATAAAAGCGTGAATTGTGATTGATAGTTTTATTCTTAAATGTAACATATTTAGACAAATTACACAAAAGCCAGTCGGAATCTATTAGAAAAAACAATCCTCTTAACTTAGAAGACAGTAGTCTATGTATTCTGCATCTATGTTCAACAAGTACCAGATTAAATAATTTAAAAAACGAATACCGTGCTAAATGGAAACATAATGCACGCCACTAGAGGTCCAACATTTATGGAAATGCAGATACATAAGTCCTGTCAGTCCAAAACTTCTAAACAGTGATTTCCTACATTCCGTCTAGCTTTTATATTTATAGCGGCCAGTACAGATTCAAAAATACCAATACACCTATGTATAAAAAAACTTCTAGAACTTTTTAGATCAGTATCGATAGCTTCTAAAACCAATTCTTCAAAATTACAATGTGATTCATAAATTAATCAACAGTTGACACGAACATGTCCTACCTCGAATTTAAGGGATGAACTATGCATTTTTCGTCATGAACGTGTCATCTTTATAAATAATTTAATCACCGTGCCTCATGGGGGGGTATTTAGCTTTTATCTTGTACCCCACGATTTACATACTACAATCTAGGATCCGATCATCGCCGTAGCACTTCAAAACGAGTAACCTTGAAGTAAGCTATGGTCCATTCTGGAATACAGTGAGGCGTATATTCACGATGAAATCTGGCAAATATCTCCGTAAATATTAGAGCCTCAATGCTATTGATTGGAGCCCATTTCAACGCCAAAAAAGCCATATCCACATCACAAAATTTCTTATCTGAAAAACGTAATTCTTATGAATTTATTGAACACATAAAAGTTCCATTTGTTTGATTTTTCAAACAATTATCGATACCGGATCAGTATCCATTAACTTATCAGTTCTAGATTAAAATTCCCTGTAATAAATATCTTTACAATTAATTATTAGAGTTTGTTGGTATGCAGTTTCTCAATACTCGTATTCGTATTGGAAGTCAAGACCATAATTTTAACACAGTTGACTGTATGTAATCGTGACTCGATTTTCACATGTTTCATCAATAGTCTGAATGATCTGACGGTTGTATGTTAAAAGAGCTTGCGTTTAAAACCCTCATAACTGACGTTCTTCTTATAAGGCTTGATGTAAAGCGATTTCTTTACATTAGGCGCAAGCTACAAAGTTCCATAGCCTTAGGTGCGGATATTTTCTTAGCATATTAGGTACGAAAAGATTCGTAGTCTATCATGTACGGAAACGGTCGTAGCCTATTGACGTCTGTAATCAGATCAGAGGTAGAGCTCGTTCGAAACTAACAACTTTACGATATTTTTCTTTAATCATTCAAAATTTCCACTCCAGGGGCAATCAACTATCTTATCCAAAAATTTAAATTAATCGAATCTTTAATATCAAACTAAATCAGTGCAACAATTACTTAAGTAAACATTTTTATCTAATCTTATTATTCCATCGCCTTAAATGTGATATAATAAAACAATAACTAATAAGTGGTAATAAAAATTAAATACATACGTTACTACCTGTGTATAATACCCGAAAATGTGTACCTACTCCTAATATACACTGATAAGAATAAACTCGTATAAAGAACCATTCAAATCCGTACAGTTTTTCGGACACTACGTACCAAAACACTTCAGCTATCTACAAAAGCTTTTCAATGATCTTATTAGGTAAAAATAAAACCAACGTACCACCTATCCTGATAAAATAAACTTTGCGAGGGGATGAGATCTGTATATCATCATTTTTGAGTGCTAGTAGGGAGCGCTGCTTTTCGCCCCAGTTACGATCTAATTCTCGCACCAAACTCAGCCGGGCTGGTTTTGTCAACAAGCCATTAAGCTCCTTTAGCTGGCCCGTACTAATAACTTGTGTCACTCTTGATATAGCCTGACAAAATACGTAACTGTTTTAATAAGTATGTTAGAAGTAGTTCGAAGCAGTTATCATCAATGCAATCTAGCCATGCATAGATACATGATAAAATCAAAGTTAAAGAATGTGTTTTTTATCATTACTAACTAGAAAATCGATCAGTTTGAGTTTTTTTTTAATTAAATTAATATATAATTAAAGTTTACAACACCTGTTTGGTCCCAAATTTGAACTCTCGCTCGTGAAATGTCGGATCCCAAATATTGCGAAGGACGCTAAAGTCAATTTTTATCATCAACCATGTAAAAGGATTTTGCAACAAAATTAACCTAGGCACTCGCCTCTTTCGGTTTTTTTTGGGATCTTCGTTTCTTTTGCTAAACCCAAAAGACTTTTGAAAGCCTTTGAGAAAACTTGAAGAATCCTTTGCAGGTTGAGTCAATTTATCATCGCCACAATCATTTCTCCGAGGTCTTAGGTGCCGAAAATCAACAAGAGACTGGTTATAGAAGTTAGTAGTTAACGTATAATTTGGTCTAGAATTTTGTAGAGCAGGGATAGTTTTAGTAAAACTATAAAGACTGTGAAAATTTGTTGCAATAACACGTGTTGCAACTGGACACATACGCCTCGGAAGGATAATTATTGCTGATGCCATCTGAAAACCACATACAAGTTTATTATTTGCTGAAAAGTTGAGTAAAGGTTTGTGATCTTAAATGCGCGAGATTTGAGTGGAGGCGATTTGGTCATGGTGGGTAAAAGAAAGAAATATAAACAAACACAGTTACGCATTATAATATTAATAAAGACAGACTAACTGTTCGGTATGAACAGCGTCACCTAATGAAGACTCACCATAACTCCATGGCATTTTACTCAGTGTTTCCAATTATGATACTCTTGATAGGCAGTGATCTTTTCCATTTTTATATATTACGTCAGGTTAAAAATTTCACACAGAATTTTGTATAAAATGTATTTAAATAAATTAAATGGCCATATTGTCTAAAATGTGTCACGAAAAATTTTATGGTTTCTGTATAATTTTAAAGTCATTTTGACACAAAAAATTTGTCTAAATTTAATTTGCTTTTCATCTACATAATGGTTGCTAAAGTTTCTTATAAATAAGATAAACCTTTTTTGTGATTAACTTTACTGATGGCATAGCATTGCAGGATTACACGGTACATAATAAAACTTAAATAAGATAGTTATATATGTAGGTAAACTACACATACAAAACAACCATACAAACATAACAATATTCTTATGATCTATTATTATCTGTTGTTATTTGAGATTTAAATACTTTCATACGTAATGGCATAATATGACTATTCAATAGCGTCATCTGTCGTGCAATTGAATAAAATGTTTTAGTTCCACTTGGGTGGGTTTCTATGACCACAGTGTGATTTCCCACTTTACTATTTTGCCTCGCAATAAATTAGTAATACGGTGCTAATGACAGTACAGACCGTTATTCCCTGTGATTGGAACAGATTCATAAATCAATTCTGTCATTCAATCGTGGTATTAATGACTCTAATCAGAGCACACTTATTTAATAACAAAATTAAATTTGATTGCAATTTGATTATTATCTTAAACCAGTGCTACACCGTATCATCGACAGCCGTTGAAATTAATTGAAAAGGTTATTTTTACATAAAATAGTTCCTTATCGTCACCTTTTTCTCCGTCTCAATGACTTTACTACCGTGTCTCCTCAGCCTTAATCTTGATTCAAGTGTCGTATTATCTTGGTGCTGAGTACGTATAAATTCAAGATAGTACAGATACCAGTTCAGTTTCGGCAAAATTTTCATCGGTAAGTGTTTTGTTTTATTTATTTCGTAAGATATTTTCTTGGAGAGAATATTTTATAAAGATAAATATAAAATTACACATATCTTTCTTATTATCGACAGATCGATATTTCTTACTTTATCGTCCTTTTTACCAGTGCCTAACATACCGTACCTACCGTTGTAATGTATCTGATTTTTTTAAATTCTTCCTTTACACGGTCTAGACTAAAAGTAAGTCCGTAATTGTGGTGAAAAGTTGTCCAGTCACTGTAAATACTATCTAACTATTTTCACCAACAGAACTGGGCAGCTAACTCTAATAGATGCTATTACAGAAATGTGGTCGGTGTTAGCCGGAGTATTGGCGATCGCGTCGCTGGGCGCGGCTTGCACCCCCAGTGTGACCACCGTCAGTGGTACCCACGCACCAGCCACCGTCTGTTCTGGTGCTCTCATCTTCGCTGACGACTTTGACACTTTCGACCTCGAGAAATGGCAGCATGAGAACACTTTAGCTGGTGGTGGTGTAAGTATTTACCAAAAATATTACTTAGATCTCAAGGCCCAAACCCCACTAGCGCACTACTTTTTTTCCTATGTCTTTTTAAACCAAAACTACAAAATCGCTTACAAGTGCTATTATTGTGCTTATAGCTCGCTTCCCAAATATTTATATCTATTATAGTCATACATACTATGTTAATTGTAACTATTATCTCATACCCGAAACTTATTACTTAAAACAACTTGACCTTTTCAAATAAAATGCGGAAACTGTTTGTAGGTACCTAATAGATATCTACATAATGACTGCATTGATTTCTGTACAGCGTTTGGAATAGCTAATAATGCATATAGGAATACCTAGCTAAAACCACAAAATATGGCTGAGTTGATTTCCTTACAAATGACTAAACCGCCGCAGTCTTCAACATATAAAGAATATATATCGTAGATAATATTTAATTGTGCCGTTTTATTACCTATAGAACTGGGAGTTCCAATACTACGGCAACAATCGCAGCAACTCTTTCGCTCACAGTGGACGTTTGTATATACGTCCCTCTCTAACATCAGACCAGTTTGGGGAAGCTTTCCTTTCATCTGGACACTGGAACGTCGAGGGTGGTGCGCCGGCCGACAGGTAATAAAACAATCTAAAAAATTGAGCCTCTTCTACATAAGCGGGAGAAGATAATGATTTACCTAAATCAGTGGTTCTCAACCGGTGGTCCGTCGACCACTAGTGGTCCGCAGAAGACGAAATATGGTCCGCGAAATTAGAAAACGTACAAGACAGAGGTGTTATCTTGTGTTTCCTATAAATAAGACGGTTAAAGATCGAAAGAAACTTATGTCGAATAAGGCAACTATGAGGATCAACTGATTTCAATAATCCAAATGTCGCTATTATTATGAGAATGAATATTAATTTAATTGTGGGCCCTGACCTAACAAATGTTTTAAAAAGTAGTCCTTCACCAAGAAAAAGTTGGGAAACCCTGACTTAAATGATCAGAGAGCTGCTGTCTGCGTCTCTGTTAAATGTGTAATACCAACAACGGGAAGAGTATGTGCAAAAAATCCCAGCACAAAATTCTGATACTTATCCGATAGCGAATGCGCACGTCCCAAAACAATTAAGTCCTTATTATTACCTTGATAACACATAATGCAGATACACAACTAATTTAATTATAATCCTCTTAATGATGGCCGATCTGATTGTAGTAGCGACTTTCTTGTGGTCATGCCGACTACATTAAAGTTCTGCAGCTAATTACTAAACACTTATCATATCATGTTAGGTACCCCAGATGCTAAAATTAATGGAGTATCTACTGATTATTTATAGATAAAGTGCTTTGTAGCAATAAAAACATACTTATATCAATATTCCTATTACATGCTTGAATCTGCTTAAGCCAAGTTCAGGAAAGGTGTAAGCAGAAATCTCACGCTAACTTTTTAATGTGACCTCACCTCTAGCCTATGTTTTATAAGGGTAGGCAGAAACCACATATCGGTTATAGTTAATCCGCTTTAATTAATACTGACTTCGTAACTTTTTTATAGATGCACAAATCCGCAATGGTGGGGTTGCGAGAGGACAGGCACACCGACCAATATTTTGAACCCAATCAAGAGTGCGCGCGTCCGTACCGTCGATTCCTTCAGCTTCCGTTACGGACGCGTTGAAGTTCGTGCTAAAATGCCCGCCGGAGATTGGCTGTGGCCAGGTAAGCGGAGTGATTTTTGTGATATAAGTTTATAGTAACTAATATTATTACAACATAACTTCGACTACAAGAACCAATTATTAAGACAATTTTCAGATATTGCCACTTGCATCATAGTTCATTTAAAGGTTCTAAAACATTACAAAACTCTTCTAATCATATAAAAATAAAAAATAATTATATACCAAAATGTTTACTTTCTATAGCTATCTGGTTGATGCCAGCGTACAACACGTACGGTACTTGGCCTGCATCAGGAGAGATTGACTTGGTTGAGTCCCGAGGCAACCGTGCCATGACCCTCAATGGTGTCCACATCGGTACACAGGTAGGACCGAACTTAAAGGTTCAAAAGTAATCTAAGAAAAGTCTTAAAGGGTTTTCCAGTTTTTACTACATAACATAACATAACATCACGCCTTTTATCCCCGAGGAGTTGGCAGAGGTGTACATTACGGCACTTAATGCCAGTGTACAATGTAACACCCACTTTTCACTATTTATGTTATGAGCCCCATGTAATAGGGGGTGAGCCTATTGCCATATACTGAGCACAATTCCAGACTCCGTGCTACTACTGAGAATTTTTGAAAAAACCCAGTAATACTTTGCCCGAACCGGGCCCGGCAGTCGCACATGCGACCACTCGGCCAACGAGGCAGTCTTTTTACTACATCTACTATTAAACTTTTAGAGCTTCAGCTACTAGATAAGTATACTCGCAAAAGGTTCAAGTGGACATAGAATGTAATTTTATATTAATTTACAGGAAGCTGGCTCAACCCTACACTACGGACCTTACCCTGCGATGAACGGTTGGGAGCGCGCGCATTGGGTCAGGAGAAACACTGCTGGCTATAACAGCAACTTCCACCGTTACCAACTTGAATGGACACCAAGTAAGTAGTTGCATTATTGCATTAATTAAAGTTAACTTTATTTCAATATCTTAAGATTTACAATCGTGTGAATAAGTTGACATGTAAATATGCACATCGCCATGTACCTTTGCAAGATTAAAAAAGTAAACCTAACTTTCAAGACCATAAGATTTGAAGTCGTGTGAATAGCATTATCATTTAATGCAATGTTTCTTCACAGACTACTTGCGATTCAGCATCGACGATATGGAGCTTGGACGTGTAACACCTGGCAATGGTGGCTTCTGGGAGTACGGTGGTTTCAACAGCAACTCTAACATTGAGAACCCATGGAGATACGGAAGCAGGATGGCGCCTTTCGATGAGAAGGTATTTTTTACTTTCGATGACCTACCTAACAACGACTTTAAACCGCCTTAACCTTAGGATTGCGAAAACCCCTCTCAATAGAAAGACTTATAGCCAGTAAACTTGTCTGGCTATATATTTTTTTTTTAGGTGACTTGTCGTTGGTAAATACCTGAGATATGAATTAACTGTACCTGTATATTTCAGTTCTATCTTATCATCAACTTGGCTGTCGGTGGTACCAACGGATTCTTCCCTGATGGTGTCAGCAACCCTACACCCAAACCCTGGTGGAACGGATCCCCAACCGTACGTATATTCAATCGTTTCTTTTCAATTAGTATTTTATATGAAAATTATTCTGCCTATCTACTTCAAACTGTTCCTAATGCGACACTCGTGTATATGTTGCAACGTTTTTTGCAAATAAAATTGATTATATTAAACGTGGTTAAAGAGCTTGTTAGAAAAACGATGTTTAATCCAAATTGCTTTACATATAGATACTAATATATATCTATATCTATCTTAGGCCCCAAGAGACTTCTGGAACGCAAGATGGTCTTGGTTGCCAACCTGGAACTTAAATGTCAACGATGGACAGGACGCTTCCCTGCAAGTCGACTACGTCCGCATCTGGGCTTTGTAAACGAACATCTACGTACAAGTCAAAGTGTGCTGCTAAATAATATCTTATTATCTGCACAATAAGACTGAAATTACAATAAAATTATTTTAAGTAATTTTGTTTTTTATTTATACTGGCAATATTATTATATTACCGAAGAAAGAAGTGCAGGCAGGTAAGAAATTGACGAAGTTAGAAGGTCAGTAAAATAAAACTCATTTTAGATTTTGATAACAACAATTTTATACAAACATGGAATGATACAACATAGACTTACAACGAAAGCATTAAGTTTAATCCATGTGATAGAACCTAGGACTCATGTAATGTGTATTTTTGAAACTAGAAAGCGGTGTGGACGTAGCCATCATGTACGGAGGCACACGACGTTTGTCCGCAAAAGGACTAACTCTGGAATAATATCGCCGCTCTATTACCTGTAATACAATTTTTAATATTTAAGTATCTTCATTATTAACCTACTTCATCTTTACCAAGCAATATTAGCCTTATCAATAAATATTGTGTTCCAAATGAGCTATAATACTATTTTATCTACTTCCATGTTTACTGTGTTCCAAATGAATAGATAGAGCAACAGATTTTTGAGAGTGATGTAACCATACGTACTTTGTCGAAGAATCTTGTTAATTTGACAGAGTTGCTTGTACCTGCTGCTAATGATCTGAAAGGAAAATATAAAATAAAATTAATGATTTTCAACTTAATTGTTTCGTGATGCAATCGAAAATCTTTTATGTGGGATTGCATTGAGAATTTAAAAGGATCTACCTAGCTTGATGACAATTGACGAATATTTCATCAGCTCCACACTGCTCCGCTATACTACTGGCTAGCCTTCTATACTGGTTCTTTCTTTGTTTTTCTTCAGCCATATCGAATTTTGTTCCAATTACTAAAATAGGAATCTGTAATAAAACACAGAATCTCTTATTAGTCGAAAGATTTTTGAACTCAAATTACATCGAAACTTATTCTAAGATGATCTTTTAACGATGAGATCGAATTTTCAAAGTAGAAGTTCTATACAAAATGGAGTCTTTTTATTCAACTTACTTGTGTGGATCCAAGAAACTGTTCCGGGTCTACATCTACGTTTGCCATAGGATTAGAACTGTCCTGATTTAAAATCTCAGAAAGCCATTTTTGTAAATTTATTTGACTTTTTCTATTAGTTAAATCATGCACTAATATAATCCCTGAAAATAAAATTTATAAAGTTAATTTTAGGAAAATAGGGGTTCGGTTGTCTCAGCGGTCATTTGTGGCGACTTGGCCTCAATAGCGTTCCTTATTAGGTCAATTCTTTGACTCCGATAAATGGTCGTATTTCGTTCGTTGTCTATTATGACCTCTGTGATAGATAGTCATGTCACAGAGGTATTTTTGAAATTAAATAAGACTGTGCCAAATGTTAAAAAGAGCTAAGTATACGCCGTCGTGACGTGAGGTTTCGTAAACACCACGAGCGCTCGCCACGTGACAAACAAACAGTAAGAGCTATATTTAGGACATTGTTAGGATAAAGCTTTCAAATGTAAAACGCCAATCTACAACAGACCAGTACCGTGTTTGGAAGTGCCTTTAAGTTTTAATTAGGTAGACTATTGTGCGAAACAAATCGTTTGTCAACAGTTTCCTTTGTCCATGTAAAAATGCATCTATCCCTATTGCACGTCGCGGAGAACCTAACGGGTAACCGAGGCTCCGGCTCGACGTGCAGGAGAAGGAAAGGGGTGGTTTTTAGTTAGTAAGAGTCTGACACTCCCTCCCGCCTCACCAGTCAGCGGGAGCAGTCATTCGATGACTTTCCCCCCTTAAAAAAATCCCTATTGCACCAACGGTCATAAATTAATAGGGTAATGTGCAATACCTTTTTAGCCCTAATATGTATTTATATTACCTTTAAAAAGCTGTCTGCGAAAGTTAATACTGTTAAATGACGTACCATGAGTGGGCTGGTAAAATACGTTCCTGGTATTTCGGTGGCCATTTGATCCGCCAACATCCCAAAGTTCCACAAAAAACGTGTTTTGTGCTTGTGTCCCTTCTTTGTACCTGTGCAGTTTCACCTCGACAGAGCATCCTACAGTCCATCCCGGTGACAACAGCGGCTTGTTATGCGCGATTAAATAAGTCAGTGATGTTTTTCCTACACCTAAAATTAAATAAAACCTTATAATATGCGCTGTTCCGTCTGCTCGTTTGCCTCCTATTCCATAAAAAAAATGTACAAAAGCCTAAATTGCTCATAAAGTTTTTTTTGATTTTTTTCCTTCTATCAGGCGAATATGTGCAAGTTGCGGATGCGGAATCAAACAATCAAGCAACTGCATAATAAACTATTATTATTATGTACCTACGCCTTCAGTACTCTGCGCCTAGACTACATTTACATAGTATAAAGAACACACATGTTCTTTATACTATGACATTTATCTCAAACTTATACTTTGCCCGACCCAGGAATCGAACCTGAGACCTCTCGCTCGGCACTTTACTCCTGTGCAAATAATGAAGATAGAGCAGTAAATAGCTATAATACAATGACTATACACAAATTGCCTACGACTAATTTCCTAGTAGGTCATTAGAACTGTTAATGACCTTCAATTGCAAGGTCATTGAACTGTGACATCAATATGAATAAAAATGTTTTGAAACCACAAAAATGCAAAAACAAATTTCAAATACAAATAAGCCTTTTATGAAATTTTTCACACATAGTAATTGTGATGTGGTATTGTTATAAAATTAAAGGAAGATTTGTCCATTACATACTCATAAAAAAATAATAAGTATATTTTCGATGTTTGCCGCCAAAATATGTATTTATTATGTTGGCTATCCCATAGACGTAAACTGAGACTAGCCTTCAAAAGTGTCATGGCTACAGTCATGTTGGCAAACGGCAAGTTGGATCTTGAATTCAGTGTATTTTTTTTATTTTTATCAGTGCAAATGTACAGAAAGTGTGCTAAAATATATTAAGATTTAATTTACCAGAATCACCAAGAACGACCACTTTAACTTTCTCAATTGCAGCCATTCATAGGATTTTAACTCGGTTCGTATCTTTTCTATTATTTTGACATTCACTGTACCAACTTGATAGACTAAAATTCTGGTGTTGCCATGTTGATTGTTTTTCGATTCTTTTAGTTTTATATAGTCGACTAAAATTTCCCATTAAGTCTGTTGGTTTCCATCGTTAAAATATTTCTAACTTCAAAATAATACAAAATTACGTTTTATTGTTTTACGCATTAATAATATTCAAACATATAAAACTTTATTATTGCCTATTTAATTCATTTTATCCCTTCTAATTGGCATACTAAAACTATTTAGTAATTTTATGTGTTGTCATGCTGTGTATGACATTTATCAGATTGCTCATCATTGTTCTATTCTGTTCATTCATTCACTTTGCTACTTCTTTTGCTTCTTGCTTTGCGAAGCTAAAATCAATACATAATAAAATAACTACGTCCGCCATTGTACAAGTGTTTTATCATGTTGTATTTAGCGTAACAGTAAAATGCAAGGAACCGATGCCACATACAACGACTCTATATCTCCCATAAAATAAAACAATGAACATTTACTATAATTTATTTATTGTGCTTCTTCTTATAAATTCTGTGCATCTTTACTGTGGACCATACAATGGACAAATATGTAAGAAATATTCAACTGGGTACGTATGGTATAACCATACAGGAGGTTTTGACAATGAGAAAATCACAACGGGATTATGGAAAGAAATGATATCGAAACTAAAGGAACCCTGTCGAAGTAGGGCTGAGAAACTTCTGTGTGCCTATGCATTTCCCAAATGCATAGATAAAGATGGAGTTGGTTATTTTGCCTTGCCACTTTGTTTAGAAGATTGTATGGCAGTTAAAATGCAGTTTTGTTACAATGATTGGATAGTTATTGAAGAACAAAAGCGACGGGGTGTTTTCTTTGAAAATAGAGGACATTTTCGGTTTCCAGAATGTGAAAGTCTACCCAAATTTACTGGAAAAGGACTGCAAGTATCATGTAACAATGTTGGTATTACAAACATGGATTACAGTCAAGTTACAACAACATGTTACAGAGACAATGGACGGTATTACCAGGGCACTATGAATGTTACAGAATCTGGATTAGCCTGCCAGGCATGGGAGTCACAGTCCCCTCACCAACATACTAGACCACCCTTAGTATTTCCAGAAGTTCAGAACGCCACCAATTATTGCAGGAATGCAGGAGGAGAGGAAAGTAAGCCTTGGTGCTACACAATGGATCCCAATGTGCGATGGCAACATTGTGATATTCCATCATGTGCCAACACTAGTGATGAATTTGACAATAGAAATGGACCAAATAATATTGTTATGGAGAACTACTTTACACCTACATTTGTACTGTTGCTCTCAATTGGTGGCCTTGGATGTGTCTTGGCAATAGCTTCAATAGCTTTATTATGCCATTATTTTGTTAAAAACCATTACTCCAAATGTAATATATCAAGCCGTAGAAACATACCTAATATGGACATAGATCTGGATAAATTACCCAGTAATTTAGCTTACCATACAACTGGTGCACAATTGAATCCTAAGCTTGAGAAATTGGAGTTTCCAAGAAATAATATTATATACATCAGAGATCTAGGACAAGGTGCTTTTGGGCGAGTATTTCAAGCCAAAGCCCCTGGACTAATACCTGAGGAAGAATTCACACTGGTTGCTGTAAAAATGCTCAAAGATGAGGCTTCCCATGACTTGAAACTAGACTTTGAAAGAGAAGCTTGTCTGTTAGCTGATTTTGACCATCCAAATATTGTAAAACTACTTGGTGTATGTGCTATTGGAAGACCAATGTGTTTATTGTTTGAATTTATGGGAAAGGGGGATTTAAATGAATATTTGAGAGCTTGCAGTACAGCTACCAATTTCCCACCTTCTGTTGAAAACAGAGAGGATTTGAGATTGCTTGCAACTCCTCTGAGCCATTTAGACCTTTTACATGTTGCTAGACAGATAGCTTCTGGTATGGTTTATTTATCAGATAGAAAATTTGTTCATCGAGATTTAGCCACTAGAAATTGCCTTATCAATGATGATATGGTAGTAAAAATAGCAGATTTTGGATTATCACATAAAATATACTTACAAGACTACTACAAGGGTGATGAACATGATGCCATCCCTGTGAGATGGATGCCTTTAGAGAGTATACTGTACAATAAGTATACATTAGAGTCAGATGTGTGGGCTTATGGGGTTTGTCTTTGGGAAATATTTTCATTTGCTCTTCAGCCATATTTTGGCATGACACATGAGGAAGTAGTAAGATTTCTTAAGGATGGCAATGTTCTAGCATGTCCAGACAATACACCAAGGTGTGTGTATGATTTGATGAAACAGTGTTGGAATCACAGTCCAAGTGATCGTCCCAACTTTAGAATCATCTACCAAACACTGGACAGTATTCAAATGATTTTGGAAAGAACTCATCCAGAATAATTAAAGTGTATATTGATTGAATAGGTGTAGACATTACATTTTGTACTAATTTTAAGACTTAATTTAGTTATTTATTTATTATTTTGAATTTATCAACAGTGTTATTATTAAATTGGAGAAAAGTGCAGCAACTTCAACAATATTTAAACTTAATTTATGTCAAATATGGTTTATGAAATATTTTCTTGCCCTTCAAAAGTTCATAATTAAGTGATTTAATTTCAGATAAGCAATTGAATTTATTGGTCAATTTGGAAAAACAATTATTTTATAAGCAGCTTACACATGTTCATACTTATTAGTGTCAAACTATTTAATATTTTGTTCCCAATTCCACATTAAATCCAAGACTGATTTTTGTTAGTACTTTGGAATCCTAATTTAGTAGGCTAGACTTTGTCTCTTGTAAATGTTTTATTTAGAAATAAAGTTAAAGCATTTGTAAGTTATGTAGTAATAGTATTTAAGTTTGCCAATTAATTATTGTAATTTTCAATCTTTGTAAGAGACCTTATATTGTTTATGTATTTTTTAACTTGGATACTGCCTGTTTCACAAACTTAAATATAACTTTTTATGAGTTGTTGAATATAAGATTTACATGCTTTACACAAAGCAGTTCTGATGTCTGAATTACATATACATTATGTATAGTGTTCATGTTAAATGTCTTGCCCAGATTGATAAATATTGACTTGCCGTTTTATGGAATTTTCAAGTGTTAACTAAAATTGGAATTGTATTCAGCTATGATTTTAAATAAAATTAGGATAATTAAGCAACAAAATTGGACTGAATGTCTCCCTAGTGATCGATAACAATATGTGTTTAAAGTGATATGTCCAAAGTAAACAAAGTGTACATACTGCCAAACAATGTAAAAGTTCTATATATACATACAAAGAGTGAATGTAATATTTTTCGTAACGCTGACAGTTAATATATAGGCATCTTTAATTTTTAGAATACTTTTATTTATGTATGTATCTATTGATTACAGTTTTACGATGTAATATTATTTTGTCAATAACAGTAATTAAGTACCTACCTGAATAATTGAATAAAATTGTTTTTATGAAAATAAATTGTATTTTATTGGGATATTTTCTATTAATTCACCATTAGTGCGTAGCGTTCCTTAGAAAACCGCGGATACTTGGAATGTGGCAACAAAATGAAATTATTCACAATAAGGTTGGTTTATATCAGATAGACAAAACACAAATCCGATGCTCCTTTCCATTCAGTACAGTCAAACTTTACCTAAATAAATTATTATATTTTCGGCTTATCACGTAATAAAAAAAAAACTTTACCTGTTCACAATGACTTAAATCAGCTTAGAACTTAGAGAATAGGAATTGATACTCAACTAAATCGTCTTTTGTAAATATTGCGTTAATTACCTACTCAAAACTTACGAAAATGTCGAAAAAAGCTGTGGATAGCTGGATACGCCAGCACTCACTGGATACCAATGCATAGATCTATGCCCACCGCATTCATATTTCTAGTATTATTCTGCAAAGGGGCACAGGTTTGCATACCCACTAAATTAATAACTAGGTACGTTGTCTTTCTTATCCATTGCTGTTGCGTTCCACACTGCTTGGTACTCATACCGCAATACATTTGGGTTGTGAAATACTCTCTTCAACTAACTATAAATCGCAACTAGAATACTGCAGTCAATTTCAGACATATGTACCTTAATCAGTCTTTGATTACATTTCTGAAAAATTGAAACAGCTGACTTGTTATGTACCTCGAGCAAGACCATGTAGCGCCTTTAGCTACCAATAGGTAACTACACTTTATAGGTAAATCGATAAAGGTTGCTACCACGACCTTAACTAAGGTAGGAACTTACCTACCTGCCTATTATCTAGATATTTATCTTACGAGTGACTTAACTGTATTTCCCAGGTATTATGACGGAAGAACGACTAGTAACTGAAGTGCCCAGCAGTCTGAAGCAGTTGGCTCGGCTCGTTGTTCGAGGATTTTATACTATAGAAGATGCTCTCATAGTCGACATGCTCGTCAGAAATCCTTGTAAGTATTGTATACCACTACCTGCCTAATAGGTTCACAGGTACTAACTGGAAATCATAAAAAAATTAATAAACACCGAAATCTTTTTTTTATCTAATTACTTTATTTAAATTTTCAGGTATGAAAGAAGATGACATTTGCGAACTCTTAAAATTCGAAAGGAAAATGTTACGTGCTAGGATAGCCACGTTAAAAAACGACAAATTCATTCAAGTGAGATTAAAAATGGAAACCGGTAAGTACCTTTCTATATTGACTAATTAATAAAATTGGTAATTGTATGGCAAGCGCGCGCACACATACACACCAGTCCTTGGAGATTTAACTACTAAGTAATATACTTCCCTAATATAAAACCCCACCTTCCTAGAACGTACACTACGATTCATAGTTTTAAAACTACATAATTAAAAGTCGTTATTAGCCATGTGACGTGACAAAACCTCAGAATTAAATACTTTCCATTAATTTACATAAAACCACACGCCTGGCGACTTCGCCGCTCAATAGCGCAGTTGTCACGCAACTATGCTATGAAAGTTTTTAAATATCTTTCGATCAAACTTCAACTGTAATTGTATAGGAAAACCCAACGGTGAGGAAACCAGTTCATAGTGTTTCTTGCCATACAAGAATCCTTACTAATATTATAAATCGGAAAGTGAGTTTGTTTGTTTGTTCCGCTTTCACGCCGTAACTACTAAACCGATTGCTTTGAATTTTTGCAGACGTAAAGTTAGAAGTCCGGATTAAATATTAGGGTACTTTTTATCCCGGAAAAATTCGATATTCCCGAGGGAAAACCAAAGTATTGGTATAGATGGCGCTGTGTGCAGTGTTGGATTTATAAATAGGCCGTATAGGCCACGGCCTAGGGGCGGCAGATTTTAGAGGACGGTCACTCGATTTAAGACGATAAAAGCCATGGGCTTCGGGTCAAAGAGCAGGGGTAGGAACGGGGTAGTTTTTAGTCAATTACCACTCGCCTGGTAGGGCGGGAAATAGATGATTTTCCCTCTCAAAAATAAAAGTATACATGGGGCGGCGGAAAAAAGCTGGCTTACACTCAAAAACAATATAAATCCGGCACTGGCTGTGTGTATTGGTAAATGACACATAGGCTACTTAGTACTTTTTATCCTTTTGTGACGCGAGCGAAGCCGTGGGTAAAAGCTAGTTTGAAATATTTTCGTGCAAAAATGAATTTGAAATACTTACTTACCTACCCACATGATATCTGATAGTTCAAATAAAATTGTATGATAAATTACAACAACAAAAAAATTAAACTTAAGCTTACTTTATTTTCAGGACCTGATGGAAAAGCACAGAAAGTGAACTATTATTTTATAAATTACAAAACATTCGTAAACGTAGTTAAATACAAATTAGATCTAATGCGCAAACGTATGGAGACTGAGGAACGCGACGCTACCAGTCGGGCTAGTTTCAAATGTCCATCCTGCGGGAAGACATTCACTGATCTCGAGGTAAATTGTGATATTTCTAGTCCCGTTTTAGTTTAAGGCCAAAGCTTATCTAAAACCAAAGGTGTTAGTTCAACCAACCCTAGCTGGCCTACTTGAGCTTAAAATTAATACTTATTTGATGTTTCTTTTCAATTAAAACTATGTATGCACTACCTACACTGGTCTAATTACGAAGGACTAACATTTTGATATTCTCCAGACGGTGCTAATGTAACTTGGTGTTCTATTTATTACGATAATTAAAAAGAAATAGGGCAACGTTTCTAAGTAGGTTTACTTCTTTACAGGCTGACCAATTATACGACATGATGACACAAGAGTTCCGTTGTACATTTTGCAACCAAGTGGTAGAAGAGGATCAGTCAGCTCTACCGAAGAAGGATTCCAGGCTGTTATTGGCCAAATTCAACGAACAGTTAGAAACTCTATACATTCTACTGCGAGAGGTCGAAGGCATCAAACTGGCGCCGGAGATTTTGGAACCAGAGCCTGTCGACATCAATACTATCAGAGGGTACTTACATAATTTTTTATTCAATATCATTCTACATTATTTTCCATATTTGGGAGTAACTACCCTAGAGATGAACCTTGGAATAGTTCTTAAAGAAGAAACAGATTTTGACAGATATTAACACCGGAAAATTTAACAAAATCTGCCGTAACTTTCGTTAAAAATAACAACAAAATTTTTCACACACGTATGTCTGCTTCAACGGTCATGATCACATATAAATTGAAAATATATTTCAGATTGAACTCAAAACAACTTGGGCAGCGTCCTCCAGGGCAGGAATGGTCGGGCGAGGCGACACGGAACCAAGGCATGCTGGTTGAAGAGACTCGTGTCGACGTCACCATCGGGGAGGCAGACAACGCTAATGACACAAGCGCACTACGCAAGGAACGACCCGTCTGGATGGTGGAGAGTACCATCGTTACTAACGACCAAGTAAATGCTCTGTTTTTTTCATACTAGAAACTTAAGTTATCACATTAGGTGTCCAAACTTAGAAGTCTTCTAAATTCGCACGAAAGTCTGTTTAGAAGTTTTGACTTGATGACCTTCAGATAACGAGTGCATTTTTGCATACACGCGAAATAGAGCCATACCTACGGGTTCAGGGTCATTGACATGTCAGATGTGATTGTCAGCCAGAAGAAATAAATAAGAATCTTTTAATTTAATACTTTCTAATTCTGGCGTTTAGGGTTGATATGGTCAGGTCCAGCTTTTAAATCATAATTAATTTATTTTTTAGCGGATGCGCAGTTGGATTTTTGTGTAAACATAGTTGTTAAACATTGATACGATTAGATTACATACATTCTTATAGTTTTAGTGTATCTACGTAGTAAGTGATAGTCTAATCTAGTCCCCTTGAGATTGACCGTCGTCGATATCGGTAAGCCAGAGCATCAGGGTCAGAACCAAATAACTTTTATTAATTTTCGTATGTGGTGATAAATTAGCATATCCCGTACCTAATAACTGCATAGAATCGTATGACCTAGAATGTACGCATTTACCCGCGCCTTTGAGAACCAAAATAGAGGTCATTTTGTTTGCACGTCTTCCTGTTTGCATAAAAAACCTATTATACTAAAATCACTCATGGGTCAAAGCCGCCAAATAATCAAACAAAGATTTGATACTTGACGTCAATTGTTTAAATATTCAAAGGCTATCTAACTATATTTAGAAATGTTGTATTCAATAATCATCGCTTTATTTATAAAGTGGAAATTATTTCGATTGTAAGTGTTCTATAGAAGACGGCATTGTAAGTAGATTGTCTCTTAGAGTTTGACCTAAATTTCGGCGTAGTATCGGCCGATATCGCAATAAATTGCGCATAATTTATGATTCATGAGTAAACTTGTGATAATGCGTTTAATATGAAATCAGGTAGGTTAAATATTTCCTGCAGATATGCGCTTACTCATAGAATCAAGTATTTTATCTACCGACCTAAGAACTACCTAAATGGTTTTGCAGTATTCATTTTAATAATTAATAAGAAATACCTAATTGATACAGCATAAAATCGGAAAAACACAAATAAGAATTATGTATATACAAGTGTTCATAAATATCTGTAAACAATTATATGAGTATGCGGTCATTGCGGAAGTAAAAACAAATAGATTGTGACTAATTATAAAGTTTGTTGTAAATGTAAACATTCAAAATGACATGATGCAATGATTTCAATAATTTTCACAGAGCGACAGCGTTCATTCGACGGATGCTGCGCTTGAGAAAGCAGCCAGCAATGCAAGTAACGCAAAGAATGCTGGGAAAGAGAAGAACGACGATATTATGTCTGTCCTACTCGCTCATGAAAAGCAAAATACAGGTAAATAATATATTACTCTTTGTTTGTACGGCTCACTCACGTAACTGTTCGAGGAGGTTACTCGATTAAATTCAAACCAAACCAGAGCCCATAATTCAATGTGCAAGTAATAAACTGTTTTTAATTATTTATTTTTTAATTACTTTTCAATCTAATTTACAGGAAACAATGCAGCAACGAACGCTCTGAAGGGAATAGAACCGGATAGTTCCGATTCTAGTGACAACGAATCTAAGGATCCGTACAAACTCAAAGACGAACTGGCTGCAGTTGGTAAGGAATTTAAAACACTAACTATAATATCCTCAATGCATCAATCGAATGTGAAGTCATTAATTTACGTTTAATATTGCAGCGGAAATGGAAAGTGAAGATTCTGATACAGATGACAACGCGCCCACTGTGCTAGTAAACGGAAAGACGGTGCCACTAACGAGCGTCGACGATGACGTCATAGCACAGATGACGCCCACCGAAAAAGAAACCTACATACAAGTGTATCAAGAATATTATAGCCACATGTACGATTAGATAAGCGTTAATTGAAAACTAATCAACTAATCAGACGTAAATAAATGTCTTGTTTATACCTAATTCCACTTTCAATAAGTTCCTTCATTAGACTAGTACAAGAATATGTTGTGTTACGAATTCCGATCAGTGATATTATGTCAATATGTGTTGTTTGTTGCTTAAGTCTAGTTATCTAAGGCAAATGCAGAAAACATTTACAATCCACTGTTTATATTAATTCATCAAGAATTAAACTAAGAATCAAAATGTCAATTCATTTTTATTTTTATTTTCAAATAATAAATTACTAACAAAATAAAACATGTTTTAACATAACTGTACAAATATAATATACTTTACAAAAATAGAATAATTAAACACAAACATCACTAAGCATGGAAAAAATTATGCATAACATGAGAATGTTATAATACTGATGTTTTTGTATAAGTAAGTACCTTAGGTAGTATATTAGTTATAGGTAAAACATTATCTAGTATAGGCACTTATTTAGGCGATTGCCTTGGCAACATCTCACTTGTAAACAATACATGAACATCTATGATGAACATAAAGTCTATAATTTCTAGCAAATTCAACATTAAAATTAATTAAGGTGCTTGCCCCATTTGTCCCAATACTCCTCTGTTTGCATTTCCATTATTCTGAGAGACTGCGGTCGCATGCGAACATTTCTTCTTCTCCTGTGAATATCGCCGCGTTGGCATCAGCCTGTTACAAAACAAAATAATATATCTTTAGTTTGTATCAATGAACTTTACATAGACAATTTTCTACATTCAATTTTGTAAAACGTCGTAATATTTGCAAAAACACAAAGATGAGAACATTATTTTTATCGAGTAACATATATTTTTTTTACTTACTGAATCTTTCGTTATGCTCAAATCGTCCATTAGCGCTCTATCAGCATCTGCAAACTCAGTTTTTTCATCTGCTTTAAACAAGTCTTTTGGTTCACAATCTGCTGCGATGACCACCTGAAATAAAATAAAAAATAATGTATTAATATACATTATATTATTGCCAGTAAGAATTTTATTACTCCATTGTTACATTGTTCACTCACCCGAACTCTGTTGTCATACAATGTGTCTATTAATGTAATAAACCTCCTTAGTTGAGATCTTAGCGTTGTTACTGATAGTTGAGGTAAGTTTCTAATGAACACAGTGTGGAACGTCTTAGATATCACAAGATAATCACTAGCTCCTAAAGGCTGGAATAGAAAAATAATTAATATTTTAATTACGTTTAATTTTGTTTCTTTTTTCATTTTATTCAGATAACTTACTCTGTCACATAGCTCTTCAAAAGTCGAGTCCAATATTCGTCCACAAGATTTAGCAAACTTGACATTTCTACCCATAATGTTAATTACTCGAGGTCTCACTGTATCATTCTCCTTGGATATTAAAAATTTGAACAAATTGTCTACTGCATTGTTCTCAGGAGTGAGCTCACTGTTTCTGCAATCAATCAAGTTTTATTAATGAAACCAACCAATTCCAACAAACTTATATTATTTTATACATAGCAACAATAATAACAGAATGGTATGACTGTGTTATATGCATAAATACAATAAGACACTAATGACAAAAAAGTTAAGCAGTACATTAATTTTCTTATGTGTGTCTCTTGTGAATATTGTCTGTTGTAATCATTTATTTCAAATAGCATCTATTTATGTAATGTAATTGTATACTATAATCTATCTTAATAACACATTTTATTTCCCTTGGTTAATGAAATAACTAAATGAAAACTGTGACAAATGGTATTGTATGACCCTTTAGTATTAACAGATTACTGACTTAAATCTGCATTGTGAATTCAAAACATGCAAAAGTACTTACAGAAAGTATTTACTATATTTAGTGCCAGTTCCCCGTAACCTATAGTCAACACCAGAATCTAATTGAACTAAATTACAATGAGACTTTAGAACGGGTATAAATGGCAAAAAGTTTGACCTCTGAAGACCATTTTTGTACAAATCATCAGGTTTTCTATTACTAGTTGCTATTACAACACAACCATTATCAAAAAGTTGTGTGAACAGTCGCTTTAATATCATAGCATCCCCAATATCTGTTACCTATAAATAAAAAAACACAAACTTAAGAACATTCTGGGTAACCCACATCTGAAACATGTGACTCTTACCATTTTTATAATTATTAGTATCAATTATTGTGTATCTTTTTGCCATAACTGTTACATAGGAAAGATTCACAATGCATGCACTACAAGGTTCAAGGTAGACCAACAATAGATGTTCTAGACAATAGTACAGACTTACTTGAAACTCATCAAAGCAAATGAGCCAAGACTCCTGAGTAATATCAGCAGCTACAGGTGGAATTGGATCAAATGGCTTTGAACCCTCGTCACGGAATGAACTTGCACCTTTCCCAGATTTAATCTTCAACTCGTGTATCCTAGCATGGATGTTCAACATAAAGGAGTTAAAGTGCACCCTCAACTTTTCTTTAATCTGTAATCAAATGCATATATTATGAAATATTATGAAAAACACCATAGTTATCCGAAATATGTTTTTTAAATAAAATCTGTAAATTTACACTGTACTAGTCTTTTTATTAATATGTATCAAGGTTTTATCATACACAATAATTACCGTACCGGTACTGTATCATAAAACAAGTCCATCAGCATAGTCTTTTCCTCCTCCAACACTGCCATAGATATAAAGTCCTTTTGGAGCTATTATCTTTTGAGGCTGAGGTCTTCTAAAAAAACTAAATAGAGAGCCTGCACTCGAGCTGTGAAGTACAGGTCGTTCGAAAGCAACAACATGTTCATACACTTGCTGTAAGTGCTGCACTACTTCCTCCTGATGTGAATCTTTACTCAAAACTCCATTTTTCACTCTCTGAGAGTACACTGACCAAGGTCCCTCCGTAGGTGAAGGATTTTCCTGCGCTTGTGATGACAGCAACTTCATACATTGATAACATCTCTTCCAATGGTGTTTAACCAGTGAAGAAACATGAAAACATGAATTCGGTGCAAACATCTTGTTCATTGTCAACTGACTGATTCAAACGAGGAAAATATTTTCATTATATAACTTTCAAACTTCATAACCTTGGATGGTGTAAACACTTTTACAGGTTTTCCATTATAAAGTTAATCACTATAATGCAAGCATAGGAACATTAATTTCGATATAATGGAGTAATTACTCATAACACTGACTTCGTTGTATCGTTTCACTATTTATATAATGTTTAAAGCACGCATTTACTAGGAAATTAAACTAGGTAAAATTATAAGTAATAATCATTTTGCTATTTTACTATGAAAGGAACGCAGCGAGCTGCCCAAATCAAATTCTTTCATTTGTTAATGTCAATGTCACGATGACGTTGATTTGTCATTTTATTATTCGTTCAGAAAATTATATTGGAAAAGAAAATAAAATGAAGTCGGCCATTTCTATTTCTAAAATCAATGCAAAATCACTAAATGAGTAACAAATCATTACTAAATGTTTATTATTTTACTCTGACTGAAATACCTATTTACTTATTTGATCAGTGATTTTTTATTTTATATGATCAATCATTGGCTATTTTTAACACTTTGAACGCAATGGTGGACTACATTATAGGCCATGATAGCGGAAGATTTGCCCTAGACAGTTTCGTATCGTCAGTCAAAGGGAAATACATTTAAAAATCGTAGGTCGACTTTCTTCAGCAGTGGTCGTCTTCCGGTTGACGGTGATGATGATGATGATGATGATGGGTGATAGTCAATGGTTTACCGTGTCTTGATGGGACTCCGTATAAAAAACGTTCGGGAGGCTCCAAACAATTTTATAGTTCCCCTCACAATTGTTTATAATAAAAGTAAATTTTTAGTAAAAGTTCTTCTTTTAAAAGACACAAACTTAAACACTTTGGAAGAGTATATCAAAATCTACATATTGGCAATTTTAAACACTCCCATAAAACTTTCAGGCAACCCCATATTTTAGCCCAAATTGGGATTATGATGACTTTAGTGTCTTTAGATTTTCTTAAGTTCTGTGAATTTTAGACGCATACTTTACGCGGGAAAATATTAATCACTCATTTTTATCCGACTTTCTAAAAAGGAGGAGGTTATAACTTTTGTATTTCTGAAATACATTTTTATTAATTCTTGCTTTCGCACGTCGGGGCCCCGTATATACCTAATTGATGCGGCAGATACGACGACGACGACTAGCTACGCCCCTGATGATAGTTATTGCATTCTCAAGTTATTCCTGTCTTTTTTAAATATTTGTGACGAAGGAAACCTAAACAGATTTAATTATTTGAATTATTAGAATGTCTCGTTATTTGTTTGAAAATCTGCGTGAAATCCATAACACAATTTTAAAACAGTTGACCTACGTAACGTACCAACTTACTGATACTCAATAGGTATTCACGGTTTTAGATGGATAAGAAGATTGAGTAAAAATAACTTAATTATTTTAAAAGTAGGTACCTACCTACCTACTTAAACTTGACCCATCTTACCTTATTACAATGTTGTGAACATTGCATATTATTTTATTTACCATTTTGATAAGCTTTAAACATAATAACGCATACAAAAATGAAGGAGCACCCAATGGTTTAGCAACATGTGCATAAAATAAAACAAAGACTGGAGACACAAGTGAGGGTCAGAGCTGATTTAAAAAAATCTCATCTCGACAATAAATAACAAGAATATCTTGAGAAAGCAGGATGTGGTCAAATTGAAATCGACGTCCTCACTGAATTGATGCAAAGTAAGTGCTTATTGCAATCAACAGTCACACATTATCGTGACATCCTCTTTTTCTTGAACGTCATAAAACAGGGGTGCCACTCCACTTTACTGTGATGAATTGATGACGGTAATTTGTTTTGCAATATCGAATTCGTTACTTTATGTACTTGCAAAAGGTAGCTACCTACTAACTTTGGTCCCATTTTTGTTGCAGATTTGCCAATATGCAAAGAACTTAGGGAGATATTTACCTATACCTATTAGGAAACAGGAAGTGAAATGATATGACCTGCTAATTCAGTCTCGGTGCAAATCAACCTTATGTCTACATAAGAACATAAGTAGGTACATAAATACCTTTTACCAATAAATGCGAACCTTATGATTAAACCATACCCGCAAGGTTCATACTATTCATTTCGAAGCAATCAATTTATCATAAGATAATATTTTGTCTAGTAGAACAAAAAATACCTAATGTAAAGTAGGTACCTACCTACCTTGCCTACCTATACGAAGGAAAAAAGATAAATAACTTATTTCAATGCGCATGAATCACGTTTTTGTCTCTGCTTTGCAATTTGATGTTGGGTACCTACCTAAGTAGTTATATCTAGTTCAAATACCCACAATAACGTGTCCATGCCCTATGGACGCAGACCGTGTAGTATCTTTCCTTTGAAGCATCAAAGGATACTGATTTTACTGTAGTCTAAGTTATAAATAAACGCAGACAACAACAAAGGTACTAAATGAAACCTAAAACAGCCCTGAATGAAACAGTGCACGCGCACATCTTCGCCCGCTTAATTTACGTGGTGTTCCTTTTTTTCTGTCTGTCCCTCCTGTCTCCTGGAAATCCGTCGCGACGAATGCTACAAGTTATTTTCATACACTACGTAGGTACTTCAGCTGTCCAAATGCTTGTTTGGACTTATGATGCGCATTTATTGCCTAAGTAAATTAACAACAGATTTATGAAGTAAAATTATAAAATCTTTTACTGAACCTTATATGGCTAGTTAAGTAGTTACATACGTAAAGAATATCAAACGTATCACGCAGTCGGTATTTTACATATTTAATTTTGTCGACTGTATTTACTTACCAGAATGATGAGATAAGTACCGAAGTGCAACATTATTTGCTTAAAAATATGACGAACAAATCTTACGTCATTGTGCTTATATGGATTGGTACACATACACAATGCGCCAAATTAACTGTAATTGGTGAACCGAAAACTTATTACAACCCCAACCGAATACATGTAACTTGTACGTATCTACTTATTAACGAATAGTTTTCAAAATTTAACGATGAACTAACAACCAATTATGTAAACAAAGGACCACTTAACACCAGTCGCCAAAATAAGGAGGTTTTTGATTGAAGCAACGTCCCCTGTATGCCAAAACCCCGAAATTTCGAAACGGTTTAACAAAACCAAACATTTCAGGTGTAACTATTGTAGTCAATGTCAAGGTTACCTTCGGCGAACTGACCTACGGAACCTAAATTGCTCTTGAACTCGCTCACACACTGGCCTCAATTGTGCCCCATCTAATGCACCGGTTAACAACCTCTAGTGTCAAGGTGCCTGGTGTTGTTTGCATAGCGAAAGGAAGTCTCAAAACTATCACATCTACGAACGATTCACTAAATTCACGAACTCCAATCACAGTGACTGAAAGAAGTTCAGTTCAAAAATTAAAATCGGTATTCGAATAAAACACATTTCATATTTTAATTTGTTCTCTATAAAGTGGTGAGTATTTTGATTAGATATCCCTTATAAGGCAAAACTTTCCAAACTAAACAAAATTAGCTACGTCGAAAATTGGAACAGACATGAAACTGGCATTTGTCCGTAGATATCTACCATGTTTCATGTCTTTTATGTATCTACTAGCTTCTGCCTGCGACTTCGTACGCGCAATCCCGATATTTCCCGTTCCCGTTCTTGATTTTCGGTAAAAAGTAAAAAAAAAGAATTGGGTAAAAAGTATCCTATGTCCGTCTCCTGGTACCTCCCCACCAATTTTCATCCAAATCGATTTAGCCATTCTTGAGTTATAAATAGTGTAACTAACACGACTTTCTTTTATATATGAGGTATAGATGTAACTATCGCCATGATGGCGATTTAAGTAAAATGGTCTGTCATATCAATAACTTACCGGATATTGATTATTAAAATAGACCTTTACTTACATTTCTTAATTTATATGATTGGATACTATTCTTATATATTGAATGCTCCTTTGGTGTTGCGGGTGTCCATGGTCAGATCGTTTGCCTCCTATTCCAAAAAAAGATTACGCCCATATCACTTAAAGGTATAAGCAGTGAGAAACCAACTTATTCATAGTAGTTTTGTCTCTTCAATGTGTAATTAGAACCTTGCAATATACATCCCAATCCACACCCTAATAATTACCTACATATTTCAAAATGATGATAGAGAGATGAGAACTTCTGAAGTCAAACTCGAATTCTTAATGTTAGTCAGCTGCTTTTGCGACAACTCTACTAATAAGCAGTATTTTTACCCAATATTCATGTTATACATATATGTATATAGGACCTAAGGAGATGAGGATGCCCATCAAGTTTCATTTTATTTAAATTATGAAGAGTGATACTTACTGGTACCTACTCGTGATAACGTGGATAAGAGTAAATGCACTAATGTCTTTAATCCTAGTGAGATTTTAGAGTCATTAACTGTTTAACCAAAGCTTTACAAAAAAAAAATTTTAATATTTGCTCCCCAATTTTGTTTCAATCTCTTGTGTTCCTTTTGCAGTGGGCAAGAAGAACTGATAAACTGTACCTGTGTGACTGAGTACCTATAATCCCAGCTTGTCTAATTTTAAAATTGGAATCATTGACACGACAACGAAGAGGATCGTAGAGACATGACCTAGTACAAGAAACGGATGCGTCCAAAATCCGCACGGTGTAAGCATCGTATCCTATTGTGCCAAATAAGCAATCACGTGCGTAGTCGTGCACTGTGGGTGTGATATATAAAAAGTTAAACCTAATCCCACCCAGTGTACTGAATGCATCCCTATTGCTGTCAACCCTACCAATTAGCGATATGTTGCGAAACCGCGAGGGTGGTCGAGCCATGCGGGCTCAGCTGCGTACAACTTTACACTCAATTTTGCACATCACGCCGAGGTATGCTGTTTGTACCTCTATTTAAGTTTGCGGATGTACTTTCCAGACAAGAGATATCCGCTATCTTTGTGCATCGAGTTCTATGAATGAACTTGTTCTTTACCATCTTTACATCGACTTTAAACACCTCGCTCGCCGTAGTCAGCTAAGTCTTCGTGTACTTGGCAAGGAACGTGGGCCTTTCAAATTTAATTTACATTGTTTTTCAATTTACGACGAACCTTTTTCTAATATTAAATCCTTACAATATTAGTGGGTTTATGTGGCATGTCCTACCTACCTATGTGTTAACCGGCGACAGGTGTATTCAAAGTTACAGCATTGATCTAATCTTTTATCGGGTCAAAAGTTATACTACCTATTTATTATAATGGAACAGACATGAAACATGGACAGTTTAAATTATTTGTGTATAAATATGACAGTACCTATCATGGACAGTATGATGCAACAATTAAAATAGTACTCGTCATATTGGTGTTTAAGTTAAACTCATGAGTGAAAACAGAAAAGAATACTTAGGGCTGATTGTTCTAACGCCAAATAAATCTTAACAGAGGAACAACTTTGAATATTTAATAAGTCTTCCATACTAAAAACTGTCAAATGACAATTTTATTCTACAGTTACGAATTAACTGATGTTTGAAAAAAGGGGCCCATAGTGGGTTAATTATAGGCACAGGCAGTTCCTGTAGCCTGCGTTCAGATTCCAGCTACTGGAATAGTTTTTTGTTTTTTTTTCTGAAGTTTTTGCCAAAATTCTCTAGTTGTCAAATCTCCCGATAGATAGTTTATTGTAACTGGCTGTTATTTTTAGGTACAGTCAACCAAATTATTTAGTAGGTACCTAAGTATGCAGATAAGGATAAACTGAATTAGTACAGAGACTTGAGTATCTAGACTGACTAGGTGTAGAATATTACAATGGTATAGATACAAGTCTTAGATCGAAGTTGATATCGTGAGTAGAAAACTCACTATAACTCCACTACCTATTTCCAATACTCACTAATGTTATCATTCAAATAAGTGGATTTAAAACAAAAATCTTCTTATACGCTTATTAATAAGGCAGGATAGACCTATTCTTCATTAAGTAAGTGTCCTAGCTATAAAAAAGTACTTATGTATTAAAAGGAAACTTGAAATTAATTATTAAAATAAATTGTCTGTTGTTAGTAACTTGCGTAAAATAAAGAGCTTACATTTAAAGATATAAATAAACTTATCAACATGTCCTTTTTAATCGAGCAAGTCCTGATCATTCCATACAAAAGCACTCGTGTCATCTTGATTCACGAGCAATTAAGGTGACTGCTAGCAGCCAAAACAATCGATCGTTGCAAATGGCCGTCTCGTTGACACGCACTTGTCAGACGCGCGCGAGACAGTCTCGAGTCTCTCTACATTAAACGAACTGCCAATATATGCTTTATAATGCAGAAATAAGATTATTTTTTTTACTGATAGCGCGCGGCGATGAATGATAAGTAATTTTTAGGTCACGTTAGGATTAAATTGAATGATCCCACACATGACACACAAAAGTACAACTGTAGTAAATCAAAGTTTAAGACTCTTCATTAGAGACAGAAATAGATTTCACCAATAAGTGTCACTTGATGCAGATTTATATCTTCAATAATAGCGAGGAACTAACAAAATAACTTCACACTCTACACTGACTGCTACCACAGCGGTTACCGACATCTAGGGTAGGTACCTGCATAGATATTTTGAGAATACTATGTATTTCTACATACAATTTTTAATTTTAATTCTAAGATACTTATAGATGATTATGATGTGTATAAGTGCGGGCGCACTCAGCTGATCGCCAGTGGGAAGCAGACCTGTTGCCAACCGCACTCTGAATTAACTGTTCTTAACAGTAATGAAATCTTTGAACTAAATCATCAATTAATTAGATTAAATATTATCATTAACTCTGAGTATAAATAATTATCATGATGAATATGCTCGGTACATAAGAGAACTTTAATGATAAGTTCATAAAAATGCAGAAACTGTAGGTAAGCGTTTAAGATACGTATTAAATTTAAACTCGTAACAGTGTCGCGTCCTTGCTTCTCATGATAAGGAATGATTATATTTATAAAAGTAACAAGCACATGTGTACATTAAATTAATGGTTATTTGACAATGCTACATTTCATCAACGATATACCAATTTTCCGACAATATATCTTAATAATGTTCGGAGATGCAGTGATGCGATAACGATAACTGATTTATCGATCGTAGTCATCGTTTTGGCAGGATGTTGCCTGTGGGTCAAGGGGAAATCAATCAATAGGAGCGAAAGTTGTGGTCCTCGGACAGAATTGTTTGATTTGAATAATTTGTAGATTACAGGTCCTTTTTCCACACCACCTGAGAGGTAAGAACCATAGGTGCGTTTTTTTTATAGAGGTCTCCCCGGTAGGCCTATTCCTCTTTGCTACGTAGTTCACAGGCAGTAACCGGTGGCCTTAAGTATCATCCGGAAAAAAATTGTACCCAGTGCAATTTTGTCTAACAGATTGGGATCTTCGAGGTCCCAAAACTGAGGTAGCGTACGGTGTCGAGATTAGGTAATGTGTCAGGAATTGTGTCATTCAGTTAAACGGAGGCGGTGCGTTTGCACGTCGATTATATGAGTCGAGGGCAGTGTTCCTCGGCCAGCGCGAATGGCAGACACAGAGACGTCGACCGCCTACTCGGGTACTCACCTACTCTACGTCAAAACCGCGATTAGCAATTGTGATAAGCTAAAGGGCATGTCAGCTGTTGCGAAGTTATACATTTTGGCAATTAAAAACATTATGGATAGTTTGGTGAAATGAATTTAAATGTAGACCAACATATTTTTGCCCTGTGAACTAATTTGCTATGAAATCCGAATTACAAATTCTATGAAGCTTAATGAAGCTTACAGAATATAGAATTTGGAACTGGTAAATTCGTATAGAAAGAACACAACAATAATTTGTGACAGTTAAATGCTTCATGAAGTTCCTCCTTTTCATTTGGCAACTCTTCCATCAAGTCTTTATTTGTTAGTTTTATCAACCTGGCGTAAAGTTTTGTGGTGGCGGCCACGCACTCTTACCAAAAGGCGAATAAAATTAACAAATAAGAAGACTTCATTCACTCACTCCTTACATTTCACCTGCATACCAATTCATGTTTGAGTAGGAAATTAAAATTGTGTTCCTCATATATAAAAAGACCACATTTTGCATTGATATCTTGCACCTTCTCAATACACTTCCAAGAACGCTAGTGATGGCTTTATCAGCTTGAATATGCTATAAATAACGTAGATACCTAACTGGTGATCTGGGTCGGTTCATAATCGTGGGAATACCTAACTAATATCCAGAAAAATCAAGTATTACAGGATTTTATCACGATTATACTTTTGCAAACAAAACACTTCTGGTTCGGAAATAAGCAGGCTTCAAATTAAATGACAAGTTGGTTTATAAATACGATTTATACAAGAGAGACCGACAATTTATGCGTGCACTAACATTCGAGCGTTATTATTGGAGTCAAGAGCTAGAAACTATAATTAACAACATACAGATACAAAATCTTAATTTACACCATATTTGATCAACTTCAGAGGAACAATTTCATTACATGATATCTTATGTTTAGGAACCAAATTGACTGAGATCTGCATTGTAATAAACGATCTTTGAGATACATCGACGTGGATAATTATTATGTTTTAAGTTGTAAGGACTTCTACCTACTCTGATTCACATTTTTCATTGTCATGTATCAACGTTACTAAGTGACAATGAGACCTAACAGAGTGCTATCAATTAATTTTTGCGCTAAAATTGTTCAATTAATCGTAAGCTGTACGCTGTGGCACTGGAGTTAACGTTATCGTCAGCGGTCGAAGCCCCTTGCTCACGTTACCAGATTACATGCTAGTCTGAACTTTGATAGCCCTGTTTTCGCAATTACAACTATTTCACCCCAACTTTTGTGTCATTTCTATATTTACAAATAAAAATATTCATCTACTTTGAACAAACTTAAATAAGAGATGTACATTACTAAAAATTACTTTAGGCAAAGGTGCCCATGATAATGAATCTAAAATTTCAATCACAGATTTTAAAAGACCATAAGTTTGACTTTGCTTGTATTAGAATACTTAAGTAGGTACCAAAATACTCCATAGACGTTTACATTGACCGTTGCAGATTTTATTATTCAAAAGTTGTCGGAGACGATCGCGATTGCAATCTCAAGTTGTCGTATTCTATAGACAATGGCACACAATATACGCGTCGAAGTTGAAGCAATCATTGGCTAATTAAAATTTGCTGTGCGTGACGCGACCACGAAGTGCCTTACTCACTTATAGGCTGCACACGTGCCTGTCAATGAACTTCGTAGACCATGCCAATAGCCGGGCACGCGTTAAGCCGCCAAAATTCTAGACTCAGCCGCTGATCTATCCGTTGTCGTCAGGCAACTCTTTTGAATTTAAGGATAACGTCGCGTTCACTAACATTTTGCAGAGCACTACTTTCTTTGAACATTTTATCACTACAGGACATAATTAGGACACAATTTATACATCATATTTTTTAAACTATGTAATTTACCTCCTTCTGGTTCCTACATATGAACTAGTGTTTCTATCTAGACTAGGGGCATCGAACTTAGTTCTATATCGATATTACACTACACAATACTTTACAAGTATTAAAACTGATTACTTATTACGAACTTAATTTCTCAAAGGTACTAACGTGCAAATATGAGGACATTGTCAGTCCGGGCGAGGAAGTCGTCCTGTTCTGTGTGAGTGACGAAGGTACGGGCCAGTGCTGGTGCATCGGCCTGCACACCGGCCGGTGGTTTCCGGCGCTCGAATCGTTCCATCATGTCTGCGGGCACGTGTGGCAGCTCCCGCCCCGTCGTGTTTGGGGCTTGAGTAAAGCCGAGTTTCGCAAGCAGGCTCTCACGGATCACTCTCAAGCTGTGTTCTCTCGCGTTCTCGTAGGAGCGGCAGGAGGCGCACGCGATCTGAGCCGCTGGTGGGTCCTGGGGACAGGCGAGCTCGGCAGCGACGGCCGCCAGCCACGCGGCCAGAAGCAGCAGGCTCGCGGGCCTGGCCCGCGGCCCGCGCGACGCGCCCAGCGGACGCGTGGTGCGGCAGAGCGGGGAGGCGGCGGCGTAGCGCGATGAGCGATGTGCGGCCGCGGGCGGCGCGTGCTACACTGCACACGACTCACATTCGACACTAGAGTCGCACGCCACGCCACGCGGCGTTGCTCGGGGCGCTGCAGCCGCCCCGCGCCGCCAGCCCCGCTCGTCCCGCGAGCTGGCCTGCTGACTCACCGCGCTGGCGGCGCCAGGGCTGCGCTGGGAACTCGGAAAATGCGCCCAGTGATGAAGTTTCACCTACAGAGCATAGTGCGCCGCCCGCCCTACAGGTTCTACGAAACTACGACTGCCTGAAAATACTCATTCCGAACCAGTTTACTGAAAACTCACTTATATACCTCTACATATATCATATAACTTCAAAGGCTTAAAAGTATCATAAAAATATTTTAAGTGAATGTTTTAAATGAAAAAAAAATACTTTATCCGAAATAGTTATCGGAAACTTTGTAATAATCCCGGCTATAAAATGCTTTTAAATCAGAAATTCCATATTTCTAACCCCGTGGTGAGTGGTGAGACCAACCAGAAGATACAGCTAATCAGTAATCGTTACTAACCAGCCACGTGCTATAAATTCAGCATAAAATAAAATAATTTGGTACAGTAAGAAATATTTATGTAGTAATTTCAAACAGTTTATTTTTACTGGTAGCATACGAACTAATCCGTTGTGTAGAATAGAATAAATATTATGACAGTTCTCTCGAAAAATGCGAATACCTATCAGGTAACCGCTGCTCATAAGTCTAGAGAAGTCTGGATAGTGTAACGTGTTAAGGAAAAATTAGAAAAGCGGTATGTAGGTGCAGGCGTAGTATGTATGTATGTCCATGTGGGTATGTGAATTGCTTTCTTTAAGTAAAAGTTTTAAATAGTTCTTCATGCTGCGCTGCTACGTAAGTACATAATTATTAGAATTTTTATCCAAAACAATCGTTGTTCCAGTATAGACCTAGGCACAAAAGAAAACTAGATCAGAGAGCTTATTTTATTCAGAACCTCCCAGTTTTGTTCAGTAGAGTCTTTGCTAAGGTGCCTTGTGCAGTTTATTTTAAAAATGATCCAGTTACTTGAGTAAGCCGAAAACATAACAATTAATGTGGATCATATTGTTGCACTTGAAATTTTTTCTTATAAGTCGAAATTCCCGTAGAATGTCTCATACTTCAGAAATCTGAATCATTATAAAGCACTCGCTCAAATAAAGTGGGTAGTATCAATTTGCGTGCCAGTAGACCTCATTCGCCCAATTATAAAAATTATAGCATTTCAAGAAATGGTGATTAGAAGGGTGAATCATAATGTCACAAACATAAAGTAGATCATTTTAGAAAATATTGACGACAAGGTTGGTGTAGTTAGTGGCAAATGACAGTGACCATTGACTGCAACAACGTGTCGTAGATTCGATTACAGTATGGAAAAATTATTTATTGTAGTTGTAAAAACTGTAGTTTCGTGACATTCTGAATGTGATATCCTTGTAACTGGAGACAGGAGAAAATATTATTAACAGTTAAACCGGTGACCGCAACCTATTGTTCTTTAATATTGTCTATAATGACGGTACTCAAAGGGTTAAAAAAATGTCGACTATTAGTTTAACTTAAAAATGCGGGTTACTCACATGAATATACTGAAAAAAGCTGCTGCTCATGACCGCGCACTGTGCTCATGAGGAAGAACTCATCTATGGTTCGAAACTAGTAGAGCTTTTCTCAGTATATTATTCACGTGAGTAACTTGCGATTTTTAGTTAATTTAATATGTATCACGATAGTTACTATACAAACAATGACAAGTATTGCATTGTTTCGGTACCTACCTAATTACTAGTAATTACCTATTTTTGTACAGTTGGCTGGGCGACCGTCTGTTGCGCAACGCAATGTAAAGCGGGTTTGAATCCCGCACGGGACAGCTCTAGGTATGTGTGATCTACAAAAGGTAAGTGTGGCAAATGTGCCTAAATGCTTACACTTTGTCTTTAGGTACGTGCTACGTGCTTAATTGATATGTTTTCATTCCTTCGTTGAATTAATGCTTGAAGATTGGCGTGTGACGAAGCCTGAGAGATGGCAGAATACTATACATTTGTCAGTTTGTCACACCCGCCCCTGACTTTTCCCAAGAGCGAGTGTCGTAAAACTGGGTTTCGACTAAAGGACGTAAGTACTTGGAAGTAAGACTGGCTGACTACAACCGTGTAGTCGGTGCATAGTTAAGTCGTGCAGGTACACTGCCTGTTATAATTATTACAGAGGAGGATCGATTTTAGACTTAGTACTCATTATATTATTAGTGTGGGTCACCAGGTATTTCTAACTTCATTTAATAATTTCTCGGTCGGCACGGATTCTTGTCTATTGTCATTCTGACAGCCAATGATTAAAGGAACCGCTTCTCAAGCGTGCAATTATTAAAATTTTATCGCGTTATCAAACAAATTCTGGCTAAATATTTTAGATATTTTAGTAATACAACACAATGTAAACAAAATACTTTCAGTCTGGTTAAGTCGAGTTGATTGATTTGTGGTAAAATACTTCTCAAAAACTGATAAATTACTAGAAACTGTGGAATAAATTCTACTTGTTGTTAAGCAACCACGCTACGTGTTAATGCGATGTTACATAATATTATACTTATGTAACATAACACTGCACTGATTGCATTGAAATAATTTTTATTTTTGCTTTTTTTTATGGCATAAGCCGGTAAACGAGCAGACAGATCACCTGGTGGTAAGCAATCGGCGTCGCCCATGGACTTTTTGGGGATTAGAAGTTTGAGAATCGTTTGGGATCCAGGGATTGGGGAGATTGGGAAAGGGAAAGGTAATTGGGCCTCCGGTAACCTCACTCACACGACGAAACACAACGCAAGCGTTGCATAACGTCGGTTTTCTGTGAGCCCGTTCTTCCAAAAGATTCAAAGTGGAGGTTCTCAATTTGACCTGTATCTAGCTAAATATGTTTGTGCGCGATTATCCGGCAATCCACAATTCTCAAATTCCCAATTCCCAAAAGGCCGGTAACGCACTTGTAACGCCTTGGTATTTTGGGTGTCCATGGGCGACGAAAATTGCTTATCATCAGGTGATCCGTCAGCTCGTTTACAGTTTTAGTGTGCTATAAAAAAAAAAAATTGGTGAACCGATTTTGATACGGTTTTCACTAAAGTGATTGTTACACTTAGCTTTTAGTATAGGTATTAATAATTTGACTTCAAAAAAGAGTGGTTTGGACTCCGTTTATTTTAAAAGTAGTTTATAAAAATTTCAAAGAGAAAACGTTGGAGTATCCTCATATATACCGTGAGGTGAGGATACTCCAACGTCCAGCTTTTAGTGATAAAAGCTTAATGGTGGTCACCATAAGCACCAGCAATAATAAGGTCTCTGAATTAACCAGATTTCTCCCTATGCAATGCCTGCAGTGTCTCCCTTGAGGATTCATATGCATACTGGCACGTGACCACTTACATCACCTGGGTCACTGGCCTACCTTCCATGGCCCCAACTCTAAGCGACCGTGGTGGGTTCAAAGGCATTCTTTTAAAACTAGTAATTAAATTCATTACAGCTTATAAATCTGTCTGTACGGTTGGCGCAATGGTTGGCTAACCGGCTGCTGTGTGACGTGCCGAAGGTTAGAATTTTTTTTATTTATTTTATTTTCAACCGTGATCGTCTCGCTGCAGGGCAAAGGCTTTCCTACCCTCCTTCTACTCCTCTCTATGTAAAGTTTTTTGCGGCCAATCCTTGTCATAGATGTCCAGCTCCTCCCGCCTTGCCGGCCTCCCGTGACGTCTATTGACGTTGAATGGGCTCCACTCAGTAGTAAGTTTTGCCAATCGCTCCTCTGACAGACATGACCAGTTCAGTTCCACTTTAAGCCTGCGGCTTCTTGACAACGTCAACAATTTTATTCTGTCTGAAAGTCGAATTGAGTACTGCGTGTGATGAGTAGGTAGGTAAATGAATGAATTAGGATTTAGATTCGATGTTGGCACAATATAATGTTAAAAAATGACGTCAATGAATGCAGTTTTGAAATAGAAACAAATCACAACTTATGTTATTGAATATTTAATGGGTTATATAACTACATAAATATTTACAACTTAAAATTAACTACAACTAAACTATTAAATAAAAAGAAAGTAAAAGAAAACAACAAAAATTATACCCTTAATTTAGGCGTCAAAGTATTCGTCCGCATCACTATCACAGGGGAAAGTTCCCAGAAGACTGGCAGCATTGCCACGTTGAATGGCAATGCTTATTTTCTGTCCGAAGAAAAAGCCAGCCCTCTGGTCACGTGTAGAGTCGATAAGCCTACGGGCGATGTCTTTAAACACAGAGTGTGCACTGGGACCCCATGGCCCAAGTGTTTCGACCCCAAACGGCTCAAAACAGTAGTTACCCACTAGATTTGAATATTTACGCCGTTTGAGGGCCTCTGCCGCGGAAGCAGCTGCACCAACGCATGCAGCGGTGCTTAAAAGATGTGATGGCGCAAGGGTGTCTACACACGTCGCGTCCCACACCAAAGGCCTACCCATCTTCCAAGGCAGCAACGACATACCATCTGGTCTTTTGCCGTCATCACGTACCAAACCATTAGGTTCTAATACGGCTGGTACACCGGCTGAGGCAAGAGCACGACGAATGATGTCGTTGATGCTGGCGATCATTCAATAACAATGATAATGATCGTAACGTGGTAACGTAACAAGCAATGTCAAATAAATTAAATTAATTATTTTTCAATATTTCACATTTCAAATCAATCAATATAATTGATTTAGCTTTATTGTAACTTGTGGTGTAAAATAAATAAATAAAAATTGTACTCTGAATCGGGGTTCCCGAGGATCTTCTCTTCAGATCTGTCGAGAGATGTCACCAGCCTAAATAGGCAGGTTCCATATCAAGATAACTGTACGCCACTACGACGCCACTACGAGTATATCTTTGGAGACTAATATATACAAATCAAGAAGAAAGTCATCCCAGTGGTCACCGCAGCGCAGCGCGGTGGCGCGTCGACGGCGGCGGCGCGGCGTCGCCGCGTCGCCTCACGCGGCTCGGCAGCGCCCTATGCAGTAGGTACTGGCCACGGGATTGCTTTATTGTTTTTTATTATAATGTAAAGTTTTGACGGATTTTGACGGCTGAGTGACGGCTTGTATATAGTAAAATAGTGGTTTTATATTTTTATTAAGTGTATTTTATAGTTATATTGTGTTAGTTTTAAGATTATTTTTGTATGCCTGGATGCAGCAGCTACGCCGGACAGAGTGCCAGTCAACCTGCCGCACCCCTGGATGGGACTCTGGTAAGATGCCCACATTGCTCTCAAGCACGTTTTTTTAAGGGTGAACGGGGTCTGAGGGTTCATTTGGGCAAGGTACATAAACCCAAAAATGTAGCTCCTTGCCTAGTGACAGCCTCAGCTCCTTCACCAACCCCTGTCCAGCAACTACAACTTTGGCAAACCTTATCAAAATTTAAAAACACAACTCCAGTTTTAAAGAGAGTTCCTCGAGGTGCAAGAGCATCCGTAGCTTCAAGTTTAGCACGCTGCATTGGTCTTGTGGTTCGAGAGAACTCTCTAAGTGCTTGGGAGCAATTATTAACCTTTCCATTTAGGATTCTACATGTGCAGAAAGATTTGGCCAACAAAAAAACTTTAACAACCCAAATTAAAGATAATTGCTTTTCTCAAACCCAAACTTTCGACCCTAAATTATCAGTACACTTTACTCACAAAGGTTTGCTGCATCATGTAGAGTCCAAAATAGCGGATGGCGATATCCGTGGTGCTGCTAGGGTTCTATTTAGTAGTGATGTGGTCGCTACGTACTCTGCAGAGGTAGTTACAACCCTGCAGAGTAAACATCCTTCCCCGGCAGATGACCTCATCTTTCCTGACCCACCAAACCCTCAACTCCATTCACTTTCGATTACTGCCCAACAGGTTCGCGAGGCCGTTGACTCCTTTCGAAATGGTTCAGCTGGCGGCCTCGACGGCTTGACACCACAACATCTGAAAGATCTCGTGTGTTCGAGCGCCGGGGAGGCTGGTGAGTCCCTTTTGAAGGAGTTGACGGCCTTAATCAATCTAATGCTCTCCGGCAATGTGAACGAATCCGTCATCGATGTCTTATACGGGGCTAACTTATGTGCCCTGCGTAAGAAGGATGGCGGTATTCGTCTCCCATTGCTGTAGGTTGTACATACAGGCGTATCGCAGCCAAAATTTGCTGCGCCTATTACAATGAGTCTTTGGCCAGCAAATTCCAGCCCTCACAACTAGGCTTTGGTTGCAAATGCAAGGGGGCTGCGAGGCTGCGGTACATGCCCTATCCACATTTTTAAATAGTAACCAAGGTGAGGTCGTCTTAAAGGTTGACATTAAAAACGCCTTTAACTCCGTAAGCAGGGACGCCTTGTTGACTGAAATTCTAAAAGAAATCCCCAAAATTTACAGTTTTCTTTGGCAATGTTATAGAAACCCTTCAAAATTACTGTATAAGGACAATTTAATAGAATCGGCTGTTGGTTGTCAACAAGGAGACCCCCTTGGGCCTGCCATTTTTAGTTTAGCTATAAATCGTATTATTCGTGAACTAAATTCCAAATTTAATGTATGGTATTTAGACGACGGAACTCTAGGAGGTGACGTTGACATTGTTTTAAAAGATTTGACTATATTAAAAGAAAAACTGAGTTCTATTGGCCTTGACCTAAATTTATCAAAATGTGAACTATACATTCCTGACTCTACAGACAGACTAACGACTCTAGCAAAATTTAATCAAATAGCTCCAAATATCAAAATTATTGATAAGTACTCACTTCACCTCCTAGGTTCACCAATATTCGATGAATGTTTTCCTAAATTCATCGAGGACAAGATACAAAATTTCAATCACATTTCGGATAGATTACACAAAATCAACACACATTCGGCTTTCACCCTAATTCGGTACTGTTGTTTTGGACCAAAATTTACTTATATTCTCCGCGCTTCACATCTATGGAAACATTCACACATTTTAGAAAACGTAGACAAAATGATCAGACACACATTGTCATCCATACTTAATGTGGCTTTGGATGACCGAGCTTGGCAACAAGCTACTCTTCCTATTCGCATGGGAGGGCTCGGCGTCCGCAAAATTTCAAGTATTAGTTTACCAGCTTTTCTGTCTTCGGTCCACAGTACCTCTGAATTAGTCAGGAAAATTCTTTCTTCGTCACTGACTAGTTTTGAGGTGCCGTGTTTGACTGATGCAGTGGAAGCGTGGAAAATGGCTTGCCCACTTACGGATTTACCTGTTCACCCATCTTCTCAGAGACAGTGGGACGTGCCGCTGTGCAGTGTTATTCGTGAGTCTTTAATCAACTCGTCTCCTAATACTGCAGAGCGAGCTCGCTTATTGGCTGTGGGAGAATGGGAATCAGGATTGTGGCTTCAGGCACTCCCGTCACCCTTCATAGGTACTATGTTGGATGACATAACGTTCCGCCTAGCTGTATGCCTACGTTTAGGTGCTCCTTGTGTTTCTCCGCATTATTGTCACTGTGGAGAAAGAGTCGATGGCTTGGGACACCATGGTCTTTCTTGTTGCAGAAGTGCAGGCCGCATAGCTCGCCATGCCAGCATCAACGACATCATTCGTCGTGCTCTTGCCTCAGCCGGTGTACCAGCCGTATTAGAACCTAATGGTTTGGTACGTGATGACGGCAAAAGACCAGATGGTATGTCGTTGCTGCCTTGGAAGATGGGTAGGCCTTTGGTGTGGGACGCGACGTGTGTAGACACCCTTGCGCAATCACAACTCTAGTTTTCAGATGTCATTTATACCTACTGTCAAATGTCAACTGTCATTGTCATTTGTCAGTGGAATTGTGATTGTTTTGATGTGAGTTTCAGATGTGCAATTTAATTTTTTAAAACAAATAAATGAATTTTCCTGAATTATAGACTAACCATTGAAAAACTCTACAATGGAAAAGTGTCGAATATGTTTACGACAACGCAAAAAACTTCTTTGGTTAAGTACAAAAGTAAACGGAATTACATTTGCCGAAATGATGTCTGCAATTGCTAACGTTAAGGTATTTATTTAATGTTATTCTTGTGTTTGTTTAGAAAGAGCATACATAACAGATGTGTCGAATTAAGACAACTTAACTTTTACCATACTTGATTAATAATAGTGACAGTATTGCTCAGTTTTGTTTTATTTCGCAGGTTTCAAACGAAGACAGTTGTTGTGGTATGCTATGCCGTAACTGCCGTGTAAAATTAATAGATGCATACAATTTCAAAATAGAAATTGAGAGGTAATAAACCTGAACATGATGATACCATAATTATAAAAAATAACTTACCTACCTACACAAAATCTCCCACTTATTTCAGATCAGAAATGATACTACAACAAACTTCCAATACAAAAAGAATCTACTTTAGCAACATAAATGACATTAAAATTGATATTGAAATAGATACTGATTTTAAGCCAATTTTACCAGAAATGGATAATTTTTATCAGAAACTAGTTGAAACTGGGACCAATACCCTATCATACAATGATACTTTGATAAAAAGATTAGGTAACCCAATTGAAGGCTATGAAAACAAATCACTGTCTGTGGGTGAATTTTTGAATTCTATTAAAAATGAAACTGATAATGATTGTGATTATGTAAGTATAAGATAGCATATTTTGTAAATGTATGTGCCAGAAAACTGTAAGTCACTGATTTTGTGAAAATTTATTTATTTTCAGCAGGCTTATGAAATAGGTTCCAATGACTATTACTCTGAATCAGGCAGTAACTACAGCAATGATGACAGCGAGAAAAAAAAGAAGAAAACCAAAAAGAAAACAAAACATAGTGGTGAGCTTAGTAACAAACTAATTTGCAAAAAACATGGAAATTATATGAAATTCAATACTGCAATCTACTTTACACAAAACAGGACCTATGTGCGAAACCTTATATTTATGGAGTAGATTAATAAATTTTCAACTATGTAGTATACAAATATGTGATTATTTTAATCTTTCAGGTTCAAAAAACAGTTCAAAAGAGAGAGTCAGAAAAGATGGGCCACAGATAGTTCTAGAAAAACCTCTAAAACCTAAATACATAGAAGATTTGAGATTAGTCAGGACAGACCCTGAGGTGAAACCTCAGAGAAATACAGTTAAAAAACCTAAAATTTCAAAACCTAATGTTTGTCCCTATTGTGGTAAACTATCCAAGAGTATGGACAAGCATATATTGATTCACACAGGTAAGTAATAATGCATTGATCCTACTATAAACTATGCAAACTATATAACTATAATATAATATTATGAATGCGAAAGTTCATGAGGATGTATGTGTGAGTGTGTTTATTACTCTTTCATGTCAAAACGACTGAAGGGATCAAGATGAAATTTAGAGCAGGGATAGATTATGGTCTAGAATAACACATGGACCTCTTTTTATTCCATGGGAATGTGGGTGTAGCTGATGGCAGAAGCTAGTGCTATATAAATTAAGAGTAACAGAATGGGGGCTACCATATTTTTGGTCACCAGATGCAACATGTAATGCAAATGTAGGAAGAGGTTTTTTGTTCAGTCACAGCCGCTGTCAAATATTGAATGTCCCATGACGTGACACTAGCTAATTCCCTATTGGACGAAGTACGAGTGTCACACTAGCGCCACTTGGTGAGCAAAAATACCGTAGGCCCCATTAATTTAGTTATAAATTGTTGTAGAAGATTAAAAAGAAAATAATTACTATCAGAGGATGACGGGCGGAAAGCCGAGTACCTAATAATAGTAGACAAACTATATAATATGTACTTTTTCCTTTACAGCTGAAAGGAAATTCAAATGCGATCAGTGTGGAAGCGCATTTTTCACATTGACTGTCTTAAATTCCCACATGAAACGTCACACGGCAATTAAAAAGTTTAAATGTGATCATTGCATCGCTGCTTTCGCCAATGAGAGAGAGTTACGAAGGTGAGTTTTATAGAATTTATTTTGTAAAGAACCTTTTTAGCTCCATTGTAGTATATGGTGAACCTATCATTAAACATAGGACTTCATTTCAAATGGAGATGCTACTGTGATCACACAACAGCATCAGCAGAGAATTCAGTTTTCGAAAAAATCGATAAAATGGTGCTATCTGTCACATTGCCGTGAGGTACACAAAGACAGATATTTAGCAAATGGCACATCTCCTCTCGAGAAGTAAATGAGTAAAAGGAATAATTAAATGTTATCAACGTTAAAATTATACCTAACAATGAAGTTTTATACCTAGTAATTTTTTTACAGCCACAACATAATGCATCAAGATGAAAAAAAATACATGTGTAATATTTGCAATAAATCATTTAAAAGGGTATGTATTTACTTAGTTTTATTAATTCAATATTACTCAATTGTGATACTAGCTTTTGCCTGTGGCTTTGCCCGCGTATTCCTGTTTTATCCCATGGTAGCATTTAATAGGGATAAAATGTCCTATCCTATCATTTAAATCAGCCCATACCAATTTTACCAAATATATTTTACAAAAAAAAGTTACAAAATAGTTGTTTAACGTTTTTGACGGACAATCATCCAAACAAAGAAACATTCACATTTATAATATTAGTGAGATGGGCGAATTAGCCAACATATAACCACAGACACAACATACATGTTATTGGTCGCCTGTGCCATCCAGTAGATAAAGGAGGCCATACATGCTAGGTTTTGTATGATGATTTTAGCCGTGCATGCATAACCGACAGGCAAGCCCTAGCGTGTATGTGATTAAACTGTACAGTTATCGGTGCATTGGTGCTCGATTATGCTTGTCGGTTTTACATGCAAAGTTATAACCATCATGCATAACCTAGCGAGTATGGCCTTAATAAATAAAATAATAACCAACCTTTTTGTTCTGATATCTAAACTTATATTTTTTTTTACAGAAACCAATTTTAAAGCGACATATGATGATACACAATTTTGGTAGTAAACCCATCCCATGCGAACTATGCCCAATGACGTTTATTACTAAGTACAATTTACGACATCACATGCGCGTGCATACTGGCGAGCGACCTTTTAAATGCGAGGTAAGGCAACTCTTTATCTTTTTACCTTTTAAAAAACGTAGCCGCACTCTAGGATTTTTATCTGTGCCTTGGGTGCGTTTACAAACGTATAAATTCAAATACAATTCATACCCAAACCTGGGACAGAAACTGTGATCACACAGAGAGTTGTTTAGATAGGAAATTGAACCTAAGATTCGTTGCGCAGCAGTCGGTTGCTCAACCATTATTGCAACCTTGCAGTCGGACTATAAAATATGTTTAAATAAAATTTCTTTAACCTGATTTCTTAAAGGCACATAATTCAAGTAAACTGTTCAATATTTTCAGATTTGTTCGCAACCATACAGCTACAAACATGACTTCAATAGACACTGCCTGAAGAAGCACGGCGTGTTTTTGAAACGAAGATCGGTGCGTGTTATGAATGACGAAGTATTACAACAAGAGAGGGCCCTTATGAGAGAACTGTCACTCCGTGCTCATGGGATTATAAAGGATGATGAAGTTAAAAACCCATTCGACGGCCCTCAGGCGGCGCAGGCGTATGAACAAACTATGAAAGCCATTGCAGCCAACAAAATACCAATTATATTTTGAATAATACCCGCGCTTTTTATTAATGGCAACTGATTAAATTCATACTTGCCTTTTAATATTATGTTTGTAAAATACATCAAGGACATGTTTTTGGGAAGATATAGGGCTCAAATTAGACAGATTACCCTATGCAATACATATGTATTTTAAAATACAGAGTAGAAATATTTTTTTATGTTTACAAGAATTATAATTTTTCATGATGATAACACACTTATATTGTATAAATATTTGTATTTATATATAAATTGTATAAATAAATGTTGATTAGATGTGTAACTTTGGTTTTCTTTCATATATTCCTCAACGTTTGTGAATAATATAATAATTCAACATCATCGTCTACAGCTAAACATAAGCCTCCCTAGTGACTGTTAGATAGGTAGGTTCTAACCTAGGTGCCCAACAAATAATATTTATTCTTCTATTTTCTAATAATATAAAATAAAATTACAAGAATAATAATATTTTTAAGGTCTAATTACCTACTTAACACTGGGTATATTTCTGAACTGTTCTAAATTCTGAAGTGTTTTCTGAAAACTCAATAATATTTTGCTAATCCCACCTGGGGTCGAAGCAGCCTTAATGCTTTTTCTTCAACTCGCTTCATATCATATTTCAAACTAGGCCAGAGTCAATTTTGATGAATGTGGGGTTTTATTAGATTGAAGCACAATCGACGTCAGAGGTAAGGGTAACTAATTAACTGCCGATTTCAATAACCGACCTTAATCGAAAATCTGCAGGTAAGTAAGTATTGGGGGGAAATCAACGAGAATAGGAGTGAGTGTCAGACTCATGACTAAAAACCACCCCGTTCCTACTCCTGCACTTCGAGCCGGAGCCCCGGCAGCCCGTTAAGTCCTCCGCGGCTCCGTATCTGCCCTATTGAACCCCATCCGTAGTGGTCTGATGGCTCTTTGAGGCAGGCGCGGAATGCGACACGCCATACGCTCAGGTCTGGTTCTGTCGGGCGGCGAGCTACCCATGTTTGCTGTCCTCAGGCCCGGCTAACGGTGGCCGGAATTGTCCGTGATCCCGACGCCCGGAGTGGCCTTCGCGACGGCTGGGTTGTGAGGAAGCAGCGCTTCGCTACCGCATTCGCCTCGCCTCCTCCTTAGCTAGCATGACTGCTTCGCAAAAAGAGATCTGCAGATATGATTGATTTTTGACATTGGTTATATGAAGTTTCTGCCAGAAAGCGACCGTAATCTAGATTTTTGATTAAGGTAGGTTATTGAAATCAGCTCTAAATGACCGACTTTTACTGTCATACTAAAGTAGATATTTTAGTACACTTTACGAATTTTACTTTATAATTAATGTCAGACTACTCGAATCAATAAACCAGGCCTTGATAAATATTAGACCACTGACGACTACCTCCATTCAAAATACACACATTCTTTCGATAAAACACGACTTGTTCCTTGTTCGAGGCGAAATAAAATAAAATAAATTAGGTACTTTGGTAAGTACGTACCTGCAACAAGCAGCCTTCAGATAAAACTTACCGCGATTAATTAATCTTTATGCGTAGGAATGGGTGGTACCTACCCATTATCCCCGATCCCTATAACCCCTGTCACAAAGTCCATTACGAAGAAAAAGGCTTTTGTTGCCCCCTACAAAAGAGTAGGTAATTTAATACCACTTATCTTTGACCAGTTATAAATAACACAAGGCGGCGTAACTTCTAAGTATCTAATGGACCCTTTTATCCGCCTATCAATCAATTTCTACTATATAAGGGAGAATTTTTTCCCAACACTCTCAGTATTTTACGAAAACTGGAGAAAGCTGTAGTTAGTCATGGTAAGTTCTACATTCAGTATTATTTCTAGTTTTAGAACTAGGTACTTTATACCTAATGGTTATATCTAGATAAAATCCAAAAGATACTAGATAATATTCTTTATCATGTCTTAATGTTAGTTTATTGTTATATTTAAGTAGGTCCTTGAAACAGATTTTTATATTAGCCTCGAATTGTAGTCAGTTATTATCAACTTGGTTTCATATAGTTTTCAATTTCTGCTTACCCCTCCGAGAAAAAAATTATCTTTTTTTTAAAGAAGGAATATCCTAAAGATGAAATTTAGTAACTGACTGTACCTACTTATCCAAACTATACCTAGATTGCGATGAGAAGTGTTCAGGCGTCACCTGGTTTAATTTACTTACCTACGCTGCTAGTACGCGACGGTAGGAAAACCTGTTACTTACTTACTTCTTTTTTTTTTCAGATAACTCGGCCGCTTGTCTTCGTTATAGTATGTTTTGGATTCTTCATTTTGCTTCAATCGTTGGTACCAAAGGTGATGGCATTGAAGAACTCCAACGTTGACGAATACATGCTCGAAGATCAAAGGACTCGTAAAAGAAAAAACTATGTCGTGCGATTGGCTAGAGACGGTGAAATATTAGGGAATTCTGGAAACTTAGGTACAATCTATGACACAGATTCTTTTCAACCGGACCCTACGAATCCTGAAGAGCTGTCCGCATTTATTGTGGACTACGCAAACATGATACGGAACGATGTCATCTTATTAGATAAATCTGTTGAAACAAGGACACGTAAAAGGGGTAACATTCAAGTTAAGAAGTATAACAATGTGAGTATTCTCTTGAAAGTTCCTGATTCTAATTTCTACCGCCATGAAATGTTACGATTTTTTTTTACCATATACTTACTGTAGAGTGTTGACATGACTGCCCTACAATCCGTTAACTCCTCTAGTATCTATTTCTGAAGGATTCAATGACACAATCCTTGGATTTACCGTTGACAATTTAAATTATAGATTTGTTTTAATTGGGGGTAGGCATAATCTTTAAATATTATTATTTTTTGTTTTCAGCAAGTGCTACCAGATCCGCCCTGCACATGTAATTTTAGCGTAAGTTTAAGATGTGACTTCATTATTAAATATTAATCCTAGTTACTACATGTTGTTATTTATAATTGAATCACTTTTCAGAGAGTTATAGAAGATTTTGGTGAAAATACGTATCCACGTTTCGTGGAAACTAGAAATTGTACTCAAGCGCGACAACTGACGTGCCGTCGACCGTACGTCTGCAAAGAAAACTACTACAATGTAACTATGAACTTTATTATGATATCAATAAGATTCTTGTTATATATTAACGTTTTTAACGTTACTTTTTCTATTTTAGCTAACAATATTGAAAAGACGGGAGTTTCAACATCAAATATCTTCAATAGATATGCCATCTGATTTAAAATTTAGATGGATTGCGGAATATCGACCTATTAGCGTTGGATGTGTTTGCACTAGAGATTACTACGACATTGACAATTAACCGTTTATGACGAAAAATCGAGAAGCAGAAAAGAAGAATGGAAAATGTCTTTCCAAAGGTATCATTTAAATCTGTGAATAGAGCAATCTTGGGCATATTTTAAAAATAAAACTGTAGATCTTATGTTGCATTTTTATTTGCTATCCATAATCAAATATTGATTTTATATCATTGCACATTGCTTCATTGCAATTTTGACAAGAATTTAATTATTAAATTAATAATCATTTCAAGTCCTATATCTGTAGTAGTCCTATATCTGTAGTAATCCTATATCTGTTTTCTCATAGGAAATTTCAAACATTACATAGCCATATATGTAGTGTTTTAACTTATTCTTAAAATAATTCAAACAGAACTTATTCATAAAAGTACTTTAATTAAGTATTAACATTGACTAAATATTTACATAATCAAACATTGTTTATTGCTTTTATTATTAAGTGTTGAATAACATTATTGATCAACAATAAAGTACTGCATGTAGACTCGTTTCTACATGTAACATACACTTGGGAGTAAAGTAACGGAGCCACTAGTCCACTATCGTCTTTTCTTTTCATTTGTTAATAATATCAATTCATCTGATACAACTATTTTGCTAATTTGTAACGTATGTCACATTTAAAATGAGAGTTTACTGTAAAAGAAATATATTTTTTTAAAGCTATATAGCGTTCAATAAAGTTAAATAAAGCGCTAGTGAGTCCGTTTATTTGCTTCCAAGTATCGTTTAGAGACAAAACACAGAAATTAAAGATTTTACGTCACAAAAAGTTTCAAACTAAAGTGTTTGTATAACTTGAATGGTAGATACTTGTTTCGGGTTTCGTAGATCACGTTAACGAGAGTACAGTTTCATGGGCCGCTGGAGTTGGGACCTCTCCTAATTGCGGCAAAATATGTGTTATCGCTACCCTCGTCTCGTTCATCATGCCCATCTCTCGGCGAAGTATGTCCTCAGTCACGGTGTGAATAGATTTAAACTTCAAGTTAATCCCATGTACTTTGTAAACATGGTTATTCAAGTTCACTTTGTAACTGAATGCCACGTTGCAAACCTGGAAAATAAATCATTTAGTACATATGTGAAGAAACAACATAGTATAGTTAAAAGAAGTATGAAATTATAAAACGATGTTATTTGGTTTTCGTATAATCCCTTACTGACAGAGATAGGTTCTTGAAGATGTAGTCCTGTTTACTTTGAAGAACAACACAGTACAGTTACCAGTCATTAACTATACTCACTCTATACGTATCGACATTAGCAAAGAAACTATGTAGTTAAAAATACGATAAATCGCATTCCGCTGTACAGGAGACCAGCCGCAGCACCCAGAAAAATGTAGTGTAGTACGTAGTTTGTTTAGTTTGAATGTTACAATCATATTGAGCCTACTGACCTCGCAAGTATAGGGCCTTTCGCCAGTGTGGGTAATCATATGGTTCTGGAGGTGGTGGCTTTGCGTGAATTTTTTATTGCAGTAGTTACAGTTGTACCGTTTTTCTCCAGTATGGATCGCCATATGGCGGCGCAGACCTGCCATCTGGAACGTGACAACAAGATATAGAGAATATAACGCACCTGACATGTGTACGGTCGCTCCCCGGTGTGCATTCTCTCGTGGTTTTGCAACTGATGTTTCGCGTTGAACGACATTGTGCAAGTGTTACATTTGTACGGTTTGTAACCAGAATGTATGCGCAGGTGCCGATTCAGATCACAACGCTGAAATACATCAATTGCATTTTGCACTTATTTTTTCCATTAATTTTATCAAGCACAAATCAGAGGATTTTTTAATATAGCCATTAAAAAAATGTAAAACTCTAGATGTTGACGAAATACTTACAGCAATAAACCTCTTCGTGCACAAATTGCAGGAAAATGGTCTTTCTCCCTTGTGAATTAAATTATGCCTAAAATCAACAAGAAATAAGTTTAGAGAAGTTGGTAAATAACAAAATAAATGGTTACTTTCTAAAAATGTCCTGCTTACCTAACCAGTGACTTCTGACTGTAAAAACCAGCTCCACAGACTTCACAAATATGGTCTTTTATTCCCGTGTGTTGTTTAGCATGAATTAGTAAATTACTCTTCTGTGCAAATGATCTTGGACATTGCGCACAGGTATACCTCTTCTTTTCTGAAATATAATAATGTAGAATATTTAAATTAGTTAAATTACTTAAAACATTACAAACTCACAATAGGGAAAAAATGTTTGAAAAAGTAACAATTTAACTAACCCTGATGTGTTGCCATATGGTTGCCCAATGTGAATGTGAGTATACCACACACGGGACAGACAAGCTTCTCTCGTTGCTTAGACACACTAGTCCGTACCATTCTGACAGGTTTGTCTCTGCGCACTACTTTCACACTCTCAGATGACGTGGACTGAGACTTGGATTTATACCCTGCATGGACCTTCAAAATTGTTGCATCCTTGGGTCTCTTCAACAAGATAGGGGAACCTCTTGAACCATTCTTCAAAATTGGATCTGTAAATTGAACATTAAAATTTAATTCAAAATTATTTGCTGTTCCGAATTGGAAATAAACAATTTTTATTCAGCAACTAGGATGTTCACATGCTTAATTCTAAGAAGTAGTACTTACAGCAAGTAATAGTAGTTGATCGTGACTTATTCTCATCTCTCGATCTACCAGAATCATATTCAGGATCATCCTTAATTTTTTTCAGCACTTTTACTTTTCTGACAACAGTTTTACCTTTGAACACCTTGATATCTGATAATTTAGGTTTCTTGAATTTGTTCTTGGGCTTCTCTACAGGAGGAACGTAATCATCATCGTCATCATCTTGGAAAAAATCATCTTCTAAATATTCGGCCTGAAGTAGAAATAATAATGAGGTTTCAGTTCTAGAAGGAGATTGACAACACTATGTATTGACCTGACAAATTATGTCAGTAGTTAAACATTTTTTAAAACTAGTTAACTGCTTTTGGTCTATGCTGAGAATAATAAAAAAGCATTGAATACTCACATCTGGATCACCTTTAGCAGAATAATTAGAGTTGCCTGATGAGGTCCAAGTTAGTTGCACATCATCAGTGGTATCCAATTTAATATCCTCTGCATTTGGATCAACTTTCCTTATAACAGTATTAGCAATAACAATATCTTTTCCCTCCATTGTTTCGATAGGCTTACTGCTTTCTGGTACTTCAATTTCCATTTCCCACTTGGGTTCTGACTTAATAGTTAATGGTCCTATTTCACTCTTAATATCCGTAAAGGAATCAAATGCAATTTTCTTAGTAGGTACATTTCCTTTTTCTCTTGCTAATATTTTCCTCAGTTTCTTATCTGACCTGTAAATGTTGAGTAATAATGATCAAATGTACTGCATTGACAATATTAGTCATAAATTCATATTTATATTATACATAGTTATAGATAAAGCAACAGTCTACAGAATCTACTAGGATAATAACATATTTATGCAGGTTCTAATACCAGTGCAGTGAATATTTAGTGAAGGATTTCTGGCAATTCAAATTGGGTTAGTGAAAAAAGAAACATATAGATGAGATTTCAAATAGATAGATAAATAAATTACCATTTAGTTTTAGTTAAAGACCATGCAAGTAGAGACATTTAAAATTATTACACAATATACATTACTCTTATAATATTAAAGGTGGTTTAAAATTATTTTGTTAACACTGATTAAAATCATCTCTTTGAGAGCCATTATAATTAAGATTGAGTTTACCTTTCAGCCACAGTTTTAAGTAAGTATGCCTTTTCCAAAGTTGTGCAGCATTTGAGGCAAATCTTTTCAGGCAAGCCATCATTAGAGGATACCTGAAACAGCAATTTGTGATGTTGGAAGTCTTACTAAAAACCACATCAAATAAATAACACAAAACGACACTTAATTTATCATAATGTTCCATAGTTTATAGCTAAACAATACATATGAACGACAATTCATTCGATAAAATGGTAAACTTTGATAAAATTAATTTTAATTTTTGATTTATGTTTGATAAGTACCGATTTGATAAACGATCTCTTCGTTTGTTTTGATCACTATTTCAGAATCTGATTGTGATAGTTGTAACAAACTGACAAGTTCCTATTCTAAGACCCGCTATTTAGTGCGTACAAAATAGAGGCATTTATAACTTACCTTAACATCGGCAATCGCTGTAAGCATTTCAGCATAATTACCCGACAACTTATATCGAAATAGAGGACATAATGGTTTATTGTTTGTCAAGCATATACGACACGATTTCATGTCGATAGTATCAATAGGATCAAGCATAATTCAATAACAAAACAAAACTAAAGTGATGGCAGTAATCCGTTTTTATATCGAAGCCCGAAGCACTTCACTTTTCCTCTAAAATTCTTTAGGGATTGATAGCTGAGTGTGATTTTACGACTATCTCTTCTTCACCACCTCACTACGCCACCATAGACAATGAAAAGGAAAAGGTATGCGTCGCATCATTCATCTTTCGAAATATAATGTTGCCAGTATTATTTTCTTTTATACTTTTGTGCTAGGCTTGAAAACCAGTGTTATTTTCCATAGTTATTTTTATTTCGTACCAATATTGGGCATTAAATGACTCTTACCTCTGCCATTTCATATAAAATGTTTATTCTAGGTTATGTCCTTATTCTAGAAATATATGCTTTAAAAAAATCAAATGGGAATAATCTTTGCATTTATATTTATAATCACGTTGATATTTAATTTTTTTTTTATAAATTACTCACTCCTATTTATATTTTTGAGTTACTTTAAACCATTGAAACTGTAACGGCAAATTATATCTCATGTTATTTAAACTTTTTTATATAACCTCGAAGAGGAAAAAATTATGTCAAACAATCCGACCAGAGACAACTACAGCTCCAAAATATTGCAGAATTGTAGCTGTCAAAATACAAGTCAAGTCAAATGTGTGGTGTTGGTGTGAGAGGAAAACAGGACTAAATTACGGTTTATTTTATGATCTATGTCTAATTCATATAGAATTTACTGAAAGTATTTATGTCTTTACACGTTGCCGTAACATAAGAACACTCATTACTTTTAAAAACTGTTGCGTAAAAAATGTTATAATGGCTACCACCTACGAAAATTGGTTGAGTCGCAGGAAAGGTAAATATTTATAATTTATTTAATAACTATTTAAACATTCTATTAATAATTTGTTTAGATATTCAGATCAATATTCTAGGCACTCTGTTATTCAAATGCACTCAATTCGTACGTTTCTTGATTGGTACATGCTTTACACATTTCAGGTAAACAGAGTGATTTATATAAATTGGATACTAAGAATAAAACACCTGAAGAAAGTATAAAAGAGATAATTCAAGGCCTTTATTTGAAGAAACCATTCCACAATGACACCTCTCCCACCAACAAGACTAATCCTATGGAGTTCAAGTCAGGTCTTAGAGGCATGCAGAAAAGTGGATCTGATAGCCGTAGACTGTCCTACTTAAATGCCTTAGTCACACTATTATGTAAGGAAGACAGAAGTAACTTAGGGTTCACTCCTGATGAGCTGATGACTTGGTAAGAATACATCAATCAAACATTATATCATATATACTCAACTGGTAGCCAAGGAGGTTATGTTATTCAATTCAATGAAAATCTTAAAGAAAAACAATCACCATTAGTGTTTTCATTCAAATAAATATCTATATGCATGTTAAAAAAAGAGAAAATAGCTATTTAAGTATAAATGTTAACATAATAAAATGAAACTTAAATTGTTTACAGTATTCGTGTGAGTCTTGTAGATGAATCTATGGTAATAAGAGCCTCAGCCCTAAGAGTGTTACGATATTTAATCAAAACAGAAAGTGATGTAGCAACATTTAACAACTTGAAATTACCATTTCTAGTAATAAGGTAAGCACTATTTTTTTATTTAAACTTGTTAACATTCTATACAATAATCTGATTATAAAAACAACTTGATTTGTTTGATGATGTAAATGTTTCAAAATAATTGTGTCTGAATGTTTTTTAATTTATAGTTACAATATCAATAAATGAAACTAGCTCATTGCTTAGCGCTTGCATGTTTGTTCATAAGACCTAGTTATTATGCATAGAATTTAAAAAATTGTGACCTTTATTGTTACCTAATCTAATCTGTATTATATGGCCAGCATTGAAATTAAGTACATGTCTCAGTGATGCGTTCATATTTTGATTATTGAAAAACATGATACTTGACTGTCTTAATTATTTAGTCAAAATATGATTAAATTTATTTGGGTAAAAGAACTAAAATAAATATTCTTTTTAGATCAATGGATTTAATGCTTCGCAATGAAGAAGAACGAGCGCAAGCTTTGCGTGTAGTGCGGCGGGTTGTAGCTATTGTGGGGTCAACCCAAGGAGTTCGAAAACAACGCGGCGCGTTTGTAGAACAGGGTTTGTTACGATGCCTCGCAGCTGTCGCCCGCGCAGCCAGCGCTGGTGACGGTACCGGCGATCGACTGTCACGACCCGCCATCGCTACACTTGCTGAGATCTGTAAGTACCTATGTAGTAGTTTGCTTAAGTATGAAATTATCCTGCCTATATCCCTAGTTACTTTGTGTCAGTGCGTTTCAGTGTCTCCTATCAAACCACATTACATAACACAGTTTTCTTTCAATCTTTCTTGTAATAAATATATATCCAGTTATGATATACCTGGGGAATTTAAAAAATAAAAATATCATTATACATGACTTAGAACAGAAGTGAACTGATTCAAGAGATATTTTAATGTTCATCTTATTTTTGCAGGTGTTCTCAACCCTGACATGTTCATATCATGTGGTGGTGTGAATGCTGTGACGCGCCAGTTGGCAGAATGTGCGACGCCTCGAATGGCCGAGGCGCTGTGTGGAGTGTTACTCCACGCACTGAACGACCCCACGTCGCGGAGATCCGCTCGCATTGACCTCATGTGTCTCAGTTCACCTTACTGTGATTTTCATTTCCGTCCAGCCGGTACTGAGACTAGCAGGTTTGTGTTCTATATTAAAATAATGAATATATATAATCACATCCTTATGTTTTCAATGTATAAAATAACTATGGTATAAATGAACTTGGAAAAACCGAGATCTATATTTCCCTATTTGATGTTTCATTTCATTTTATTTTGTCAGATAATAAAGTTTTACCTTAACACCTCATAAAACATAGTCTGTAACAAAAATGTTTAATGTGACATGTTTATTTAATCAGAGATGAACGCGAGATGCGGTTCACGTGTAGTCGCCTCGCCCTTCTGTGTGTACTGAGAAGTTGGCCGGGGTTGCTCCACTTCTGTCACCCGCGTAGCACTGGAGGGCTGCGCGCTCTAGTCGACGCCCTCTATCTACCGCGATTAGAGGTTCGAGTGAGTAAAACCAGATTCAAACCTCTTTTGAATTTGTTGTTCAATTAATGAAAGAAAATTTAATAAAATGATCTTGTTTCCAGAAAGCGATATTGGATCTCTTGTATGAACTAGTCGGATTGCCACAACCAGAATGGACAGATGAGATTTCTGTAGCTTTAGATGCAGTTGATCCATCTGACTTTCAAGTAAGTTTTTTTGCTCTATTTCTTTAGCATAATTGTGGACTTTTGTTGGTTATTACAATAAATGACGTTTCAGGACTCCTGGCGGTTGAACGAAGGTTTCGTTGCCGCTGAAGGCGTTGCCATATTACCTCATCTTGGTGCTACGGGCCCTGATATAATAGAAATTCATCTTGCACTTTTACTTCAGTGTTTCTTAGAGGTAAGATATTTTATTTATATTTATATAAATATGCAAGAATAAATGAGAATTAGTAACAGTAATTAGTAAATGATATATTGATGTACTCTTTGTTTTCAGGCTGGATTATTAGACGGATTAGCTGAAGTGATCGTGACAAGTGATACTTTTATATCGGTCCGAGCGACTGTGTTGTTGGGTCAACTATTGCATTTAATACACCTGTATCTACCTCCTCAAATATGTAGTATAACGCCGGCGCTGCCGACGCTGATGTCGCAGGCGTCGGCCGGCAAGCCGCAAGCGCTGGCCGCCGTGGCCGCGCTGCGCCGTCTGCACTCCATGCTCGAGGCTCGCCCGGCCAGTAGCAGCTTGTTCCTAGACCACATCATTCAGTATTGTAGTGGTGCATTTAGAGAGAAAATAGAAGATATTACTAAAAGTCGAAAAGAAAAAGACAACGCTAGTATGGTTAAGCCAAAACCAGACGTTTCCCTCCATAAAGAAAATAGTATTGAATTTTTGAATGATTCTGATAATGAAAACGAGCCAAAACAAAGGCATAGTGTTGGCTCGCGGGCCGATGTTCCTAACAGAAACGTGGGTGCTTTAGTTAAAAGTAAAAGTGTTAGTTCCCGGACTAGTGCTGCAGTCAGTAGAGTTACTAAAACTGCGAAGTTTTTCAATCTGTTCGAGCGAGACAGCGACAGTTTGATTAGATGTACATTGGTTATGCAGAATAAGGATGGCAACACTTGGAATTGGGAAATTATAAGGACTATATTAAAGGTATTAATTTTACTTGATTGTTTTTTGTGCTTTTTTCAATAGGGATGTGTTTTAATTAGTATTTTATTTCAGGAAAACGATAGCCCTCTTATAAATCTCAACGACAGTGGTCACAAAGCGTGGGTGACACGTATAATTAATTACCTGAAGCCATCTTCCAATAAGTATTCTCACACGGATTTGTCAAGTACTTGCCATGGCCACTCTGCTACTCGTGCAGGTTGCCAACTAATCAGGCATTTATTGAAACATAATGATGTGAGTATAAAACATATTATAAAATAGTATTTTTTATTTCATGTGTTACTTTAAATAAAATAATATTAATTAATCATTTCAGCTGGAGTGCCAAAGATTGCTAGAAGAATTGTTCTTGGATGTGAGTCGTCAGATTGAGGCTATCGAGACAGGTCTGAAGGCTCACGAGTGTCTGTTCAGTCCACAACACATGTGCAACACTATGTGTCAGATGTACTTCCTATTTATCGGGCAACTTTGTCACTCGCAAAACGGTTTGAGGCTATTTAAACAGACAGGATTATATCAGAAGTAAGTCATACATTATTAACAAAAAATGTATTACGTGCTGTTGTGTAATATTGACTGCACGGTTTGTGCGGTGGCTGGGCAACCGGCTGCCGTGCAACGTGTCGCGGGTTCGATTCCCTCACGGAACAACACTTTGTGTGATCCACAAATTGTTGTTCCGGGTCTGGGTGTCATGTGTATGTGAACTTGTACGTTTGTAAACGCACCCACGACACACAGGAGAAAATCCTAGTGTGGGGCAAAAAAAATGATAAACTTATAACAATTTTAAACTTACAGCCTTCTAGAACTATCAACGCGAACGCACCATAGCTGCTATGTGAAGTTAGTGATATCTAGCTTAGACTACACTCTAGACTCATTCCCAAGGGACATATTGGCTAAAACACTACATGCAATATTCAAGCCTCAAGACTATATGCGACGCAATTTCTAAACGTCCTTTTGAGAGCGTCCAGGAAATCTCGGGAATTGGTTCGGAGAAAAGCTAAATTGAAGAAGAACGTTGTGAATGACCATCTTAAAACGGCTCAGAAGGATAATAGTGATGGCAACAATGGTGTTGACATGGATACTTGGATATTACAAATGTTGGTCGGACAGATAAAGGATGAATCTAAAGTGGTTGTTAAAACTGCGCTCACGATTTTGGAAGAAGCTTATCATGTGCCTGTAAGTGTTTATTGAATACAGACACACGTTTTTGTTAAAGAATGCCACTAAAAATCAGAATAACGTAATTCTGTTTCTTTTTGCAGGCTTTTGTGGAAAAGTTAATAACAATGAAAGAGACGCTCTGTCAGAATTGTCACTTGGATAAAACTACAGAGCCTTCCTCTTTGGATTTTGGCGCAGTGAGCGACAGAGGATACCTTCTGTGGTTGAGTCTTGAAGTAGCTGTGGCTGTTCAGTCGGTCGACGCGAAGTCCATCGCATTTCTTAAGAAACATCTCGATTTCTGGACTAAGTCATACAATTATAGGTGAGTTTTGTTTTAACTTTTAATGTGCGACTATAATGTGTTATAAATTCATTTAGCGGTGTCACATTTTCCGTCATATAGAAATTGGCTTAAAAGTACCCAGACCTGGTTCCCGTTCACAAAAAATATTTTCAGTTCCTTTCTATAAAAAAGTTTACACCAGTAATAACATCTTCAGACGTAGCACAAACACTTATAATGATAATTTTAATGAAATTTATAATAGTTTTAAACTCGGTTTAGCATCTTATAAAATGAAATTGCGTAATCAACTTTTAAAGACCACGTAAAATAATGTAATTTATATTTGGCTTCATATACTTATGTATTCTGTTTAGAATAAATTGTGGGTAGGTACTTATTTTTACACTATTTAAAATTGCATGGAACTAGGAAGTCTTTTTGAATTTATTGTTTTCTTTGTTGTTTTATGTGATTGTTAGTTTCCCAAATAAAATAATAATATCATAGTTATTTCTCTGCAATTAGATACAGAAATATTGAATTAGATTTTGAATTGAATTACATTCTTATCAGCTTAAAATAAAATTGATTTTATTTTTCAAATAGTCTGCTAGATTTATTAATAAAAACAATTAATTAAATGGCCTTTTTATGGTCTCCTATAGTTGATGCGAGAAGGCGTGTTATACAATTACCGATGAAAATCCTTCTTCTATCTATATAGGGACTTGCCCGCGACCCTGGAAGAGCCTTTAATAGTGTGTAGGTAACCATTGTGAGTGATTTTTTTGACTGCATGGTTGGTGCGGTGGCTGGGCAACCGGCTGCTGTGCAACGTGTCGCGGGTTCGATTCCCGCACGGAACAACACTTTGTGTGATCCACAAATTGTTGTTTCGGGTCTGGGTGTCATTGTGTATGTGAACTTGTATGTTTGTAAACGCACCCACGACACAGGAGAAAATCCTAATGTGGGGCAACGTTTTTTTTTAAATAATAAAAAAAGTGATGATATGAGTTATATAATATATGATTGGTGCAGGTACGTGCGGCTGGTGGAGGCGGGCGTGCACGAGGCGCTGGCCGTGAGCGAGGCGGGCGGGCGTGGCGCCCCGCGCGCTCGCCGCGCCGCGCGCCCGCCGCCGCACCTGCACGCCGCGCTGGCGCCCGCCGCGCACCGCCCGCACCCCGCGCGCCCGCTGCTGGCCGCCGTACTGCCAGACCATTACAAGGTACGCACACTTATTGCGGCATCTATCATTCATAGATCACGGTAACCACTTACCATCCATGGTGGGCCATGTCCTTTTATTGCCAACGTTATGGTAAAAAAATATTCAGAATAATATAACTTCACACCATTAAGAGCTAAGCTCATTCGTATACGACGTCGTGTTCTAAGCCGATCGTTATGTCATTTTACTATAGAAATGACATTTCACATCTAGTGCGGCTATATTTGATGTGCGATCTTGATTGAAAGTGTACATCGTATTCATTTCACTCCAATCTTACAGGCGTATTACGATAAATATGCGTCTTGACGCAGATTAATAAATTCTAAATGAAAACAGCAGTTGATCAATAGAGCACTTACGATTTACCTGCTTTTAAGTTGTCCGGATATCACGAAATTAACAATTTAATGATTTTCAGATCCTACAACGTAAGAAATGCGCTAATGAACAAGAGGTAGCCGATATAAAGGCCTCGTTGTGGGCTGTAGGCAACACTGCAGTGACGTCACAGGGCCTCCACCAGCTCATGAGCTTGAGCAATGGGTATTTGGAGGATTCCGTCTTGGTACACATTGTACGGTTGGCCAAGTACAACCCGGTGTATTCCGTGCGAGCCACCGCGTTTTATGTACTCGGCCTTATTGGAAGCACCTACGATGGTGCTAATCTGCTTTCTGATCTAGGTAAACATACAAATAAGTTCTATGTCCATTACACATAATATAACTCTACCATTTCAGAATTTCGATATAAATCTGTTTATTTTTCTAGGTTGGCTATGTGTTAGACACACTAGACACGATCAGTTCCCTGTGATCCCCGACGAGACGTTTTCAACTTTAGAACAAGGCATAAATGTCCACTACTACGTGACGTCACCGGAATGTCGGTACAATGTATACGACACAGAAATGAGTGAACATTCAGATCATACTGATCAAAGTGTTGCAGAAAGCTTACATTCGGACACGACAAAGATTTATGGTAAAGCTGGGTCTATATCTGCGGACAATTCGGAGATAAAAGACCAAGATGTTACTGACCATAAAGGTTATACTGACGGGAGATCGGACAAAAGAAAATCTCACACGTTGCCTTCACAAAGTTGCTCTAGTTCACACGAGCGGCCTACGTTGTCGGAGTCGAGGACTGTCGATATACTCAGAGACTGTTCTACATACGATCGTTCTGGCACTCACCGGGTACCCATGTCAGAGAACAGATTGGCAATAGGCAGAATGAACTCGCTAGAGCAAGCTCATGAAGGCAGAGTGAGGAATACTAGTGAATCCAGTACAAGTGGAGTTAGTAGTTGTGATTCTTTTCTAGGGAAATACGCTATTCCGTAAGTATCTCCTCTAAACAGTCTTAATTAAATGATTTTCGTGCTTATGGACGTTGAGTTAAAGTGCTAATTTGTTTGCAGTGACAGGGTTCTAACACTGAGTCCAATACCGAGCTCGTCAAGTCTGTATGGCATGAAGAGCAGTAACAGCTCACATAGGCCGAAGATATCAGAACTACAACGACGCACTTCCACTTCTAGTAAGTTGACAAGAACAATGGTATACTATTTTAAATTGTTTTATCTTCGCTATTTCTTCAGATGTTATTGATTATTTATCTTTTGCAGGTTTTTCGGGTAATGAAGTAGCCAGTTCACCTCCATCTCAGATGGATATGACAGGTTATGCCACATTGAAGTCACTTAATAGGCGGTATGTACTTACAATATCCACTTTGAACTTTATTACTACGTTATAAGGTTGAAAATTTTAAATAAATTATTGTTTTCAGGCCATATTTGTCTGAAAGCGCTGCAGGGTCGAGTGAAATGGACGATTTAAGTTGGTTACTAACGGATACAAACCGACGTACTAAACCTTTCTCATCACTAAGAGACAGGGCCAAGTCTACAAAGGAACGAATGGCGAAATTGAGGTGATTACTTTACCTAAACATAGTTAACCTAGTTATTTTATCCAAATTATACCTTAATGTGCTTTGTTCTAAGTCTAATAACTACTTTTACACGCTATAAAAATGCAGAGAATTATTTAATATAGTTGGTACCTACAATTTGTATTATAAAAAATACTAATCTCTATTGTCTAACTACTAGTCTAACTTTCATGTTGTCAAACAAAAGAACCACAATACAACATGAGAATCACAATACAACTTCCCATGTTTTGATACGAATGGGCCGGCTCGGCCGGAGTGATACCACGGCCACACCAAAAACTGACGTGAAACAACGCTTGCGTTGTATTTCGTCCTGTGACCAGAGGCCGAATTACCCCTCCCCCCTTTTCCAATCTCCCTAATCCTTAAATCCCCAACAATCCTCAAATTCCTTATCAAGGCCGGTAACGCACTTGTAACGCCTCTGGTGTTCCAGGTGTCCATGCGCGACTGAACAAAACTAAAGCAACATTTATATTGCAGTGTACTAGAATACGATTGGAAGCCTCTGCCACTGGGAGACACGGTGCGCGCGTCCCCCCCGCGTGGTCCCACGCCCCGCCCCCCCGCGCCCGCCGCGCCGCCCCCGCCCCGCCTCGCACACGGACACTCGCCCACCTACATGGGCATCTGTCTACCCAGGGACCTTATGGAACTGTTTCCTAGGTACGTAAACATTATTCTGCTGGAGTTTCATGTTCCTCCCTGTACCCCTATATAAAACAGAGAAAGAACTACTCATTATGCGTTTTGGTGAACTTTACAAGCCTTGTTTAAAATTATGTAAGAACAGTTATTTCGTCTTTTTCTTCAACAGCTTCACAGTAACTACTCTGTAATCTAACAACATTTTGTTACTATTAACTAAATGCCAATAAAAATTTCTGCACCAAGTACCTAAATACTATCTTCACTAAAAGTTTAAAGTCTTACAGTGGTCATTTTAAACAAAGCTTGCAAACACCGAAAGTCTCAAGTACTGTTCAGTTGACCAATGATGATTATACTACTACAAGCAGTGTTGTTATATACTTCTATTATTTTACAGGGACGAAGATATAAATGACGAGGACACCGACAAAAGTGATCACACGAAGCGCGATCGTCTGCCATCTTTCCTAGTAGACACGAGTAGTGCGAGTACAGAGAACAAGTCCCGCGCCACACCTGATAGTCAAAAACTGGCTTCTCATAAAGGTAAATTGAACGATACTTCTAATGGATCTTCGACTTTATTGTGAGGAAATTAAGTTGAAACTCTATTTAAAACAAATCTGTTTAAACTGTCAAACACCAAGCGGTCACCGGTGACCGCGACCTATTGTTCTTTAATTGTGTCTATAAAACCGGTACTCGACGAGTTAATGAATCTTGATATGCTACTATGTTCGCATGTGTCTATATCAATATTAATTGTAAAAAATCAATTGTTACAGCCAGTTCAACCACAATAGCAGTTCAAATTCACAGAATGAATTCGGACAAAGCGGACACTAACGCCGACACATCAATCACAAGCGAAACGTGTGAAACTAATTCTCGAGTTACCAAAGAGAGAACGAAACGGGTTGTCGCCACTGTCAATGCAGACGAGACTGGGAATAAAACACCTAGCAAACTTGAGAAAATAGCCAATGAAAATAAGGAAAATGTAGATAGTATAAGTACTGGGATAGAGGCTCAGGATACGGGCCAAATTAATCAAGATCCAACTGGGGCTAGGCCTGTTGATGGTGAGAATATGGCCCCAAGTGCTACGGAAGGACCAGTGAGCATTGGTTCCTCTTCGTCCAGTAGAAAATGGAGGCATATTTCAGCAGATTGCCTAGCGTGCGTCCGGACCCGCCCCCCTTCGTCACATGAGTTACGTGAAGCATTTTTTGCTGGTAAGAATCCTGAGTAGAACATAACATCATGTCTTCTAGTTTTCGTGAATCGGGGTTGAAGGCGCCTTGGTGGGGTCCCTTACTCAAGAAAGAGTAAAAGGACTCGGCCCTGCTTGCGATAGATTCCCGACCCCTCTATATTCTCAAAAATGAATCAATGATTACGATTTAACACTTATAAAATAGATCTCAAATAATGTTTCTTTCTAGGTATGGATGCTTCTGGTGTGTATGCGTCGGAACCGCGCAGTCCGACCAACGAAAAACCTACAGTCGACCGGAACTCCGGCCCACAAGCAGAGCTGTTGCATCAAATACATTTCATGTCCAATCCTATACATTTGAGACAGGTAATGATATTTTAAATTCTACTTCATTTAGTATGTAAAGTAATAATGAGTAATACAGTTCTAATAAATGTATAACGTACATCGCTAAATATAAATCTTTCTTTTCTTTGCAGGCTCGCTCAGTGCTGCTGTCGATGAAACAACGCCACCCCGAGGTGTTCCGTAGTCCGTGTGTATACTCTGACGTCAGTGCCTTGCTGGCAAGAGACACATACATGTTGTGCGCGCGACGGTTCGTCCAGGAACTGTTCCTCGACACTTCGTTCGAATGTTTCGCTTCGGAGCCACTCATGGTGATGGCGCGCCACGGCGTGGCGTCGCCGTCCGCGAGTGTAGCTCCTCCTATACGCCAATAGTATTTCGATGAACACAAACTTGTAAGGTCGCGGACTCATATTTATGTAAAAATATATGGACCCCATTTCGAAAGTATTTTCTTTCACTTTAAGTGTTGTCTGCTTTACTTTCTTAATAAAGTCGCAGAGTATTGAACGTTAAATTCGACATAGTCGCCAACGAGTTTTTGACGTTAACGTTTTCGTTTCGTCTTGTGTGAAAAGTTTAAGAAACAAAAGTTCCACATCGATGTACGAGTGTACGGATTTGGAATGAAAATATACGAAACCGTAACTGTTCGTGAGACTTGATATTATTTTTATACAAACTATTGTAACATAGAACGTGTTGTTCTATGTGTTGTAAATATTTACACGATTTGTCCAGCCTTGGTAGTAGTTCGCTACCTTACACGGTTCACTACGGCTACTACTGATGTCTTACTTTATGCAGGTTTTGGTAATTTATAAGGTACTAATTTAATTTTTTTTCTGACTTACTGTTATTTTATTTTATAGCACTTGTATGGATTTGAATTAATATTATAGCACTTTAATATAGATAGGTTACCCTTAAATATTAATGTAAAAACTAGTTATCTACGATCTAACGTTACACAACAGTCTTCAATTAGTATTAGAAGTTATTGTTGCAGTTATACATGTAAAATAATGCTATTTATATTATTTTATAATGTAGGTCTTCCGATATTATCGGATGGATATGAAAATATAATTATGCGCTTTTGAAAAGTGTGCGTAGGTTTTGTAAATCAGTAAGTTTTCATTTATAGGATACAGTATATACTTGTATGGTATACAAGTAATGATAATGTATATAGAAATATTTGTTTAGCGAGGTTTTAAATGAACGTGGAATAACACTTATGCCACATTTTTTCGTTGACTTTTGTATATATCACTACTTTATAATATTATACATTTTATAAACAAACAATGGACACTTCTGTTACAATAACAATAATTATCTAATTATAGTAACATTAAAAAGCCGTGTGTCATGCCATGTTCATGGAAAATCTACAAACACAAGCAAATAACACTATTAGCACAATAGACTAACTATAACATCCCTGAATAAACAAAATTGTAGCTTTATGATAAAAGTGTATGAATGCCTAACTAATTATGTAGATGGGATAAATTCCGCTAATTGCCAAGATCTTATTAATTACCTACAAATAAGTAATCGAAATGTGAAAATGCCGAATTTCTGTTTTTCTAACAAATGTTTTTAATTTATTTTGTATAAGCGCCTGAATTGACGTGATTGCCTTAATGTTATTGTTTAGTGAATTAACGAAACTATAAATTTGCTAGTCTCACATAATGACAATAGTTACTGACCCAGCCGACTGAATATTGCACCATTCCCACTGACTCCATAGTTTATTATAGCGTACCTATTCTCCAACCCACCTGATACAACGATACGATATGTTCCCTAGTTTGAAGCATATTACTGTAGTTATAAATACCTACTACAACCTTGTGTTCATTATTGTACTAAAGTCTTATGTTTGCATTTAATAGTACTTGTTTCTCTTTTTTCATTGTTGTTATTTATGGAAACTCGATCAGAATAGCAATTTAGTTGTACGTTACATGATATTATAAGTATTAATACAGAGCACGCCGGATGTCACACGTGACTACTTGTTATGTATCCTTTGTTAATGTTCAATAATAGTGTGTAATCCGAAGTAGAAGTAAGTATACCACTCGTGGATTGTTATCGAAGAGTAAAACTGTCAGACGCAGCAGTATTTATAGAGGGAAGTTCTTGTATGCTAACTAGTTTATTAATTTATGCATCCTCGATATCCTGCATTTATGAGACTGTAACATTTAATATGAATATCAAATAATAACCTCGTATTAATGCTACTCTCCTGTTAAATACTAGTTCTAAGAGTTGATTCTGATGCCGAATAAATAAAACTGTAATTTTCGAAATTCGTAATTGCATATCGAATTAATTTATCTTTAGTAAAAGAATGAATACGAAAAAAGTGCCATCGTGCTGGTTCCTTTCAATTATATTAACATGTTACATTACTCTTAAGTACCAACCTTCTATTATGCCACTTCATTACAATAAATATATTTTATAAAGTATTCGTTGTGTTTCATTTTTTAAACAAAATAGGGTAGTTGCCAGATTATAAAAATTAAAAATCTAATTAGTCCATGAGTTCGATAATAAAAAAATATTAGACACGTATTTTTTTATTTTCTCGTGTAAAGTTACAGATAAATGACGTTAAGTTTAGGAGTGGGAGGTTCTGATGTTGTGACATCGCACGATATTTCAAATCAATGTGTCGTCGCAAGTATTTAATTTTGTAAGAAAAAAAATACGTGTCTAATGTTTTAAATTAATCTACCAGAAAGACATTAAAATATAGGAATTACCCTATTAAAAACGCAGATCTAGGTATATAAAAAGTTGTGACTCGCCGCCCGACCAGAACCAGGCCCGAGCGTACGGCGCGTCGCGTCCCGCGCGCGCCTCAAAGAGCCATCAGACCACCACAGATGGGGCCCAATAGGGCCGATGCCGATTCGGAGTCGCGGAGAACCTAACGGGTAACCGGGGCTCCGGCTCGACGTGCAGGAGACGGGGTGGTTTTTAGTCAGTAAGAGTCTGACACGCCCTCTCGCCTCACCCGGGCGGGAAAAGTCATTGGAAGATTTTCCCCCCTCAAAAAAAAAGTTATATAAAAAGTTGTACCTAATAACTAAAAGTTTTCCCTCATTGGCAGCTCGTGCGTTCGCCAGAATCATTTTCATTAAGAAGCAATTACACCTACATCAGAAATGAACAGTTTTTAAAAACTATAGTTATTTAAAACGAGGAGGACTGGGATGCCGTTTCCTCCTTTTGCAAAGCAGTCATGCTAGCTAAAGAGGAAACAGCATCCCGGCTGAGGAGGCGGGGCGCGTAAGGCAGCGAAGCGTTGCCTCTTCACAACCCAGTAGTCGCGAAGGACTCTCCGGGCGTCGTCGGGGATTGCGGGATAATCTCCAGCCACCATAAGCACGGGCCTAAGGACGGCGAGCATGAGATTAGCTCATACCAACTGGTGCTCCATGTGGGAATTCAATCCACAACATTTTGCGTTGCAGTTAGCAGGTGCATTTAACTACGTTTACAGCATCTATAGTCGGTCGCAAGTAGCAATAAAAATTGCAGGATCATTAAACCGACCTCAAAAACCTACTTAAACCCCCTCTTTTTTTGAAGTCGGTTAATTAATATAGGTACTAAAACCTACTCCTAAGTTTTAAAAACACTTTTCTGAAAACCGCATTGAAATCTACTTAGGTAAACACAGGTCAAAATAAGGACCTCTTTATTGAAGTCAGTTAAAATACGCAGCGTGTTAAATGGTATAATTACTAGAAGTTCATATTACGTATAGCTTCGTAAGGTTACAGGAATTATATATCTATATACCTGCCTACATCCATGATGAAAATCGGTATCTACCTGTAGCGTTACTATGTAGTACGCAGTTGCACTGCGCAGGTACGTCCAGTGCCAATATTGATGAATTTATTTTATATCACAGTTTATACTGGATAGCCTTCCAGAAGGAAACTATCTGGAAATATAATCAGTGTTTATATTTGACTATGTACCTAATCTACTAGAAATGTATACCAAACACACGTGATAAGATGCCAGTCACCGTTAAACTTTCCGCGGAGATTTTAAAGTTGAATTAAACCCTGTATTCGCACATGATATAAATAAACTATTGTGTCGAACGAATTTTGTTTAAGATGGGAGATAAAAAGGCACCAGCTGTTGACGAATTCAAGCAGTGGACGAAAATTGAAAAATTTAATTTATTCACCGCCTTGAATACCCTTGAACGTAAAGAGTATAAGAGAATCCGTAAAGAATACGTCCCAACTAAAAGTGAGAGGCAGATCCAGGCAGCTATAAGCTACTTATCGGGAAAGGCGTACCAGCACCGGGCATTCGTAAATTATTATAAGACGCAGTACTACAATACTAATTCTAAAATTGGTGTACTAAACAAGTGGACGAACAAATTACAAGACTCCATTCCTTCTCAACACCTCAAACTGAAACAGCAACCGCTTTGAAGATTATAGCGGACTGTGAGGATATACCAGTTACGGAATTTACTGATGGTATTGACTTTAGAGAAGTATATCGTCAAATGGCGAACGTTATGGAGGGGAAACCAGTTACTGCAGATCCTTTAATTTTGGCTGTATTAAAAATGTGTGTCACCGAAACTTATTTAGCGAGTCAACGATTCGTTAAACGAACTGCTGCCATCAAGAATTTGATAAAAACATTGGATCCAATTGCGTCTTCAGCAAACTGTCCAAAAGCAACTGATGATCCGGAGTTGAACATCCTCAGGCAATTATCTACACAAAAATGCTACAACCCACTGAACATACCAGAAGCATTTTTAAAACTGGAAACTTCAGATAAAAATAATAATATGAAATAAGGAAATATCTTTAATATCTGTTTTCGTTTGGTGTCGTGGATTAACAAGGAGATCTGCCCAGCGGATGGTGACGGTGATGATGGTGTATTTGTGTTGTTTGTTGGCCAATATCATATTGACCCCTTGCCCGGCAGTCGCACTTGCGACCACTCAGCCAACGAAGCAGTCGACTATATTAATAATAACTACTGTCTCTGTGTCTACTGAATCAATCTTTATTTTCTTACTTGCATAGTAAATTGCTGTGCTGACTGTACATAGGTACTTATGATAGACATTCGAGTACTATTGTTTACTTGATATTTACTTACTTTATATAAGATTATATTAGGTAGAACTCGAGCATGATACCTATACCAGTGGGGTGAGTGACCTCAGGACCGATATAGTCACTCACTAGACGCGCCCTCGTTTAAACGTGGGCATTACTAATGGTTTGAAGTCGTTTTCGAGTGTAGTTCTTCACCATTGATTTTGTTAATTTCTGACGAACCGCAGCAATCTTGAAAAAGGTACGCTGTATGTAGAAATTATAATTACTTACAAAAAAATACCTATGATTGTGATGAGAAAGACTTGTGTTGTTTAAAATAATTTACTACAATAGTACAAAAATGTAACATGTTGATAATAATAGTAGTTGCAAGTAGGTATTACAATTCGCATTTTTATGTCCATCTATTAAGTAGATATTTGTAGTTTTGCTGAACCTGAATGTGAAAAATATGCCTATATTCATCTATTTAAGACTAATAACTATTTAAGACTTTAATTAAATTAAATGTTGAATTTGTAGAGTAGGTAAACACTTATTCGACTTATTAGTAGTAACATATGCATATACCTAATTAAAAAATTAAATATTATGGATAATATAGTAGATATTATGTGAATATTTCAATCTTAATTGGTCCACGTAATGTACGAAAATATTAATTTAAGTACTTAAAACTTTTATGATGTACAATTTTACTACAAATAGTAGATACCTACCTACCCTGCACCCTGCCTACAAAGTATATAAATGTGTTCATATATAATTATATGTATTTTATAGGTCCATACAAATTGAGAAACCTACTTATACAGTGTTATTGGGTTGTATACTGGTCATATGTCTGGCTAACTCAGACCTGTTGAAAGTCTCTGAAGAAATGGTATATTATTTTATAGCCTAGATTTTCATTTCTTTCGTTTTTCATTTTTATACTAAGAGTGCGAGTTCGCTCCGGTTGACCAAGTCGCGTCTTGTAATCTTTGACTGAATTAGGTAATATGCAAAGACTTCGAATTTACTATTTTAACTTATTTAGGTAGGTATGTATGTAGACACGGCCACACATCAATAAAAGCCAGTTTATCCTGGTGTCGCGCCGCATCATCTTTCCGCACATTTAACGTTCAGTTTATACTGGTTATGTAAAGCTCGATGTGTACTCGTGAGTACCTACCTAAATATCTTTTGTCCTTGACTATTGTCCATCTTACTGCTACCTGTTGTTTTTTAATAAGGTTCAAGCTCATATGCGCCTGATTGATTATATTGAAAATGACAAAAATATAGCAGGCATGTGAATTTTCTTAACACGTTAAAAGCCATGGGGGTCACCGGTGACCGGCGTTAGCGGAGGATTTACCTTCAATAGTTTTTTATTGGCAGTCAAAGTCTTAAGTAGAGACTAGAGAATGTCTACAGTATTACAAATAAATTAAGTGCTTCAAACTTCAAATAAACTTAAGTTATTAAAAGTTTATTTAAATATTAAAAAAACTAAGTTTTTGGATTGAATTTTTTTTTATTATTTAATAATTGTTCTTATTATCTTACGACACTTCGGTTCATTAGCAAGTGTTAGGTACCTAATTAAATCCGTTCCGATTCGTTATAATGCGTTTATCTGTTACCAACTAACTGTTACCTTAAAGGAAAAATAAATACTTAGGAAAAAAATTTATGTTGTTTTATTACATCCTTTGTTAGGTAAGTTTTTTTACATAAAAAGGATTGGTACACTTAATTATACCTAGGTAAGTATAGAGATATAAAAAATACACAGATCGGTATTTATTGCAGTTACCTATGTATACAATAGGATAGTAGTTACATAATGATCGTAATCAGGTCTGTAACGTCTGTATTAATCTATTAGGAATACACGTGGAATAGGTACCTAAATGCGTCATTTGTAAAATTGATGGCTATTCAGTTAGCTACATAAAGCCTCTTTAAATAAGTATATGTATTGTTAGTACTGTATCAGTTAACTCTTAATTCAAACATACTATACAACATACTTACATACAAAATATATATCATAAATTACTGGCATACCTACATCATACAGCTATATCAATCGAATTGAAATCAGGCGAATACAAATAGCAACGCTTTTTAACTGATCAAGGATTCATAATTTAAATATTTTTACTGCTTATACTTATAGACTTATTATAGAGTTTTCCACGATGTTATGAATTCAACCATTCTACAAATTTACTGAATAACTTTAGTGCTACTTTCACAATCCTGTCCCAGAACCCTGGCTCCTCCTCCTCGTGCTGGCTCGATGCTGTGGGGTATTCATCGTCAAAATTTTCCAACTGCCTTTTCTCTCGATGTATGTCTTCAATACTGTCGAAGTCAGCTGTAAATAAAATAAAAAGACATTATTATAATTTATAAGTTAGTGTCTTCAGAAATAAATAAAAAAAGTGAAAAGCTGAAAATTTTCGTGTGACAACAGTTTGCCGTGTTTGGTTAACCGGAGGGCCAAGATATCCCGGTCCGTTTCTGTTAATTTCGGGTGTTGCGGATGCACGGGTCGAGTGGTATTGATTACTTAATACTATTCATTACTTATCAGGTCATCTGTCAGCTCGTTTGTCCTTTGTTCCTATCACATAAAAGGTCATTCCGGACTTCAGTAGGTACCTATGTGGGATAATATAATTGTAATCATGTCGTTTTCAGAAAGTTGGCAGTGATGGCCATATAATCAGGATAGGTAGTAGTAGGGGCCTAGACTACATTGGTTCCCAATCGATGTGACTGGGAGTTAACTAAATTAGGTAACAAAAATATTGTGCTCTCCAGTCGGCTTCGAGCCTAGCTGGCCCTTCTAGCCTTCTGAACTTGACTAGTAATAAAGAGTTAAATTATTAGAAAGGTTACTTACCTATAAAACTAGGAGAATCAATTGCAATCTGAAACAAAACCAATTTTATTATCATTCGACTGGATGGGATGTGACTAGACTTGACGTTTTAACCGATAAAGATTGGGGACTTAATTATATAGGTACTTTTGTTTCGGATTACAGATCTTTACCTAAAAAAAAAACAGAACAATTGCTAGAGGCGTGTTCCTCAATTCTTCAAAGATAAGCAGGTCGGTAGAATACCTATCTATTATGTGAGAGTAGGTGGGCACCTAGTCGCCATAAGTGCCCACTTATGGCGTTACTTGGAACACAAATCCAGTCTTCCGTTAAATATAACGAGTGAATCAGAATACCCGGCTACTAATTACGTTCAGGGAATACTTTTAGTAAGATGTCACAATTAATTAATTAAGAGGCTTTTAGGCTTTTTTCTAAGGACTGAAACTTTTCCAATATCTTCACTCTCTATATATTAGGTATACTGGCTAAAAGCCACCCCATTCCTAATCCCGCTTCGAACAGGAGCTCCGGTGCGATACGGTTTGAGCGTATACGTAAACTAAGGATTCTAAGACATTTTTAAAACATTAGGTAAACGACAACCATATTCAAAATAAATATCAGTTTGATATTGAACTCGTTGAGTACAGTCATTATAAACACAATTAAAGAACAATAGGTTGCGGTCACCGGTGTCCGCTCGGTGTTTGACAGTTTAAATTAATTACTCACTTGATATGCCAATACACAGGAATAAAATAAAAACGAGAGAGCTACGGTCAGCAGTATCGACCTCATGTCTTCGGTTTCAGTCACCACTTTGATTCGCCATGACTGTGAACTTGGCTTTTATACGAGGGCGTGGCTTCGCTTGATTGTGGCGGAAAATCATGATTTGCAGTATCATCACTACTACAGTAATCATTCAGAGCCTTTTTTGGGGTTCCTTGATATACAAAAGTGCTGAGTTGAGTGGAACTCATTGGAGGTAGGTACTTAATGGCTTTAATCCTAAAACTTATATTGAACCTAAAACTTATATTATATTGAACCAAACCTGGGTAACTTGGAGACAAGACAAGTACGTAATGTATGCACGACTAAAGAAAGTAAGTAACAGGTACACCGAATCTTAAAACATTTAGATTACGTATAGGAAACTACGGTTCTTTAATTTTTTTGCAGTTTTGTCAGCTACTAATTCCAGTTACTGCATAATCATTTCGCCTAATAGAACGATCTTCGACTTATAAGAATCAGGGTACATCACACTCTGTCCCCTGAAACATTATTCTAGTAATAAATATTTGCACTATAGGTACGGAAAAAGGAGGTAAATAAGTACGGGAATGGGGTAAATAGATAATATGAAAAATTTTCATTTACTCCTCCTTTCAAATGTCTTTTCACTCCTCTTCCGAGTTCCGTCTCTATTCGCTCCTCGAATTAGTACCTATATTCACCCCGTTTTATCCGGTATATACCTACTTACCTATTTAAATTAATGAGGCAAATGGCGTATCATCACTGCGAAATTGTTGAAGTAATTAAAGTAGGTATGGGTGTTTTTAAAACTACCTTCCTACTCAAGACAAGTTGGTTAAACTGTTATTATGTATTTAATTACATAGTTAGGTAACTAGGCACCTAATTGCATGTTGCAGTTCAAGTGATGTCCAGCATTAATTACTGTATCTTTTTAAAGGCTGATAAATTAATGTCTACCTATGTCTCATTTTTTATGTAAGGAACCTGATTTACTTTGTACCGAAATACTGTTGACATTTTTCTTTATATTTTTTTCTGAAACTCGCTTTGTGGATGCATTGTATGGTTTCTGTGAATAGCTGGTTACAACTTGGTAAAGTTGTGTAGGCAAACCAATTATTTGTGTCAATAATAATTATTTACCTATCTAGTACTGAAATCTGACTTAACTGCCTAGGTACATACTACATAGTCATTTTGGGGAATAACGAACGTCGCTTAACTAGGTACCTACCTAATTTATTTGTGGACAATGTAATTAGGCATCAATAAATGTGTAGGTAGGGTACCTACTAACTAGAAGCTCAGTAGGAATAGGAAACCATGGTTAAGCTTATTTATCTTTGGCTTTTTTACACCAATGGCTTCCTTATAAGATTGCACATGCAGATGTGCACTTAAATAACTAGGGTAACGATTTCCCAAATACCTACATAGTAAGTAAAAACACCCATCGGAAAGGAGCGAATTAATTGCAATTTAAATAATATTTAAGCATTTTTAACATCGTCTGTACCCACACATAAGATTGTGGTACAGATACTTTGTGTTTTCATTACTGAAGCGACCTTGTCGATTCAGTTGCAAGTTCCGCATGAAAGCATACGTACAATAGAGCATTGGACACTATGTGGTATAGGCGTGGACTCGCACGGAAATGACCAGTCATCGCCACGTAATACTTTGATTGTATCTATCTATATGTGGGAATGGACGGTACTTACTTAATGATTGTTTATTGACATTTCATTAATAATTGGATATTAATTATTATTATGTTAATATCCCACGTGGAAATAGTGGTTTTGTTTGGAAAGAATCGACCACTTCCCACCTGTTATGTTATGAGCCCCTTGAAATAGGGAGCGAGCATATTGTCATAATGTCGAGTGAAGCCACGATTCCTAACACAGTGCTATTCCTGAGAACTTTCATAAAACCGAAAAGGACCAAATAACACTTTGTCTGGTCGAGGATTGCGTCCAAAATTCTTTGCTTCAGTCGCACTTGCAACCCCTAAGAGGCAGTTAGTTATAGTTTATTTTTTATAGTACATAATTAAATGATCGTTGATAAGTATTCGTTTGTTTGGAAACTTGGTTATTTCTGATTATTTACATCTTATTTGCACTTTAGGTAGGTAGGTATAGCTGTCCTTGCATCATTATATTTTCATAAACACTGTAAGTATTGTAATAGTTAGATTATGGTCGACCATAATCTGGTTACAAAGGATCATAAGACAGACCTTCATGTGCTCGTACGGTAGTCGTAAGCCTAAATACATTTACCTAAAATTAAATGATTAAAGTTTTGATTGCCAATAGAAAACTGTTGAAGGCAATGCCTACGCTAACGTCCGTTAGCGGTGACCGTCACGGCGTTCAATGTGTTAAGTACAGGTTTAATAAAAGTTTACACCATAATCAGTCAACATCAATACTTTAATGAAGAACAATATTAAAAGGAAAACTAAGAACTGGACCCAGATTCACAAAACTTTTATTCACTAAAATAAAATATTGCTTCATATCAAATCAATTTTAATAATGTATTAGATATTATATACCCTTAAATCATTATGTACTATTTTTTGGACCCTCCAAAGCCTGAGAAACCCATTATTTGGGCAAGTTCCGACTGTGCTGGACTGTCTTCTGGTTCCTCCGATTCCATGAGCTTGCGTTTCTTGTCCCTGCGTCTTTCACGACGTTGCTCCTTGATCCTCGCTTCTTCTTCCGCTGCTTCCCTTCGTCTAGTGTCGAGTTCATATTCACGTTTTTTCTCTTCTAATTTACGTTTGTTCATTGCAAAACGAGCTTTGACCTGGAATTGAGGAGAATTACAAATAAGTTTTATGGCTTATTACAAGGGCAGATTAAATAAGTGGTCTAAATAAGAAATAAAACCTGAACCAGTCAAAGGTACTGTTGATATCTCATTCTTAACACTACAAATATCTACCAGAGTTATAGCAGGTCAAATAATAGTTTTTCAAAAAATGTGTGTCTAGCTGAGTAATTAAGACAGCACTGATACAACCAATTTATTTTTATAAAACTATTCTTATTAAAAGGATTAATTAGTCCAAATCTAGTGAAAGGTCTATAAATAGAAACGAAGTAGTTGCATAGCCAGTATAGGAGACAACTAGGTTACTAAAATTTCTAATGGTTTTCATACCAGAAATACTAAAAAATAATGAAAGGTACAAACCTGATCTAATGAACTCCTCTCAATTTTCATGGACATGCCAAGATTCCTCTGATGTTTCTTTCCATTGATATGGTCCAGGAAGTTGATAGAATCTTTGACAACACAATCGCAGACATTGCAGTAGTATCCTCCGGACTGTGAGGTAGGTGTATTCTTTGTGATCACAACACTTTTGCCAAGCTTAGAATCTAAGTCAACCTTGTAGTCTCGTTGTTTGAGAAGCTCTCTTTTAACAGGCGGGGCTGAAAAATCAAAACAAGTTATCAGTATAATCATATAATACTTTTATTCAAATACATATGTCAATGTAGCAGTTTTAAATGGTTTCTAATTTGGGAGTATACTTTTTTCTAGTTACAAAAGATGTGCATGGTATTTTACATGTTCATTTTAGGCAAAATGGTTGTATTTGATGTGTAGACTGCTTTTTGTGAATACATAACCTTAATGTGGATGTTTAAAACTATTAATAGATTGTTACCATTTTAGTATTAATGACCTAGAATGTAAAAAGCACCACAAATTGCTCTGACGCAGTAAACTGATTGTTAATAGTTTTCTTACTTACTGGATAATACCAGATTTCATTACAAATGTTAAGTTAAATGATGATATAATACTTATCAGTTAACATACCTTTTTTCTTCGCTCGTTCTTCTTCTTCTATTTCAGCTTTTAAGCGATCTGCAGCGATTCTTTCGAATTCGTCTTTGTCCCATTTTCTTCGGTGATCTTCTGGTCTCGTAGTCATTTTGGTAAATTAAGTGTCTTTTAAAAGCCACAAAACCTTTAGATTATTTTGTTTTCGTGCAAAATTATTCCGTTTCTCACGTTCACAAATAAATCTTCACAGTAAATAACAACACGAGCGCTATGGTTATGGATGTACGTCACGTCACGTCAAACCATTTGACACACTGATAGGGATGAGCACACAATATCGGTATTCGATATACTAAAAATCGATTTGTATTTTATTCTCATATCGATGTCGTCTAATATTTTTGATAATAAATTATAAATATCAAAAATAAATCCTTAGGTTTAATTATATTTTTAAAACAACTAATTTTATATTGAATGTCACATACATCAATTGCATTATGTTAAATCTACTAATATATATATATATACATAGTAAAAATATATCCCTGTTTTCTAAATAGCTAGCCATAACACGCCATAATGAACTGAGGAGGGTGATATAATCAATTCATCTGCAACATGCGTAAAAATATTCATGCAATAAAAATGTTGGATCGCGAGTTTTGAATATTATTGCAGTAATTGCGTAAAAATAACAATACTATTTAAATCGATTAAAATCGATTTTTGTCTTTACCTTCATCCCTACACATTGACTTACGTCATAGACAACAAAAAGCAAAATGTTGTCGCTGTTCCTTGTCTATGGTTTCTAGTTGGTGCAACGATTTGTAAAAATAGGTAAGTATTATTCTTCGAATTGAAATACATCAGTGAACTGTGTAGACAACACTGAATTATCAAAACACCTCCTCCGGTTTCACCTTTTTTGTTAAAATGGAACACTTAGTCAAAGTACTACACATTTTAAATAGGTGGCGTTACTTGCTCTTAGATCCTAAGACATAATCATACTGATAACATTTTATTTTTTTAATTTGTCACAACTATATCAAGCAAGATACTCATGACTAATAATTATAATAAATGGTCTCAACGGAAAACGGGTGACTATCAGGGCTAAACCAGGGCTAAATCCGGTTCGACGTGCAGGAGAAGGAACGGGGTGGGTTTTAGTGAGTAAGAGTCTGACACTCCCTCCCGCCTACCCAGGCGGGAGCAGTCATTTGATGATTTTCCACCGTTAAAAAAAAATCAGCGCTAAACCTACTTATTAATATTATTGTTTTTTGTAAAAATATCAATTAGTATTACCACAATCAAAATACTAATAAAGTAGGTAATTATTATAATTAAGAACATTTATCAATTCCGGGTTCTCGGAGTAATTTATACGTACTAAGCATGCAGGAATGCTGGCTGGGCTACGCCTGATGAGGTAAAGTGACGTCGTTACGAAGGGAACGGGAAAAACTGATGGGAGTAATGACGCTCAACGCTGAATGTCCAATAAAAAGAGTTGATGAGGGACCGACAGCTCTATAACGCTACGACAGAAATGTATTAGCTTTAAATACAATTTAATCGATGAGTAGTAATGAGCTAGGAGTACCTACTTGCAGTAAAACAATATTTTAGTTTGCACTTATGCAATAACAGCATTGCTATCATATTCCGAAATTCCGATCTAGATTCAGATTTGCGTAAGTACTTATATAGATATGAGATAGACACATGAGAAGGGATCGTCGTGAAATATCAGCTTCAAATAATGTGGTTTACTTAAAAGCACTTATTCAACATAAGGTCGTATTAATATATATGTAATTATGTTCACGAAAACGTGTGAAACGGGTTACTATTTGGATTGCAAGGTCAGGTTTAAACGTTTAGTTAATTAGGTAAGTATCTACATAATAATGTAGGATATATTGAATACAATACTGAAGTATGAATTTCCGACAATATTCAGATTATAGTCCACCTGAAGAAGTTATTTTATTATGGGATAGGGGAACGAGTAGACGGGTTACCTGATGTCAAGCAATCGGTGCTGTCCATGGATGTACATTTCCGGATGTTTTAGGGAGGTCGGCCTCGGGTACCTATTCTTATCACACGATGAGACAGTTTATATAATTGGGAAACGTACATCTCTACGATACGAACAAATATTTTCATAGTTGTGGCTTTAAAATCGTTCAAAATGACGTTTTTAAAAGTCTAGCACTAAAAATGAGGCTGTCGGTCCTTTATTGAAGCTATTTACCAACACATGTGCGCATAATATCATCACAATTCGTCACTGTATGTATCTTTAAATAAAAAAGTAGTTCTCATAGACAAGTATGGGTTAATGGAACACGATTTGGGACAAGAAGCCTGACGAAGTGGCGTCATGAAGGGAATGAGCGCGGCCGCCCGACCGTGACACATGGCACGACTATAATATTATTATGACGAGAAATTTCTTCATTTCGCCCTTTTTGCCGGCGAGATAGCAGTTATCTATCATGTCTCTTGTTTTTGCTGTGAGTATAATATAAAGTTAGTAAAAATATTCTGCAGCAACGCCTTTTGTTGGTCAATAAATGTAAGGCGATTTGTAATAAAATGTAAATGTCATGTGTATGCTGTGATATTGAGTGTCGAATATAACTAACGCTATTTAGAGGTGCAAGACTTAATGCAAATAATTTCTTTGTATTTTGCTTGTGTTTTTCGATCCTATCGTGACGGCTAAACTATCATTAACAAGAATATTTTTACAATGATAATATCTTAACATGAAAGATTGGTATGTTAAAAATTAGTAGTTATAAAAAAAATCAACATAAATTTACTACAATTGGGTTGAATGCGGAGGAGCTACGGAGTCGCTACGACCCTGCTACGATACTACTACGAAGTGCTACGATACGGTTACGATATCCGCAACAATGACACAATCAAAATTGAAGCCTCATGAAGTTGCTCACGGTTCTGTCGACAGATTGTATATTTGTAGTTAATTAAACCGAAGAATAGTAAAATGTGATTGCACCAAGTATTTATTGTTAGATATCCATGTAGAAAAAATAATACATAGAATTTCTCTGTAGTTTGTTCAATGAAGGTAAACAAGAAAATACAAATATAACATACCGCCTTATAGTCCCCGAAAAGATACGATGTAACACTCACTATTGAAGCGATTATAATTTTAAAACCTTGCCCAGTTTTAAAAGCCAATTTTGTTGCAGGTATCAAATAAAATCTCTACCTACTTAAAGACATAATATCTACTTCGCTTAACGCAAAGCGATTTTACAAGGTTTTATTTAGTTTTTTTTGCAGGCGCTTTCAATGTAAATTGCATCGGTCTCGTGAGGGTAACACTGGCTGAGAGCCGACGGGAAGGGTGGAGCGGTGGAGCGCGATCCGACACACGTCGACTCTGTGACAAATTGACTTCACCAAACAAATTGGCACAATTTTCTTTACACGTCATCACCTTAACAGTCATTGAGCTAACGCTAAATCGGCGGTTCTTAACGTAAAAAGCAGCTTTTCCAGAGCATAAAGGGAGCCATTATAAAGATGAGTTCGTAAGTAGACTCCGGGATACTTTGTGACTCGGATCCATGTTCCAGTTAATGTGTGTAAGGCACCGCCGTTATTTATCACCACATCGTTTACTAAGATCTACTTTATTTTAGGGTATTTCATACAGCTGTTGGTGTATTTCCAGAAGTCAATTACGTCGGCGGAAATTTTCAAGTGGAGATAGTGAGGGGATCACAAGTTATAATGGATATAATCTAAGGTCGAATTGGTTTAACAACATCGAAGCGGCAGTAATGTTCGGTGAACTGTGTAGATGTAAAACATGTCACTAGGGATTTGCACGAGATGTCTAGGTGTTGCGGACGGTTTCGGATCGAGCCGGAGCGGCGCCCCCGGCTGTTTCTGCTTCAATAAATCATCTCTATGTTACCTTCCAGCGTATAATGAAGTTCGATTGTTTCGTTGAATATTAATAACTATACGAAGCCCTCAATGTACCTATTTACATATCTCGCTGCGTACATACGTCGATAACAGGTACTTCGGTTAAGCTGGCAACAATAATGGCTTTTATTAAAATTTTACCTCCTTTAAAACCCGGAGCGGAATTAACTTTTAGTTTGATTTTATTTTAACCAAACAATTTTACTACTACCTACCTAAATAAAATAAAATTTTGTCAGATTGGGTTGGTGCACAGCTAAAAATATGAGTTTAGATATTTATTGCCTGCTCGAATTTTATTGGAGTATATTTAATCGAGTAGGCTGTAAACCATTTTATAACAAAAAAGAGATGAATGACTAATGACACAAATATTTTGGACTGACTGCAGTGCTTGTTATGAGAGATCAATACTCTAAACTTAATCATTTATTCATAACCAGCGATCCGAGTCCGCAATTTTTATTATTTTACGCGGATCACATAAAAACTATTTCTCTTTTATCAAAGTGTAAATGCAGGTACATTTATTATTTATTTTGTTATATTAATAGAATGAAATAAATCATATCGACAGAGTTTCAAGGAATTCTCTCCAGGCATTCGTTGCTCACTATCACATTCCGATAAAACATATTGAAAACAATTTGGAATGGAATTTTATCGACAGCTCTCGGCCCCGAGTCTGTAACAGAAAATTCTCCTAAAACTATCTTCGTATATGTCCTTGGCTGTCAGTGCCATTATGTAGGTGTTATATAGATCAATTGCTACATTTATTATTCGTTTTGTAGCTTTCACAGGTGTTTTCGACATCATTTTATTGTTTCTCGCTGTATAACGAGAGATGTGTAATATAATTTCACTCTTAATATGATTGTTGTGTTGGTGAAGTGGTTGCTTACGTGACTGTTAAGTAAGGATGTCTTAGGTTCGATTCCTGAGTAGGGCAAAATATCTATTATTGAGCTTTTAATTTCTTTTTGTTTTGCCTATAGAGTCGTCTTTATTGCATGGAGTTCACAATACAAAAAAATATGTAACTGTACTTAATCGTTTAGATCATAAAATATGAGAAGCAGTATTAAGTTATTTCATATAAAAGTCTAGATAAATGAATCCGCCACAAATATCACACAGATGACACCGGCTGTTCTTAAGGATTGCGTTTATTATGATTATGAAGAATCTGCTGGAAATGAGAGTATTATGACCAACTAGTTCATTAACTAAGCTCGTTCTGGCAACACGCCCGAATTATTTGGTCACAAATAAATAAGACGACACTGAGCAAATGAGAAGGGAATTCGGAACTAATTTA